CAGAAACGCGTTATTTCGGGGTGGATGGCGGCTTGTAAGAAGGATCGAGTTGCAAGGACATGAGTTGCAACTCGTTGCAACGAGTCGTGGTGGCGTCGCGGAAGCAAATGACCCTGACGTAAGGGAACATGGCGTATCACAGTCCACCTCATGTACACGTCAGGCTGTGCCTGACCGTGCCTGGAATTACTCGGCGTTGCAGTATTAGGGAAAAGTCTGTAGCGGAATATAGTAACGCCCGATCTTGGTTCGCAATTGAATGCTGACAATCAGACACGTGCGCACGCTTGAGCAGCCTGCCCAGCCGATTCCGCGTTTCGCGCAGCTCCTCGACCTCCTGCAGCAGCCCGAGAATGCCCACGTCAAGGTCAACATTGACTGCAAGGTCGAGAACGACCCCGTGCGTCTCTTCACGCTGATCCGGGCCGAGCTCGAGCGCCGCCCAGACTGGGAGACGACCCTCGCGCCCCGCCTGATTCTCGGCCTGTGGCACCCCAAGTTCCTCGAGCCGGCCATGACGCTGCTTGCTCCCCTGCAGCGTTTCTGCATCTCCATGTCCCTCTCTCAGGTACGCCAGTACTTCTGGGCCTGCACCGGATTCTCAGTGTACTACCCCCTGCTGCTCGGTGCCGAGGGCGAGAAGTTCCGCCTCGAGTGCGCCGCAGCCGGCAAGAAGATCTGCACCTGGACCGTGAACGAGCGGGAGGAGATGCTCCAGTGTGTGCGCTGGGGCGTGTACTCGGTCATCAGCGACCGGCCCGAGCTCTGGCGCCAGCTCAAGCGCGACATCGCCGGCGACGCCAAGGTCGCCAAGCCGACGTTCTGGAACGAGACCGTCCTGCCCTACCTCACGTACCGGAACTGGTGGTTCGACACGCGCGCCAAGGAGCGCTTCGAGACCGAGTACCTTGAGCGCGAGGGCGGCAAGTTCTTCGTCCCTGTTACGCCGCCGCTGGAGGCCGTCGACCCCGTCGGTCCCGCGGGAGGCGTGCAGCCCCTCCGCCCCTCTCAGCTCGTTTGAGCGATACCTCGTTAGATGAGGAAGACATTACATGTCCATAGCATATATAGACCACTGCGTGCTGGCCACTCATGGCCGGACCTTATGATTCCATAGACATTGTAACGACCTGACGAATGCATAGCAAGAAGCAACACAACGTCCGACCTCTGTGACGCAAGAGGGGAGGGGCGCAAGCGGCGATCGCGGCTGCAAATCGTTGCAAGGGCACTTAACACACTGACACGTCCTCGACGTACTAGCGAGAACCTCGTCTTCGTCTTCTCACAACATGGGAGACGTGAAAGGTGCGCTGTTTGGGACGTGCGGCGACAGCTCACAGCCAGCTTCGGACCTCTGGGGAAGATAGTGGCGCCATTGCCATTCGTGACAAGTGAGCTATCGCGCGGTCTTGGAAGCTGATGCCCAGCATTCTACAGCTTGGTGAGCTGATCTACCTGCTCCTATGCAGCTGACACCCAGCGAGCAAAGCTCTTCGTAGGCTTTTGCTGGACGGTCGCAAGCTGACCTGCAGTCGTAGTGAGTCCGTTAAGCTCTCTTCTCGGTTCTACGGTAGTATAGCTGACCTCCAGTTCATGGGTGAGGAGACCGATAGGCTTGCCGAAATCTGTTCTAAGCCTTACGGCCTTACGGCACAGAGTGAGCAGAAGTGAGCTATGCCCAGAACTACCTAGCGAACATCAGATCTGAAGGCAAGCTTCCTCTTTTCTTCGCTCCAGCTGACTCCCAAGAGAGCGGAATCGTCAGCTGTCCAATCGAGCATGAAAGCTAACAGCAGCTCCAGGCTTGTCGGTAAGCTCTCTGATTGGTTGGGAGCTGACCTTCAGTGACTATTGAGCTCGATGATGTCCGCTGCGGAGCTCACCAGGCAGTGTGTAGCGGTATGCTAGTATGTCCGGGTCAGTAGCTGACCACAGTCTCGTCGTGAGCTTGCCACGTTGGCCTGCAAAGCTGACAGCAGTCAAGCAACCGGCTCTGAGTTGCTGGTTGATGTCGTGAGCTGTCCAGCCCTCCGCATCATCAGCTGACCTCAGATCCTTGGATGCTGTCACTGTGAGCTTCATCGGGATCAAGTAAGCTGACCCAGACGCAGTGGTAGTAAGCTTCTCGCCTAAGTCGAAACAGCTGACACCCCGCCAGATGACAGGTTCGTACGCTATAAGATGCACCAACATAGCTAACCTCAGCTTGCAAGATATATCTCAGTGAGTCAATCAAGCAGAAGTCCCAGCTCACGGACAGATATGCTCGTTTCTTAAATCATTCCTCTGGCATGAGCCTAGATGCGGCCAGGTCCATGTGCGTCGGACAGCGCAGCCAGTTGCAGCGGCGAGCTATTCAGCGTTACCTCTTGATAGCTAACATCAGGGAGGGAGATGCACATGACAGCGAGACTGTCGGCTCAGTCAAGACTGGACTCCGGTAAGCTGACGACGGTTCGATCCTTTTCAGCTAACATCAGCCTCTCAAAGTCGAGTTGGCGAGGTGAGTAACCAGACACGGCCGAGGGCTTCAGCTGGTCGGCGCATGGCTGTCAAGCTGACCACAGCAATGGTGAGCACTCGCTCTCGGAGGGCTGCATGCTCCAAGCCGCTGCCTTGCGACGGCGATGATTCTCCTCAGCTAGAACGATGCTCATCTGTAAGCCGTCTGTGAGCTCCCGCGAGGACAAACGGTAGTAGCTGACCGCAGCGTTCTGTTCAGGCCAATGAGCTAGCTTCGGCAGAAGCCGGCTCATAGCAGAAACGCACCTCCAACGACCTTCGCCTGCTGCCACACGGGCAGAGGTGAGCTTTTCTCAACGCCTTCAAAGACAGCTGACACCAGGGTTTGAGGACATGGGCTTACTCGAGCCTACCTCCGGTAGACTGCCACTCTCTCCCACCTTCCTCTACGCTTAGCCAACCCACAACCCCGCTGTCAACCACGAAAAAGAGGAATCTCTCTATCGAGAGGCACCGACCCCGGCCCGACTCGAACGGACAACCTTCAGGAATACGTGAGTATATCCCAGTCATTGGAATCTGAAGCGCTACCAATTACGCCACGGAGTCACCGTGATGTGGTCACGTGTGGAGAGGGCGCAGCTCTCCCACGGACGACACGGCGACGAACCAGACGTGACGCGACCTGATACCTCGGACACTACACTGCCTTACCTTCCTCACCAAATCTCCGCTCGACCACAGCGGCCATGACGTCTTGTCCGAACGGAGCGACCGAGACCGGTGCTCTACATGAGGACATCTGCGCCGTAGCTGTACCAGATCCCCGTCCGTTCTGCATCGCCTAGCTCCTAATGTTTCCGTGCCAAGCTAACGATCGGACTCGTACTCTCTCACTTCTCGCAGACGATAACGGGGAATTCGTCCGGTAGACCAAATCAAAGGCGCGCACGGGACACACGAGATCTGTGTGGGGCGGACACCGAATGTGCTACGCCGCCTCCGCCTCCTTGGCTCGTCGTCTAGTTGGTCCGCCTCCCCCAGTCCATCGGACCCGAGCAGGGCGGAGGCCGTGCTGGACGCCTGGCATGACGGCTAGTGTCACCGCCAGCCTAGAGTTAAGCGCAGCCGGATCGTTCCTCGACACCAGCCAGATCTGTCTTGTCCGTCTGCCTCGCACTTTCGTCGTGATCGAGTGTCCGCTGGGATCTGGCTGTGAACTCACCTCCACTGATCTTGCCCAGCGTTCTGACGATCCGACGTCTATATAACAGCAGCTTGCAGGACGTTAGCCCCCCATCCTCGACAGGAATCAACAAGCCCTCTCGACTTCCACAACACAACACAATGCTGCTCAAGACCGTCTTCCTCACTGCCCTCGCCGCACTCGCCGTCGCTGCCCCCAACCCCAACCCCGAGCCCGAGGAGACCACCCTCGAGGAGCGCAACAACTGGGGCTGGATCCCCGCGATCTACGCCCGTCGCCAGCTGCACCCCAATTGCGGCATCGCCGGCGTCAACTGCGGCAAGTCGGGCCCCTTCTGGTTCTGCGCTCCCTTCAGGGCTGAGTGCTGCAAGGGTGAGACTAGTCATTTGCTTTTCATATGTTCTTGCTCTACAAGCTGACCCCAGCCTCCATCGTCCTGAGCACGCGCGACAACGACGGCGGCGACGGCGGTGACGGCGGTGACGAGAAGCCCGCCGACGGCGGCGAGAGCACCGCTCTCATCTGGCCTCCTCCCATCCACCGCAAGACCTACTGCCCCAGCGGGTGAGCTCTCTAGGACGGCGTGAAGATTCAGCTAACAACCAGTCACTATTGCGCCCAGGGTGGCCGCTGGTGCATCCCTTACTGGCGTGGCGGCAAGAAGACCAACTAGGCTGGTCCAGGCGGGCCGATGGACAGCTCGGTCTGGTCGGACCCGACACCAAGCCTGAAGCAACCTGACGTGGTTTCCGTAATGTCCTATAGTCGTTCAGAAGATATGAAGCTAAGTGAGACGTAGTCCGAAGAGATGAATGAACTCTGTGCAGCACTGCTCCGTGCAATGACCGATCTCGGTCCATGCCTTGGTATCGCTCGTAACCGCGTCTCATCTGCTGTGCGCGGGTGAACGGGACTTTGTGACTTCGGCTCTCCGTGATCGGCGCACGATAGTGCAATTGTAACGTTGTGCGGGATGATCATGTCTGAAGGTGGCCGGATCCGAAACCGAATCTTCGCGGTTCGGTCGGCACGGTAGGCTCTCAGTGCGGTGCAACGTTGGAGCGTAGAGACCAGGTGATCACTTCGAACATTCCTTCTAGCCTCGCCGCTGCCGTTACTCCGCGTTCTGCTGGGGTAGGCGGCGCGCGTCTATATAACGGCGCGCCTGCTGCGGCGAGGCACCGACCATTCCTCCTCCGACGAACATCCCTCTTCCTCGCCGCCCGATCCAGCTCAACCCCGACAAAGCAACTTCCACTACTTCCGATTGTCATGTTCACCCTCTGCAAGTGGCTACCGGCCCTGCTGCTGGCGTGCGCCTTCCTTGGCGTCGCGAGCGCCCAGAGCCAGAACCCGAACCAGAAGGCCAAGGTGCACACCATTGCCAACCCCAACCTCTGCGTTGCCCTCGGCGACGGCACGTACAACCGCGACATCGTCCTGCGCCCTTGCTCGCACGAGTTGGCCACCTGGGCCATCAACAAGAACGAAGGCAAGACGTTCATCCGCCACATCAACCAGTGTCTGAACGGCGCCTACTGTGAGTTCCTAAGGCTTCGCGCCCGCTACCCTTTGATACGCTGACATCAGTCGCCCTCGACTGGGGCTTCAACGTCCAGAATGGCAACCCAGCCTACGGCCAGCTGTGCCAGGACGAAGCACTGCGCTACGCGTACGATCTCTGGCAAGAAGGTGGCCACGACCCCTGGCGCTGGGAACGTCTCTCCACCGGCCAATTCAGGCTCTTCGGCTTCCCGCTCAGTGAGTCTTAGCAAGCTATCAGCCCCATGTATTCTAGCTGACGGACCAGACCCCTGTCTCGACATCAAGGACGGTAGAGTGCAGGAGGGCACCAAGCTCCAGATCTGGGACTGCCATCCCCAGGGCCACCCCGACTACAACAACCAGAAGTTCAACATTGAGTGGCTGGGCCCCGAGTATCCCTAGCCGAGCAGGATGGTCCACCTCATGAACGGACACTGACTCTAACTCTGACCGATTCCGTAGTATGTAGCGAACAATGCATTAGCTTGTAGGACAGATATCGATGAGAGATCGGAGATCGAGATTCTACCTCTGCAAGTCGCTGCTTCAAATGGCGTGGAGGGCGAGCGAAGGTAGTGGCGTTGGTTTGTCCGCGTACGAGCAAGTCGCCGAAGCTCGAGAAGGAGCGTCGACTCAACTGCGGTGTATTCAGCAGCATGCAGTCAACAAACCTGAGAAAGTATCTGCTGCGGAGTCCTTTCCAAGTTCACAAGAAGACACGAATACTCGAAGGACGCAAGAGGGCGCAATGGGGGCGCAGTCTCCGCAGCGGCGGCAAACATCTTCCTTGCTATCAAGTCCAGCCAGCTTTCTCGTCGCCTCTTCTATGCTCTTCACTCTGTCACTTCCTCGACTTGAAGTCTCCATTACTAACGACACGTCGGCTCGCCCAGATCGGCTCAATGGGACGTCTCTTGGCTGGTATTTCAGGTGATCGAGTGCTTTGAACCGCCGATGGCGTCATCAACTGCAACATTGACGGGCTATCGAGTGAGCGATACGCTCTTAATACGATGCTTAGACCTTCGCAGCTATGCAAACAGCGCTTCCCCCCTCCCCGGTCAAGTCAGTACGTTGGTGTGCAGAGCAGACAAGACCAGAACAAGATCTCGGACGGCCGGCCTCAAGACGCCGGTGAGCCATGGCAGCTAGGTAGCCAGCGAGGTAGCTGAACAAGCAGGCTATGCTATCCTCGACCACCTCCTTATCGACAGCGGAACCCGGTCAGCAGGCGAGCACGGATGACAACCGCAGCACGAGGTGGCGGCCAGTTCCAACCCGTCGACCCCAAACGGGACAGTGAGCTGCCAAGAGTATGAAGCTGACGTTTCAGCGGCCGGTAAGCGACGTCCACGCCGGCTCGCCATACCGTCTTCCGTTCCCTGCAACCTGTCGAAGCGGCGAATCTGTCGCCTCCTTGGGTCAAAAGCTAAACGTAAGGGAGGAGATTGCACGACGATCAGCAGTTGTCCAGGTAAGCTTCCAATCCGTACGAATGACATAGCTGACAATCAGCACGCCGTTCACACATGCACGATGCCGGTGTCAGTACCCCATGAAGCTGGTAAGTATCTCGGCTTCACAGTCCTACCAACGTCACTGCCGGTCGACCGTCGGCCTCGGCGTCGGCCCGGCCAATGCGCTCCGGAGCAGGACAATCCTTGTGTCTCTGATGGGATGATAGCTCAGTTGGGAGAGCGCGAGAGTGAAGCTTCAGTTCTTGAGGTCGGGCGTTCGATCCGCCCTCGTCCCACATCGAGATACACTGGTCATGGTCCGCAAGGGCGATGGGTCAGGGTTTTTGTTAGCTGACCCTTCCCGCGACGCATAACTGATGGCAGCCTGTCGAGCTGGTTGATTCGGAGCATCGAGTGGGCGGCGAGTAGTGGTGCAAACGACAGACGTGATTTTCCGCCGATCATTCTCTAATGTTGATCACCATAAAACCAGTTCTACGAACCGGCATTCCCGACCGTTACGCCAGGTCTGTTCGCACCCGCGAGGGCAGCTGACAGGACCGCGGAAACTCCCGAAGAACGCCGTGAGGGTCAGCAACGTCTCCGGCACAGTGCTCGCTAGGAGCCGCGCAAGCCGCACGGCGCGGCGACGTCCAACCTGCCCGCGCGTCATGAAACGAACATCAGCGCTGACGTCGAGGCTTCGAGGCGTAACGAACATGCACCTGGGGGCAGTGCAAGCCTCCTGCTGGTGGTGGCGACGGCCATGTCTCAGAACGCCATGTTCGCTGGACCTAAGTGGCTGAGCACCTGTCATGGATTCTGCGCACGGCCTGGCCATCGTCCATCTCTTCTCTCTTACCCTGTCCGATGTCCGCGAAAGAGTTCTACCGCACGTCAGTGATACAGCTCCGATCTGGCCGTGCATGCCAAGCACCGTCCTCGTCCGTGATGAGCGCTATGATGCTCACTCTTCAGAAAGTGAACCCCCGATTTTCACTGATTCCCAGCCTCCGTGTGCTCGGTGCACAGTGTCTCTGGTTGCGTCAGCTGCTCGTGCGCTCGCTGAATTGTCAGCAGCCTGAATTGTTAGCGGTAGCCAGGAATGTCGGAGGAACGCCCATGCTGCAAGGAAATGAAGAAATTGCCCGCTTGCCAGCTCCCCCAGTCCAGCTCCAGAGCGCTGGAGCGCCAACACTTTTCTGCACCACGCGGACCAGCTCCACTCCTCGCCCCTGCGCACTACGGCACCACTTCAAAAACCATCGACACCATCGGATCCACTCTGCACAGCATTGCGCTTAGTCCTTCATGAAGAGGCTGGCGTCGTAGCCTCAAAAAGTGTGGGCGTTGCGAACGAGGAACAAGGATCAGACAGGGAGGAAGCTCGGAAGAATCTGGCCCTGCGATCTCTTCATGCTCGCTTTACGCTCTCATCACAATTCAGCAGTCTCCATTTCAGAGCCCCTGTCCGAAACTCTCACTCCAACAGGGCCCACCGGCACTACTGCAACACCTCGTCATAATCCAGACCCACTCACGCCCAGACGAATGCTAGACGAACGCTAGGGTCTGTCCCGGCGCAGCTCACTCCAGACGATGCGCACGGCATGCAAAGCTCCATCTCTCCTTCTCAGCTCTGTCACGAGATGTCTCTGATTCCGGGCAATTCCGGGTGGCAGAGCAAGCTGAGCGGTCGCCCAGCCGCAGAGCCACAGAGCCAGCTATGGTCTGCATACCGCCGGCAGCTGCCCGCCGATTCCCAGCCTCCCAGTGTTACCAAATGTACGCTGATGTCACGTAACGACCGGTGCGTCGCACAGTGGAACAGATCACCGTGTAACGCTACCCTCGCTTTCGTTCCTGCACTCCCGCCCATGGACCACAGCCCCACAAGGGCAATGGATATCGTACATGCTGCACATGGCTGCCTCTATAGAGCGTCAAGCTGTGGCCTGACGGTGCGACGTCATGAAGTTGGCGAAAGGAAAAGTTGGGGTGGAGGTCGTCCACCTCTTGCTGCTGAATGCTCGCTGGCTTAGTCGGACTTGGTGCCGTCGCCACCGGTCTGGAAGCCCTCCTCGTGTCCGTTACCCTCATGCATGGCGAGGCGGAAGAGAGAGATGGCGAGGGGCATGCCCATGTCCCTGTTCTCTCCGCCATTGGGCACCAGGACGGCGACGAGGGGAGCGTCATCGAGATGCCTAAACTTCTCCGTCTGCTCCGTAACCTCCTTCGTGCTGTGCTCTGCAGCCTCAGTCACCCTCTTCCTCTGCGCAGCGATCACGTCGCGGACAGCAGTGATTGCGCGCGGCGCCTGCTGTCCGAACAGGAGTTTGAAGGGGTAGCACGGCACTTCGGGCTCAGTAGACCCAAGGTGCGCGAGGAGGGGGACGTGGATGCCCATCCCATCGGGACCGGCGCGCTGCCTGTCCTTGAAGAACGGCGCCTCGCGCAGCTGCAAGTCGAGGAGGGCCATGACCTCTGCATTCTCGAACCCGGGCACCTGGCCCATGTTGACGAGCTCCGTCTCCTCCTGCGTCAGGGGGCGCAGCCACACGCCCGGCTTGGACTTGAGCACGCGCTCGCGCATGTTGTTGAGCTCGCTCTCAATCTGCGTCCGCAGCTGCGCGCCGATCATCATCGGTGTGCCCGCCGGCGACGACGGGGGAGGATCAGCCTGCGTCGCATAACTGCGACCTCCGATACGGACGGTAGCGGGGGCTGCACGGTCGAGAGAGAAGCGTGCAGACACACTAGGGGCGACCCGAGCGGAGAGGAGGGAACGAGCCCCGCGCCCCATCGGACGGGCAAGCGAGCGGAGAGTCATGAGGACAAGCTGGTGCTTGGGCGTTTTCGTTTGGCTTTGTGGGGAATCTGATTCTTTCGAGCGGAGAAAAAGTTGGAGTCGTCGCTTTGCTCTGGCGGCTCGCGAGGTGGATCTGATTTGAGCGCTAGTCGGGCTCGAGTTGCTGGACTGGGCGTACGGCTGCTGGAGCTGCTGGAGCTGAGAGCTGGAGAGTGAGTGCTGGCTAACGAGTAGTCGCGATGAGGGGCCGTCACATGCTGGCCGCTGTGGCTCGGTTTGGATGACGTCGACGGCGGTCCTGCACCCAGTCGGACAATGAATCAAGCGTGTGAAACCTCCACCGAGCGGAGAGCCGTCCCAGGCACGGCTAATCCCTCAAACCAGCTCGGCTCGATGCTGCTGCACGTTGACTCCCATTCATCCCACTCCAAACACACCCGCTGACACCCATTACCCTCCATTCCGCACCAAACTCACCGTGCACTAACCGACGATCGAGATCATGGTCAGCTGATGGGATCATGGGACTGATTTCTCTTTTCACTCGTCCCAGGGGCGGTGCACCGTGCGCCACGGTGGTGGGAAAAACAACGGAGCGCCTCCTCTGCGTCTGCTGATCCTTGTGCTGTGGGAAACAGCTTTCTTCTGCGACAAAGAAAGCCAGACAGAGTGGGTAAGTTTACGAAGAAGCTTTGGTGTGCAGAACGAGCGCGCGCAAGTTAGGACAATGCATTTGACACACTACCTAGCTGAAATGTCCATTTAGGCATATACTTAAGTTCTCTTTCAGTCCAAACTCACCCAACAACGGTCGCCTGTATGAGGGGATTGGCTGATGACCGGATATTATAGAGTTATGGATTTAAGATCACGGTGATGGGGGACGCGGTGAAATGTGTTTGGGACTAATGATAAAGAGAAACTAACAAAATTAAAAGAAGGATGTCGTTAAACTTTCCGGATGACTAGAGCTGCGGACAGCTCAGAGCTCCTTGAAGCTTAGCTCACTTAGAAGAGAGCGGCGGCGATGACACCAGCGATGGTGAGGGCGGCACCGGTGGTGAGGGCCTTGGCACCAGAGCCCTGCTTGGCGGCGTCGGCCTCGGCGCCGGCGGCAGCGGCCTGCGAGGTCTCGGCGGGCTTGTCCTCAGACTTGGTGAGGGTGCCGGCCTCAGTGTACTTCTTGGCGCAAGCACCAGAGCCACCGCGGGGGTCGCACTCGGCCTCACCACCCGAAGTGGGCTTGGTGGCACCACCAGAGCCGGAGGCAGAGGCAGAGGGCTTGGCCTCACCGCTGGTGGGGGCAGCGCACTTCTTGGCGGAGAGGGCGAGGGCGGCGGTCACGTCGTCGGCACCGCAAGCGGCAACACAGGGGGTGACGGCGGTCTTGAAGGCGTCGGTACAGATGCAGGCAGTGTCGTCCTGGCCCTTGCATCCCTGCTTGGCGGCACCCTCAACCATGCACTTCGAGGCACAGGGGGAGAGACCCTCGATGGTCTCACCCTCGCCACCGGCGGAGGGCTTGGTCTCACCAGCGGAGGAGGTGGGGGCGGGGGCCTCAGAGGACTGCTCACCGGCGTCAGACGAGGGGGCGGGGGGAGCCTCAGACGAGGGCTCGGGCTTGGTCTCCTCGGAGGAGGTAGGCTCGGGGGCAGCAGACGACTGCTGGTCACCACCGCCCTTGATGCCCTCAGTGCAGAGGGTGGAGACCATGGAGATGGCCTCGGCGGCCTTGTCGGCGCATCCCGAGAGAACACAGGGGGTAGCGGCGGCGACGAAGGCGTCCTTCTTGCCACAGACACAGGCGGTGTCGAAGATGGAAGAGCAGCCGACAGAGCCAGCGGTGGCGGCGGTCTCGGCACAGTTCTTGAGACAGGGGTCGATGGTGTTGGGGCTGGAGGAAGTGTAAGCAAAAGTCTATATGGCGAGGAAGGCGGCGGTGGGAAAGGGTGTTTGTTGGGTGAGATACTTACTCAACGGGCTCGGCAAGAGCGACCGAGGCGGCGACGAGGGCGGCGACGAGAGAGTACTTCATTGTGATTAAGGAAGGGTTGGTTGTTGTAGAGACCGGAAAGGACTGATCGAGACTGGGGGAAGAGTCAGAGAAGAGAGGAAAGCGAGTCTGATGGAGATCGGTTCTGGGAGCGCGGGAAGAGGTCTTATATACCTTGTGACAGGTGTGGACGAGAACCGAGCAGGACGGGGGAGACTAGTGGGTGATGGTGGGCCAGAGGAAGGGGACACCATCCGGGCCGGTACGAGTTGTCGAGACCAGTCGGGGCCGTGAACGGCGCACCGTCCGAGAGAAACCACTGCATGCATCGCACAACCTCTCCTCGCTCGGCACGCGGCCGTCTGCAGTCCCAAAGGTGACCCTCAAGACCCATCCCAACGTCAGTGCCACAGCGTCTTCCCCGCAGGGTGCATCTCACTAGCTCAGGTCCGCCTTGAGGAGACAACGATTGCCGTTCTTCAGGGTAAAATCACGGTGAACCATATGCAGCCTCACGCGCGGACCCTGGACCACGGCATTCATCCGGGGTGCAACCTTGCGAAGGCGCTCGGGCGCCAGAAGACCCAGAGGGCTACGAGGGAGGAGGAGAGTCTGCGGTGAGCGACGGGCAGGCCGTGGACGCCTTGATGGCAGGCGACAATTCAGGTCCGGCACCAGGCCTGCCCAGGCAGCTGGTTGTTGGCAGCTGGGTGCCAGTCTTGCGCGTTGCTCTTCGGCTCCCAGGCCTGAGAAAAGATGGGATGGGTCCAGGACATTTCCTCGAGTCTCGCCAGGCCCGCCAGACAACGACGGGCCCATGATGGTGCGTCTCTGCAAATGCACTAATTCACGACACTTTCCGGATCAAGTCAAGCTTATTTTCAGAAGCAGCCCAGGGCGGCAGGCCCACACGTCCCTGCCATGTCCGCCATGTCCTGTCCTCCTCCGGCGAGTGCAGCCCTTTGCAGACCCTGCAGACGTCGCGCTCCCTTCCGTTGCCCTGCCGGGCATTCCTGCAGACCCTCAGCTCACCTCAGCCCGCTCAGCCCGTGCCTTGCGCTCCTCTTGCACAGCGCTAACCGGCGCCCCGGCTTCGACCCCGGACTGCTGCTGCTCCCCCAGGTATTGTGCCTTGGCCCGTCATGAGCGCTGGACGCCTCCGCCCTCTCTTCTCAGCCTCATGTTCACCGTGGATCGGGCAGACTCGAGTTACATCTCTACCCCCCATTCACCGTCCACCCGGACGCATTCTGGCAGCAAACACACGCCGTCAGGGTCCAAGGCTGGCTGCGCTGTGCAGGTTGTTTGGATTTACCGAAGTGGTTCGCCGGACACGGACATGGAGATGAACACCTTGCGCCTCCCTCCCTCCGCCCACCTGCCCAACTAGCAGACCAGTTAGGTTCAGACCAAGCTCGCAGCACCCGGCTAGTACGGCATAGTGGCCTCGGGGCAAGCTTCTGGGTTGTGATCGCCGTCATTGGGATCGAGTGCCTTCGATTGACTAGTTTGAGTTAGTTTTCCTGCGCTGGGCTTGCTAATGCCTGCCGCCGTGTTTCTCTGTCCTTGCAGGCTGGACCTGACGCAGGCTTGGTTCCGATTGAGTGGGTTTTCGCGCTCGCCTGCGCTCCTGGTGAGGTATATCCACGCTTCCTTCCGCTCCTGCGATACGTACCGCATGCCGCAAGGTGCTTCAGCTTCTGGCGTCCTAGCTTACTGGCGCCCGGCAACAGGCTCAAGGAAGCAGGCTGAAGCCTCGCGCTAAACGCTGTGCAGCGCCCTCGGGTCACGAGGATGCATGCTATTCACTGCTAACGAAGAACTGGGATGCACTAAGCGGAGCCATGGCGGTTGGTGTCATCACGTTCTCGGTGCTAGATCGCCAGGTGGTCTTCCTGTGAACCATGTGTCTGCAAGTGCGAAACCCCCTGTTTGTGTTGCTACGCCTGCTGGATTGCTCACGAATCTGCACAGGCAAACGTCAACCGCAAAGTGACAGAATCAGGCCCTCAGGACAGTCAGACAAGCCCGAGCGAGGTCATGTGCTCAATCGTGGGTGGTGCATGGGTAACGCTTTACCTAACTGAGTAACCAGGCGGTCAGTGAACATTGTCCGTGGCGCTTTGGCTAGGTAGGCAGATCCCCCGCCCAGCGCGCTCAGCTGCATCGGGGCCAGTACCCCGACAGCCTGCCATCGGCAACCGAGGCATCCGGGTCCCAACGAAGCTCAGTGCTTTGTATTGGACCATGGTAACAGGATATCGTATAACCTTGAGAACGGTTAAGCATGCCCATCAGAGCTAGGCACAGAGGAAATAGGAACAGCCTTCGCAAATGGATTTGGGCGCATCAGGTTTGCTTCCAGCTGTCTCGAAGGAGCGCATCACCTATTCAGCTTGCGTATCGAGGTTACCGAGAGTGGGCATGAGAACCAATGGATGAGATCCGCCCATGATGACCATTCGGGCTGCGGGCGGGGCCGGCTCTGGTGCTCCGACGACCTTGTTCTGGGTGGTTCTCTCTGTGCCTCAGGCCTGTGCATCCTGGAGGTGTAACTCATTTGAGCAAAGGTAAATACGAACGATAGCAAATGGGAGCCAACAAGAACCTTGAACAAGGTGCCAGTAGATGAGCAGCTCAGAATCAGACCCCGGAAAACGCCAGTCCCTGAACCTGGCGAATACACGACGGCTTACAGAGGCACACCTGTACTGCAGCGCCCGCATACTGAGTAAGGGACCTAGGGATTCAGCACAGCCGGTCGGAGAGGAAGAAAGGGTTTGCAACTGTGCAGAAAGCGGAGGCGGGGGCGGGGTAGCCAAGCGTCAGACTGATGAGCAAAGGACGTCGGCATCATATCCTGTTTCCCGAATCCTGAACAAGGAGCCAGGAGCCGCCCCGCCAGCGTCGTACAGCAAAAGGCCACACGAGACTCATTTGCGTTTGCTCTGCACTCACTCAGCGAGCAGGCACGAGTATGTGTGAACTCTGATCTGGCGAATTGGCCGAGAACGGTTTCAGGCTTCTCACTGTTGGCAGTGGGTTCAGCAGGTCACCCTCACACCGCCTCCGCAGCCTCCTGCCGCCTGTTCTCCCTTCCAGCTCTTCTCCCTCAAGACTCCAGAAACAGCGCAAACATCGGGGGTGGCGATCCTGGCAAGCGTCCAACCAACGAGCAAGCTGATGCACATGGGGGATCGAGGCATATGCTTGTTCAATTCTTTATTTGGCTACGGCTGAGGCAAGCCAAAGGCTCGGCATTGGCGCTCACGCCTGGACAAGGAGGCGTGCAGGCGTGGTGGAAGGAGGCGCTCATTGACATGTTCCTTCCGCGCCTGAGGCGCCCTTGGACGCCGCAAGGTACCCACCTCAGCTTCAGGTAATTAGGCAATAGCGTCTTGTTTGCATTCCGTGTTCGTCCAGATGGCTGGAGCACTCGTTATTGGAACTCGGAACGGCGAGTCGCTCCATGCATTTGTGCAATTGTAGACTCCGATTCAGGCGTTCCAGCTGCAAGAGATGGGCGGACCGGCAAGCCGAGTTTGACAGCAATGTGCTCGGTGCGAACTGCACATGGTTGGATCCGATGGGCCGCTCTGTCCTCGTCTGCCTGCGCCGAAAGATCGTTTACATCATAGGCTCTTGGCAGCGATCCATGGGCAGCAGGTGACTGACAAGGAGAAGAGGCGCATGCCGCTTGCTGTGTTACAGCCGACAGCGCTGCGGAGCAATTAACTCATCAGCCCGATCGTAACATTAACGAAAAGCCGCGCGTGCGACTGCCAGCCCAGATTTGCCCAAGACCAGAGATCTACACACTGACCCATGACAACTGCTGCGATTTTGTCAATTAAGATTACACTATACTTTTCTTGCGCACCACTCGAGTTTCTCATGCAGCATTCGAGCAAGAAAGACAGAACAGCCAGAACCCGAAGCAAAGTCTGAGCCAGGGTCCCGGTCGACCTGACCGGGCGGTTTACGGATCCGCCGAGGAAACCCAAAGTCGTCGAGTCGGTGGACTTGCACTGCACTGGCGAGAAGAGAGTGGAGGCGTACGTCGAGCATGCCTCGAAGCCCATGACAGCCGTGCCGTGTTGCCGTGCCACGGATCGATCCGGAGAGTTGAATGACGTACCTCAGTTGTCCCTGGACTGATGCTCGACCAATTCGATCCAACTGAATGCGCCGGCTGGTTCTCACGCAGCGAAATTGAGGAAAAGGAAAGCAAACGCCAACAATCCCGATTACGGAGAGGTGAGCAAACCGCTCCTGATTTTGCCTGACATCTGGGCCGGAAGGAATGCCTGGGTCAGCAGCGGGTGACGGTTACGCCTCTGATCTCATCCTTATGGTCCTCGGGCGCCTGCCAGGTCCCTCGGCGGGGGGCTCAGGGTGAGGTGCCGTAACTCTTTTCCTGGTCCGGGGTCCTCTGCTCCCACCCCGCTCCCCCACGCTGCGCAGCACCCCGGCCGTGCATTCTCCATACTTCATGAGGATGCTGGATAGGACACAACAAGCTCCGGTAGCCGGTCACCGCCCTGCAGGCGACAGGGTTGGCGGGTTGAGAATAGCAGCCTAAGGCGGCCTAAGGTGGCACTCTAAGGACCACATGTCTCGACCTGGCGAGACACTTGCTACACATGTCCATGTCGCGTCTACTTCGCTGCCCGAGCATCTCCAGGAATCGCAAGGATCGCGTCGATGCGAGTGAGGCGCAGCGAGGCTTGCGTAGCGGGAACTGCGACTCCTGAACCTCGCCGAAGCACATGTTGCGCCCATGCCGGCTTCAAAGGAGTTCCGGACCGTAGCGCAGAGTCTGGTTACCCTTACTTGCGACGAACGACTCGCTCATGGCCCGGCGGCTTTGCGTGGGGGGTGTGGAGGGGTGCGGAGTGCTGCATGGGGGTGGCTGAGCGCGTAGGGTGGGACTGCCCAATGCACGAGCACAGACGCGAACGGACGGGCTGAAGAGGATTCTAACGCGTCCTTCTGATCATTCCTGGTCCTTGCGACTGGGCGCGACCTTTGTCTGAGAATAGCGGCCAACAGCAGGATCCATCTTCCGCACAGCAAGCCCTCGGACCGGTTGGTTACGGCCGGTCCATTACCCGCATCGCCCACACTGAAGCCTCCCTCAAACGCGCTCATCATCCCGGATTTGCAGAGCACGGGCCAGTCCCGCGCGATCATGTGGACACGAGATGGACACTTGAGCACGGATCGTTGGAGTTGGCCGAAGGAACACGAGTGCGTGAAGGCGCGAAAGTGCGCACGTACATTGCGGTGCCCGCAGTGGGTCCGAAGTGGACGGGACGGCAGGAGTAGGCGTGTTTCCATCCTGTTCATTACTCATCATGCGGGCAGTAGCGCGCACGGGACGCTCGACTGGCCGCACCATCGCTCTGGAACAACGCTACCATCACTCTGGTACCACTCGACACCATGAGCTGCGGTGGTAGTGAGTCCGCTAGGGATCGACGACAGTTTATGGTTTCTGGTGCTCGCTAGCAAGCAGTCCAAGATCGTCGCTCCGTTGCTTTCCGCCCGAAAACGACACTACTGAGTCCGCTAGTCTGTTTCGGCGACCGGGATATCCACGCCGCACCCACTAGTCGTGCTATGCTTTGCAGTAGGGTCTACAAGCTTGGCGTGCTGCGTCTCGGACTCGAGTCTCACTATAGGAGGCAAAGAACGGAGAAACTGAGCTTAACGGATTCCAGTGTGAACGACACCGTCTGTAAAATCGACAACGGCGATAACCAATATCGTGGGATCCGCCACCGATGTGTCTCCGCAGTCGCTCTGCATCGTGTGTGGCTGTTAGAGCTGCGCAACATGCACTGCGTGCCGTTTCTGGGCAGCGAGTGCTCCGCATCGGATGTGTATATCCGTTCAGCCTAGGTTCTTGAGGTGTCTACATAAACAGCCGTCAGAGGCGCGGCCATCAGCCGGATGCCTATGGCTTAACTGCTGTTCTTACTTCGACGGGCGAGGAAAACCCTCTTCCACCCAGTCCGATTGTCGAGACTCTCGAAGATCGTGAGCTGACGTTGACCCACACTGATCAGCTGCTGATGAGGTCGCTTAGCGCCCAACTCATCCGTGTTGTTGAATATCGAACGTTCAACACCCAGAAAAGGCGCTACGGCAAAGCGGACAGACTAGAGCAAACGCTAGCAGAGTCTAACGCACTGCGGCCAACACCGAGTGCGCTAAAGGTGGCATTTGCGCTACGTTAGCACATCCGCGGTGTGGCCTGGGCTAACGCCGTCTCGGTTCGGATCAAGCGCATCAGCTGGCTCATGTGTGCAGCATGCGTAGGCTGCCGCCGGAGCAGGGTCGGTCAGCCCGCCGGGCTCGGCACAGCATGCGGCTAGCACGGCTGCTAGGAGGGCTGGAACGGCGTTATCGGCGGAGTGCGGAACGCTGGAAAGATAAGGCGCGTTGTCATCCGCCTCACGTGAGTTTAGCCTAACAAGCTCGGACTTGGGATGGGACTTCGATGTTGGCCCGGAGTAACTCGTTACGGAGCTCGGACGTGCCTTCGCTAGCCCGAGCAATGGCGGTGCCGTGGCGTGTGGTCGTGTGCATGCTCTCGCGCATGCCGTACCATGTGTCCTGGCGGCCCCACGGGCAGCGATGGCGTGCACTTGCACCGCGCTCGGCGTGCTTGGAATGTTCGGGGGCGGTGTCGTGAATGCTCCGAGACGCAATCGCAGCCATTCAGAAGGCACACGACATGGGTCGCGTGCATCGCGTGATTGCGTGTTTGGTCACTCGCTATTTGCTTTCGGACCCGGCGTCGGTACGCCGAATGCGGTATGGCTCGTCGGACGGACGTTGGTCCTGGCGGACCTGACGGTCCTGAACACAGCTTGGGGGCCCGCTGTCTGCGGAGCTGCGTACGCCGGAGTTGCCAGGGACAGCCGTCGCCGAGGTCTTGGCAGCGTGATTAGGGCTTGGCTCGGCGCGCGTCTGCGTGTGCTCGACGCGTAGCGGGGGCTCCAGAGTCACCATGGCTGCGGGGGGGACGTATCGAGGCCGGGGGACAGGGACGGACGGGGTATTCTTGAGATCGTCCGCAGCATGTTAGCCAGCCACCAGCCAGCATACAGCCGACATGAGAAACCCAGGCTCTCGGCGCTCATAAGCTCACACGAACGACTTAGAGGTGTGTTCGGCGCATCGGCGTGTTTGGATGGCGACCGTCCCTTAATCGCGAGCTTGTCACCTTCGACGGGGGTAATCGCGTCATCGTTGAGCATAATGGCAACAACACCTCGCACGACCTTCACACGATCTTCGTGGTCGTGTGCACGCACGTTTCATATTCAGGAAGAACAGTCTCGACAGGCCCCGGAGACTTTGCATCGGCTCCGGATACCGAAACACTGGTCGAAGAGGTCCGAAGATGAGATTGACCCGAAGCTTGGCAACCGGTCGCAACAGGGACAGGGGACATGGCCTTCTTCTCCAAACTCCAATATCTGCCCCCGATAAGGTGTACAAGAGTGCAGGAGCTCCTACGTAGAGCGCCAAGGCGCCCCTACACTACGCTGACAAAGCCACGTATCGACGATCCGTTTATGCGCAAACCGTGGCCGCCGAGATCTGACCCAGAACTGATGCGAGCCTTCCTATTGGCGATACTGACCTTGTTCCCCGCCTTTGTCAGGTTCTCGTTGCCGATGCGCCGACGTACCGGCAAGCCGGAAGTGGAAAGAGTCTGGGTTCTGCTGATCAGCGAGGCTTGGCGATGGCCAGACCCGAGCCCGAAGCGTGAGAAGGCGTCACAAGGCTGGACTAAGGACTTGAATCTCGACGGACGTCGGCATCATCAGCGAGATCGTGCCTGGCGCCAGTCAGCGACATTCCGACAATCCGTTCGTGGCATTTCGTGCTCCAAACACCCAACATTCCATCCACGGCGACGTTGTCGAATGGAATGGCATTTGCTCACGCAGCTCTCTCACGAGCGTCACCTGTCACTCGGCAGATAGATCACCAGTCCCTTCTACGCTGCAAAGGATCTTCAGTTTACACTTCTCAGCAACGGTGACTTCTGATGAACAGCCTTCCCCATGACAAATTCTGTTATCGTCTGTCTGCCCCAGCCTGCGGCGGGTGTGACGGGAACCTGCGGCGGAGCAGATTTAAGGTGTACTATGACGACGCGTTCGGTGTCTTGTGAGAATCGGACAAGAAGACCGAAGGCCCGAGACTGCGCAGCGGAGGCGATGCCGTGGCCATTAGCTGCGCTCTAACAACGTGACCATGGCCGCCACCTGCAACTTCAGCCATGGAGGCTATGAGTCATTGCGATAGTTGAGTATCGGATGTCGTTAGGACTTTAGGAGGCGAAACGAACGCGTCGTCGGCCGTCCGGGCCGGTCCAGAAAATGTGAAAGACGAAAGTGTTACTCTAGTGTAATCGAACCCTTATCAAGGTCAAATGGGGATAAGGAATGTGAGCTGATTTGTAATGCGGGACTCTGCGGCGAACGTCGGCAAGCTTCGGGACCCTTCGGTTCCTCGGCACCTGCAAGCCAGATTTTCGGGATATCGACGCCTCGCTCGCCTTGATGAGTGCGGGTTTGCCTTTCCTCCCCGCTCGTTCGCTCGCGTCCGGACAGTCTAGCCCTGTCTGTGTCGCGCCTCCAACCGTTCCGGTCGCTCTTTCCCTCAGATCCTCAGGCTTGCTCAGGCAGAACTAGGCATCGTCCACTCAGCCTCCTTCGCCTCGTTCGCTTCTGCGGAGGGCTAGCCGTTGTACTGTCGCGTTGTCCCGCCGAATCGGGCTGTCACCCGCGCGCCAACTACGATCTAGACCCAGCCGCGATATGCCCAGACTCGTAGAGGCGTGGGCCTACCCCTTGTCATCGCCACCGAATGCGCGCCACCATCGTTCTTCACCCTTCCGCATGACTCGAACCGGGCTCAAGGCTGCGGGCTGCGGCTTGCTCCATGGCACCATGGGTACTGACCGACTAGGCGACCCGGCGAATTCTGCTGTTACCTCTTCACACTCCTTCTCACTGCGCTGTCCCTGTTCGGCGTGCGCTAACTACAAAAAACTGCACACCCGCCCTCACACTGACCTCTTCCAACTCCCCTCTGCTGCTCGCTTGCCACTCACTCACCCATCACAGCATATAGGCCATACCCATCTGTCTTACGTCTAGAATACGATGGACCACGATGAAGCCGCCGCGTCCACCGCCTCCAGTTACGAGCTCTCCCGTGTCTCAACCGCCGCACGCCGCCCGAGTCGTACTGCTCAAGAACGCCCTCAGCTAGCCCCGTTTAGCTCTGCCTTTGGCGGTTTCACCCCTCTCGACACTCCTCCGATTACCCCACCAGAGAGCAACAATGAGAAGATTGAGTCGATTCCACCAGCTCCGGTCGACTATTTGTCGTACAAGGAGGTCGTTCCTGGACCCAGTGTACCGCCGACGCCTGGAGAGACCGAGTTCTACCCAACCGACTTGGAGAGCGGATCCAGTACGCCTCCGTCGCCCACTGCGCACAACTCAACGGCGGACCTCACCATCGCCGAGCTCGCCAATGAGGCTGCCCCTTTGCCACCGGTCGATCGTGGCCGAGCCGCGATCATGTACCTGGTCGCCGTAACTCTGATCGAGGCGACTGTTTGGGGTCTACCCTTCTCCGTCGGCGTGCTGCACGAGTATTGGCTGTCGGAGCTGTTTCCGGACCCCTCCGCCGCCGGCGTCCTGACCCTCGCGTCCACGCTTCCGACCGGTCTGCTCTACTTCTGCGGCGTCTTCATGGGCCCGCTCTTCACCGCGTTCCCCTGGTTTGAGCGAGAGCTCCAGTTTGCTGGTCTGTTCATCTCGACAGCCGGCCTGCTCGCAAGTGCTTTCGTGACACAGCCGTGGCAGCTCATTCTCACGTTCGGCATCATGTTCCCCATGAGTGGCAGCGTGTACCTCCCCTGCGCCACGAACCTGTTCGAGTGGTGGAAGGCGCGCCGTGGCATGGCGACGGGCATTATGTACGCCGGTACCGGGCTCGGCGGCTGCGTGTTCCCGATCGTGGTAACAGCGCTCCTGAAGGCCTTTGGGTACCGCACGACCATGGTCTCGCTGGCTATCGCGTACCTCATTATCATCGCGACGTGCCTGTGCTTCACGAAGCGCCGCGTACCTCTGCCGACCTACGTCACCGGTGGCCGCCGCAAGCGCACCCGTCCCCCTGTCGACTGGTCTTTCCTCCGCCGCCGGGCGACCTGGGTCGGCTTCGCGTTCATGATGGTGCACTCGCTTGCAAACTTCATTCCCCTGCTCTGGATCACATCTTTCGCGACGCTTGTAGGCGCGAAGAGCCCTGACGGCCCGTCGCTCGTAGCCATCGTGAACGGCGTCACCGCGTTCGGCAATTGTCTCTCGGGGTGGGTGTCAGACCGCGTTCCTTGCCGAATCGCTGTCACTGTTTCCTGCCTCATTGCCGCCGTCAGCACGGCCACACTCTGGGGATTCGGTGACAATGAGAAGTTCCTCCTCGCATTCGCAGTGATGTGGGGTCTAACCGCCGCAAGCCTGGCGGGCATGTGGGGCGCGATGATCACCACAATCGCGCAGAACGACCCGTCCACGACCGTCGTCGCCTTCTCAGCGTTCATGACACTCAAAGGCATTGCGAGCTTCACGTCCGGTCCCATCTCGACCGCCCTCCTCAACTATGGCCCTATGGCCGGCGCTCCCGGCGCGTACGGCAGCACAAACTACGGAGTGCTCATCATCTTCACCACCATTATGACTGGTGCTGGAGGTTTGATCACCATCGCCTTCCCTGGATAGGCGCCCTGTTCTATCATGACATTATCGCTTCCCTCACCTTCCCAACCACCCTGCAACACCAACCACCCTGCAACAATCACCCTGGACATTCTGCTTTCCGCATTCATCTCCTGTATGTACGACGAACGAACAAACGACCAGCTCTTGTTCCCCCCTGTTCATAGACTTCGATACCACCTGCCGTAGTTGATGGCATTTAACGAAGATTCGGAAGCTTTGAGTGTGTAGCAGTCAGCGGCCCCACTGGCGGGGGCGAGAGCACCGAGGTGTGGGTTTACCCAGGGGTCTCCGACCCTGTGGGCGAGTGGCGTCGAGATCGTCCAGTCGGCGGTCGCCGGCCGAAGATCTCCTGTAGCCTGGACTTCGACTTCGACTTGCGAGTCGGGATTGCGCGGCTGACGCGAAGCGGTGGGCATGGTTTAGTGCAGGTTTCCGAACTCATCCTCGACGAGGATCTCGTCCGCCCTGCACAAGATGTGGGTCCTCATGCGGCTCGTGTCGGCGCCTCCGGGGTGGCTCTTCTCCATGCCGAGGCGGTGGGCGTTCTTGGGCTGGTCGAGGGCGACGCGTCGTTTCTCGAAGAACACGTACCCGGCGTAGTAGACACGCGACGTATTACCAGCCACGGGCCCGCGCTTGGCGAGGAAGTCGTTCAGCTGCTTGCTCTGAATATTGACTTTCTCCGAAAACTGTGCACCGAGGTCACGCAGGAATGCCGCGCGCGTCACGCCCGGCAGCTTCAGGTGTGCCTCGATCTTGCGGCGGACCACGTCGCAGCTGTCGTACACCGGCACGCTGTCGGTGTCCTCGCCATTGAGCTTGACGCCCGTCACGTCCGCAGTCGCAGTGGTAGGTTTGGGCGCCTTGGCTTTGCCTTTGCTTGCGGGCTTGCCAGCCTCGGCGACGATGCCGGCGGCAGCCGAGCCCGCGGGAGGCGCGTTTTCCTTGCCAGCAGCAGGAGCAGGTTTAGCCTTGGGCATCTTTTCACCTCGGCGCTCCATGTCGAGGAAGAAACGCGTCGCAGCCTCGTACACACCACCGTCGCAGCCCTGCATCGAGCCAGTGTACCGCATGAAGCGGCCCCACGAGTTGGAGTTGACGCCGAGCTCGCGCTGCATCTCGGTCGTCTTCGCGCCGCCGTTCTCGATGTACTTGCGCAGCTTGCCGCGGATCTGGTTGCACGACCACTTATACTCGACGTCCGGGTCGTCGCTGATCATATATGTCTTCGTCGCGGGCATCGTGTGTCGTCTCTGTGTTATGAGTGTGCTGTGGGAACTCCCAACAGCCGCTCCACCTTCACACTCAACAATGGACGCGTCGCAACGTCGGGTCGGAAGTAAATCAATCTCGTCGTGATCCTCTGATCCTCTTGCCACCCAGTCACGTGACATTGCCAGGAGACTTGGGTGGCGAGGTCCTGTCCATTTTTGACCAGTGATTCGAGTGTGTCAGCGCTTATGCATGCTTGTAAAAGTGGCGAGGTAACGCTAGCACTAAGTGCTAGAATAATCTCTGAGTATGAGCCTGTAACTGCAGTATTGGGAGAGTGCAAGCTTGGAACATAGTGCACAGCAAGTGTGCGCGCTTTCTACGAGGTTCACGAGCATCTGCCTGTGCAAACAACGCCAGCCAACAGAATGGAGTGCTCGCCTACAGCTAGACGCACTTTCCTGATGCTCTGAATGCGGAAACGCTAAGATTCAGACTGGTACCAATGCATGGAGCCCAGAGACACACTGTCTTCCTCGCGTTCGCCACACTGCCACGGACAAGAGACGATGTCACCACCATGTTGCAGCCGCCCGCCACAAACGCGAGGGAAGACGCTGTTTCGAGAGGCAAGCAGACTTGGAACATATGCGGGCCAGCACAGAATCACGCGCCAGTGTCTTACTGCTCGTTGCGACCACACGTGACAGACTTGGTCAGCGGGGCTGCAGAGTTTTCTTGACCCCTACTCCAGGAATCCAGGAAGCACCTTCCCCCAAGCATCCACGATATCTTTGCTGTGATTCATCCCAAGTTTCCATCCCTTTCAATCTCCAACATACACCGCTTGAAGGAAAATGCGCAGGCGCAAGTGCCGGGTCCCCAGCGCCCACTGCGGGCTGTGGAACGGCCCTTCCTCTTACCCTTGCCACCAGCCCGGTGGCCGCAGTAGTGAGCTCAGATAGCTGTGTGGGATACAGCCACCTCCCTAACAATCTCCACTCCTACTGCGACATGTTTCGCCCATAGCTGTGTTGTGTAGATCTAAACGCGGTCGGCACCAGTATCCCAGAGATCCACCGCGGTCCACGCGCTGATTACATCATTCTTTATCAGGCTCTCTGCTATCTGACCCCTCTAATTCCGGCTTTCCGGCCAATCTGCGCTGTCCCCTGCCCGTTCCAGCACCATGCATTGAACTGAGACGGGTCCGGCGTTCTGGATATCGCACTCCTTGCTGAGGAAGGTCACGTGTTCGCATAGGCTGTAGCGCTGAAGCCCAGGTGAGTATCGCGCGCCTTTGCGGCGGAGCTCGCCGGATCGGGACATCGTAGCGAGGTAGACGAGATTGGCAGGATTTCTGCTGGTAGGTGCAGGGTTCTGGCTGATTACATCACCACGTGTCCTGGGCCGAGGTCGCGGTCAACCCGGCGACCTGCTGACGTCTTTTCCCACGCTTCCTTTCTTCTTTGTCTCATGCAATATGTCGTGTGCATGCAGCGAGCGCGCAGTCGAGTCCGCGTATCTTTTTTTAAGACTCCTAATGAGTGTCCATTCGCTGACTGATGGGTGGGGAGCGAAAACAACACGGCGTCCAAAAGGTCAGATGCAGCGGCCCGGCATTTCAAATGAGCCGCGAAAAGGTCAGATAACCCTGCGCTGGGCGGGCAGCCGCCGCCAGAAAGGTCAGATAGACGTCGGATCTGGGCGTGCACTCTGCTCCCGCACCCGTCGGTTATCAACGCCAACCCCAGCCTCGTACTGGTCGTTCCCTCTCGTGCCCCCTCGTTCCCCACCGGCTAGCAGGCGACTTAACCCCCCCACCGTCCATTCGCGCCGTTTCGTTATAAGCGCCAGACGCCCACCGACTCGCTCCTCCTCATCCCCTATCTTTCTCAAAAATGACCGTCGCTACCCAGTACAAGAACCAGTGCTACGTCAACGGCAAGTGGGTCTCCTCCGAGTCCGGCAAGACCTTCGCCGTCACCAACCCCGCGACCGGCGAGCACATCGCCGATGTCCCCGACATGACCGAGGAGGAGGTCCTCGGCGCGGTCAAGGCTGCTGAGGACGCCTTCCCCGCCTGGTCCAACACTCCCCCCAAGGTGAGCTCCACGCAGCGCTCTCAGCGAATCCAGTATGCTAATGACAGGCCCGTTCCGACATCATCATGAAGTTCTACCAGCTCATGATGGAGCGCACCGACGAGCTCGCCAAGCTCATCACCCTCGAGAACGGCAAGCCCCTTGCTGACGCTGTCACCGAGCACAAGTACTCGGCCTCGTTCATGGAGTGGTTCGCCGCCGAGGCTATGCGCACCGACGGCGACGTTATCCCCTCGACCATCCCCGGTCTCCGCAACGTCGTCATCCGTCAGCCCGTTGGTGTCGTCGGTATTATCACCCCCTGGAACTTCCCCTCTGCCAGTGAGTATTCGGTCTTAACGAGCTGGACTGTCGGCTAGCTCCACGGCGGCGACTTCCGCCGGAGCTATTATCCGGTTGCCTTGCTGGAATGTGAGACAGCTTCCGGACGCCGGAGCTGCATGTGCCTCTGGGGAAGCTGGTTTCGCAACCGCTGCATAGCGCCCTGCTCTTTTCCGAGAAGCGCGGCTGGCTATCAGAACGGTCGCAGTCCGCTCCACCGCGAGAGCTACGACCTGCTCTCTGTGTGATACTGTAGCTGACCTCCAGTGATCACCCGCAAGGTCGGCCCTGCCCTCGCCGCTGGATGCACCTGCGTCGTTAAGGCTCCCTCTGACACCCCTCTCTCGGCCTTCGCCCTCATGGAGATTGCTGAGCAGGCCGGCGTCCCCGCCGGTGTTATCAACGTCATCTCCTCGCGCAACTCGCGCATGTGCGCCAAGATCCTCTGCGAGCACCCTGTCATCAAGAAGATTTCTTTCACTGGCTCGACCGGTGTTGGCCAGCAGCTCATGGCCCAGTCTGCCTCGACCCTGAAGAAGATGTCTATGGAGCTTGGCGGTAACGCGCCCTTCATCGTCTTCGAGGACGCTGACATTGACGACGCCGTCAAGGGCGCCGTCATTGCCAAGTTCCGCTCCTCGGGCCAGACCTGCGTCTGCGCCAACCGCCTCTACGTCCACGAGAAGGTCTACGACGAGTTCACTTCCAAGCTCGCTGATGCCGTCCGCGCCTTCGTTGTCGGAAACGGTATGGACAAGGGCGTCACCCATGGCCCTCTCATCCATGAGCGCGCCGTTGCCAAGGTCAAGGAGCACGTTGAGGACGCCGTCGCCAAGGGCGCCAAGGTCCTCGTCGGTGGAAAGCCCGGCAAGGGCAACTTCTTCGAGCCCACTGTCCTCGTTGACGTGCCCGTTGAGGCTGTCGTCAGCAAGGACGAGACTTTCGGTCCTCTCGCCCCCTGCTTCAAGTTCTCTTCGGAGGAGGAGGTTCTCAAGCTCGCCAACGACACTGAGTACGGCCTTGCTGGCTACTTCTACTCGCGCGACATCGGTCGTGTGTGGCGTGTCGCTGAGGCGCTCAAGGCCGGCATGGTCTGCGCCAACTCTGGCGTCCTTTCGCAGGCCACCATCCCCTTCGGAGGCATCGATCAGAGCGGACATGGGGTTGAAGGCTCTCGCTTCGGAATTGATGAGTACATGGTGAAGAAGCTCATCGCGATGGGCGGCCTTGGAACGAAGTACTGAGTGTAGAAGAGTAGATGTTTCGTGAGATATTGTCAGTAGTTTTCATGCCACCTGTAGTTTAGTCCACCAAAAGTGCCACTCACGTGAGGCTGCCCTGACCTGTCTCACCTGTGTCTGTGCGTCCATGCGCCCCTGTTGCGCCCCTCGGTCTGGGCCAGTCCGTCAGCTTGCAGCTCGAGAGCGTCCTGCGCTGCGAATATGACTTTGCTACGAGAACGGGATACATGGACAGTCAAAGTTGCATCGGTGCTCTAGCGCTACTTCTTCTCCCCCTTCTTCATCTGGTTCATGACAGCCTGGTACTCGCGGTTCAGCCTGTGGCCCTCGTTCTTCTTGTCGTGCAGCAGCGACATGTCGAATCCCTCCTGCGCGCCGAGACCCTGCGCAGCACGCATCTTGTACTTCCGGATCGCGCGCTGATCCGCCGCAGCTCCCGCCTCGTCCATCGCCAGCAGGTCACGCGCGCTGACGGCGGAGCTCTCGAGCGGCCGCAGCCGCGTGACTGGTCCATCGTCGTCGGACTCGCTGTCTGACGGAGCGAGTGCGTGCAGGTTGGCCGGGTCGAAGGCGGCTGGAGACAGAGAGCGCGTACGCTGGCGCTGGCGTTTGGGAGAGGGAGAACGGCGCCTCGGCGGTGTGCGGGATCGGGAGCGTGAGTACGCACGCTTCCGTGGCGGCGTGCGGGAGCGAGAGCGGTAGCGGCGGTCGTCGTAGCGGTCGTACCTGCCACCTCGGTCGTAGCGGTCGTAGGAGCGAGAGCGTGATCGATCGTATCTCCGAGGAGAGGGAGAGTAGCGCCGACGTCCGCGGTCTCGGCTGTCGTAGCGATCGTACGAGCGTGAGCGAGATCGCGAATCGTAGCGTCGTCCCCGTTCGTAGCGGTCGTATGAGCGAGAGCGCGATCGCGAATCATACCGCCGTCTGTCCCTCGAACTGGACCGCGACCACGACCTAGAGTCCCGCCCGCGAGACCTCGACCTGGAGTCGCGACCCCGGGAGTGCGACCTAGATCGTCCACGCTCAGGTTCCGCCTCGAGCTCGCCGTCCTCATCACTGTCATCGTCCTCGCTCTCGCGCCCAGCGTTCAGGTCATACGCTCCGGCATCAGCGAAGATATCCTCCTCGTCCTCGGGATTCGGAGGCGGAGACGGCGTCTTCTTCCGCTTGGGCGGTGGAGAGGGCGACCGACGTTTGTTCTTCTCCCGGAACTGCTTCTCCCGCTCCGCAAGGCTCAATCTGGGTTCCTCCGCCTTGCTCTTGCCCTTGTCACCAATAGATTTGAACTGTACGTTAGTTACACCGGGCCCATAAGGTTAACTCACCCTACTGCTCTCCTTCTTCTCAGGTTTCTTCTCGGCCACAGGCTTCGGCCTGGAGAGCACCGCGCTCCCGAGTGCATCAAGCTCGTCCTCGACTTTGGCACCCTTCTCGCGCTCCAGCTCTGCTTTGCGCTTCGCAAGCAGCGCGAAGTCTAAGCCCTTCACGAGTACAGAGTGCTCGGCATCGCCACCCAAGAATGCACGCTGCGATTCGACCTGAGGTTAGCTCAAAGACCAAGCAACTAGTAGCTACCTTATCAGCGTCGGTGCCCGCCTCGGCCTTGCGTCGCTCAAAGTCTGCCAAAACCTGCTCGACCTGGCGTCAGCTAAATCCGTTCTCGCCTGCTCACATGCTTGTACTCGCCGCCGTCGCCCTGACGGCGCATGGCCGCGCGATCCTTGTACTCCTGCCCTGCGGTCGCCGGAGCCTTCTGTTGCGACCGGGGACGGAACTGCGTCACTGCCTCCTTCGCCTCGGACTCATCCTTGGGCTTCTCCTTCCTGAATGTCAGCTGGTTGCCGAAGCTCCAAATGGGCACCGAACACGTACTCGAACGCTGATCGTCCTTTGCCCTTGCTGCGGTTGAAACGGTCCTTACGCGCGCCGCCCAGCGTCCCTCGCGAACGAGACGACTCGCCACCCTGTCGCGGCTGGCTCAGAAGTGAGCGGAAGGCGTTCTGCGGTCAGCTACTCTCGACGGTCTCGTAACTTACCTGATCCATTTTGCTGGTGAGGAGTGCAGATGGCTAAGTGGAGGTGCTCATGACACGAAAACAACGATGCAAGGTGCGTCATGGGCGAGCGTGGGAAAGTCACATCTCGCTTCTGAGCGGCAAATATCAGCCCTTCACAATCTCGTCTGCAGCCTCCAGCTTTACAAAACACCATTGCTGCGTGCAAATTTACAACGCAGATGTTCCGTTATGCATGCTGCGCACGTACAAGGGCCACTTGACACCAGAGGGCAGTCGACCAGTCGCCCGTGGGAGAGCTGCGCCCCTCCCCCACGTGACCACATCACGGTGACTCCGTGGCGTAATTGGTAGCGCTTCAGATTCCAATGACTGGGATATCTTACGATTCCTGAAGGTTGTCCGTTCGAGTCGGGCCGGGGTCGGAGCCTCTCGATAGAGAGATTCCTCTTTTTCCTAGCCGCAGAAGTGCGGGGACGGGACGATTGGTCGAGTGGAAGAGGGTGGACGGTAGTGGTAGAGGCAAAGAGGCTTTTACGTAAACCTCCACCAGTGACTGTCGACCGCCTTCTCTTCTGATGTCCACGAGCCTGCCCATCGATCATTGCTTCTCCCGTAGCTTCAAACACACACTGTGCACTAGCGTGAGCAGGGATACTTGGCGCCGCACCACATCCTGACCTGCGGAAATGTAGAGAAAGCTGCAGTTTCGCCAAGGAAACGCGCAGGCGTGCGTGGCGCGGGCGCCGGCGAGGCTGACGTGATCAGCACGGTTGACTCCGTGGCGTAATTGGTAGCGCTTCAGATTCCAAAGACTGGGATATACTCACGTATTCCTGAAGGTTGTCCGTTCGAGTCGGGCCGGGGTCGGGGCCTCCCGATAGGGAGATCCTCTTTTACCTTGAGCGACGGGAGCAGTAGGTTTGGAGTGATGCCTGGACAGTCGAGCTGACCTGTTGAGGGGGAAGGGCTGCTCACGTTGCCTGAGGTCTTGTCAGCGGTAGAATACGAGGGGTGTTGATGGTTGTGGACGGCTGGGCCGAGAGGGAAGGGTTTGACTGTGGCCCTAAGGTCAATGGGGACGTGAGTGACCGAGTTGAGCAGGAGCCTGTGTCAGTCGAGGCAGCAAGTCATATACATGGGATGCACAAATGTCTCTCTATGTGTTGCCAACTTCCAAAATAGCCGGATGGTCGTCTGGCAAGATCGGAAGAGCCAAGGGACAGCTCCTAGAGCCGGCTGTCCAGTGTGGTGGCTGAATACGCCTACCACTCCTTGCAACGATCAAGCGTCCGCCACCACAGTCTGCTCCGAAGGGGCTGCTGGCTCATCTGCCGTCCCGTCGTCCCCCGCCTGCCCCGCAAAGTCCTCCCCATTGATGTCCAATCCGATTGCCCGAGCAACCTCTTCCATCAAACTCCTAGCTCTTCCATCAGCCTTCAGTCTGACTTTGAGCTCAGACAACGAACGCCTTGGGAGGACTCCGGTAAGGACAGTGATGTCCACGGGTGACTCGTTCTTCGCAATGGCCTTTGCCAGTGCGGCTTCCTCTCCGAGCATCCAAAACCCAGGCTCCCGCTCCTCGACCGCACGCGCAAAGGCGCAATATGCGCGTGCCTTTTTGAGTGCGTAACGGGGAAGAAGTTCGTGCCCGTCGACGGCGGCAGCAGCAACGAGCGCGTCGGCGACGGCGTCCCTGTCGTTCTCGAGTTGGGGACCCTCGACAGATCTGCCCGTCTTGATGAGGTCCAGTTGGCTCGTGAGCGTGAGCTGGTCCGGATCGAGCAGCTGCTGTTAGTATCGCAATCCATGAGCAAGCTCACATGACGCGTGGCGGTATCCATCCAGCGCACCAACAACTCTTGGTTCTGCGGCTGACCAAGATTCAATGGCTCAACGGTCAGATGGCGATAGTACGGATGCCAGGTCGGAGGCTTGCTGTCATGGAGGCGCATTGTGCCGGCCGCGATCTTGGACAGAACTGCGCAGGAGTCAGTCGATGAGCAGGCCAATGCAACTCACAAAGGTTCCAACGACTGCGAGCGTGCCTTCGACGGGGAAACATTTCATGGCCCTCGTTTGCGTCTGGGTTGCACGTTTGTTGCTCTCGCAGAACAGAGTGGTCACACGTCGCCAGCAGGTTCATGTAGCCGATGTACTCCATCTCCTCCGTGTCTATCCAGCATGCAGCTTGGCCGGCACGTGGACATGGTCTAGAGGCCAGCAGATCGCGCAGGTTGTCATTGTCATATCCAACCAAAAGGGTAGCGAGATAGAAAGACGGCGCGACGACGTGCTCTGCTCTTTCTTCGCATACCACAGGGCTACCAGGGCGTCGGCGTTCCTCTGATTAAGTCAGCACAAACCTCTGCTGGCCGTTGCAACGTCACTCACGGATGTATCTCTCAATCTTCGTCAGGTAGGCTCGGCGATCGGGCGACAGCGGCTTGAACACGGATCTCGGAAGCAGGGAGTAGACGGCAGACCTGATATCGCTCAAATACTTCAACTGCGGCCACAGGTCTCCCAAGTATGAATACAGCAGGATGGCGGTTCCATCGAGATCGTTCAAATCGGCATGCTCGCAAAAGTACAAGCTGATGTCAGCGTTTGCACCATCACAGACAGGCGAGACGTACCTGATACGCTCATCCCTGAGACCGCTAGGATGGAAGAAATTGCGGATGGCTTTCTCCAATCTGGGGATGATCTTTTCTTCGGTGCGGGCGATAGCTTCCGCGTAAACCGCGGTCGTCATTCTGAAACCGTAATGCGGGTTGCGGATGAAAGCGGGATCCCGTTCCATTTCTGGACGGAAGGTCTCAAAACCCAACTCGCGCTTCTTGGCCACTCTTCGCGCACGCCGGAATGACCTGTAGGTCAGATTGGCTCTCACAGCTGTACTCACATCAAAACCGTGCGCGCGCCCTTGACGCTACGTGGCCGACTAGGCTCGGACATCCTCAGAGCATTCGGGTCTTCAGGCCGAATGACCTTACTGCCAATGGTAGCTCTGTGTAAGTGGCTAGCAGAAGTCGACGGAGTTGCGGGAGGAGGTCAAGTGAAAGTCCATGACGAGATAGTGACAAAGGCGCTCAGCCGACGATGATGAGGGGTGGCCAGGCGATTTAGCGTGGTTGACGTGGCTTTCGTCACGGGGGAGGGCGCAGTCCCCATCACTAACACGCTCAACATGATCAGCGGCGGCTACGGGAGCTAATCCCACAGCCCGAGGTGATGCCTTCCTCGTCATCCTCAACAACTTCGCCATCACTCAACTCGCTCTCACAGCTCGACTGTGCTGCTTTGGCTCACAACTCACATGCTCACATAGTCCACACTTACAGCAGACAAGTGGACAGTCGCAAGATCAGCCCCAACGTCATCACCGACGGCGACGATGTGACGGCGCGCTGTCACGAGCTCGCCATCGCTGCCTTCCCTCCTTCCCTCACCTTCCCTGTTCGATCGAACAGCGAAACATGTCGGCAAGTCGACTCATCACACCGAGATGAGGCAGATTGGCTGCGAGTAAGTGAAGAGGGTGCAGAAGTTACGGGGGCGGGGCATCGCATGCTGTCGTCTTCAAAGTCTGGGTATTCGTTGGTTGGTGGACTAGCCTGGTGGAGGTCTTTGTGGGGCACACAATATTCATCCTCCGGACCGGCGGCAGCGATGCCGAGCCACGCGAGCGGCATCTGAGCGGGTGATCGGCATTGATTGGCGGATGAGATCCGCGCACGATGCCGAGTCTCCGCTGCGGCCCTTCCCCCGCCTTCCTCTCGTGATTAAACTCACGCTAGCCCTTTCATTCCCGGCGTCCGCGATCCCCCCTTGTCGCCTTGGCCATATGTGCCCCGCGTCGAGGTAGTCACGCCGCTGCGCGCTCCGCGCCTCGGTGTGTGTCATGTGGGCATCGGAAGAAACCGGAGCTGCCTGAATGGTGACAGGCGGCATGAATTGCGATCGCTTGCAGGCTTGCCTGCTTGCGTGAGATCGAGAAAGGCACATCAGGCCACTATCCGCTGAACGAGAGTTTGGGGAAGGCACCGAATGCTGACACAGCGCACACAGCGTAGCAACGTAGCTACAAGATGGGGGAGCCTGTGCCATTGCCGACGTTGCCGCATGTGCCGCAACAGCGACGCTACTGCCGCCGGCTGTTTCTCCCGAGTCCCCTGCCCGCGCCCTGCTGCGACCCTGGTGCACAGGAAACCGATATTGTGCTGACTACATCGACACTCCGACGACGGGGTGGGTGTTTGACGTGCTGCGTTGGCCGTGTTCTGCTGATGGCCCGTCCGCTAACGCTGGCTGACTTCTACGTGCTTCTGCTATTGACTGTGTCTCGGCTTAACGCTGCAGGTTGCTCGGCGCAGATTGGGCGCCGCGGGGCGCTGTGGCCTGTCTTGTCCTTCTTGTGATTGCGGTGGCCGCCGGGATCGAGATCGTGGCGCGGTTCCAAAAGCATCAATGCGCCGCATGCCTCTTGTCAACCGCAATCTGACAGGTGCCTGTTGGCCATCGGGTGTGAGCATCGGTCCTCGTTCGTCGGTCGGTCGTCGGACGTGTCGGGCGACCGGGCTAAGCGGCTGTGGTCAGTTACGCGAGACTTAGCCGTGAGCGTGCATGCCAGCGTGCCCCCGCGTTGGACTGCAGTGGGACGTGTGGCCCGCCCAAGAAGAACAAGCTCGGCCTGCGATCCAGAGTGGGGGAGCCGGGTGCCCCTGCGTTCCTAGTGCCTTGCTTGGGAAACCGCCAACCTTTGCGGCATCGGCATCCTCGCCTGCTCTCCAGCCCCCCTGGGGCCAGTCGGGGGACTGGCACGTCGATCACGAATGCGGGCGGCAGCGCTTTCCGCGGCTGGAGCCTGCCAGACGTGCCATGGGATGCTGACCGAGCCGCATATTGCCGCCGGACATCCTGGGATGCTCATGAGCGGGCTGTGGCCTCGTTTAGGACTGCGTTTCATTAGCCCGCAACACCGGTCAATTATGCTCTGGCTCATTCCCCAATGTTAAGCGAGACGTGTCTGCCCGTGTCTACAGAAGTAGCCAAGCCAAATCCAGGCTTAGCTCAGCTTCCTCAGCGCACCCAGAGTCCGCTCTTGCTGGTTCTACGGCCCAACAGCCGTCTGCGAAGCTGCGTCTGCATCCTCCATCGACGGATGTTCTGTCCCTGAATAACTCAGGCGGCATCTGCGGCCTGACACTCGACATGCCTGAGGATGCCTGAAGGCCTGACTCGGCGCGACCAAGCGCACGCCGATCCACTACATTGGCTGCCTCGTATCTCCAAACGTATGAGGGCATGTACGGGGCCGCCGGGCTGTGACAGGGATTGCAGAGTGGGGCAAGCCGTTGCCCCAGCTCTTCTCCAGTCGCACCGTTCATCTCTGAATCGCTGGGCGTTGCTGAGCATGGCACGAGGCGCACTGGGTGGGCGCTGGGCGTTCCGAGCAGGCCACTAGCCCGCAGATACGACCACAGATCGTCGCTCGCTATCGCTTGTGTCTGCGTCTGCCCTAGGTGCCCCAGCTGCCCCGGCCTAGTCCAGCCTCTCTCGCATCTCCCCGACATGGAGTGTTAGTCGAATCTTCCATGTTCGCCCTGGTGTTTCCTGGCTTCGTTCCTTCGCGTTCTGTCGCACCGGCTGCTGCCCACACGCCCCGTGCAGCTGTGCGGACATTAAGCATACGACATGTCAGTACGGCCCAATGGTCATGTCGCACTCTGTCGAAGGTTCTGAGAGGCTCAGTGCCCACTGACTGCTAACGGCTGACTGGTTCGACAAGCGTCGGTCGTCGGATCGGAGCTGACCTCCGCTTTACATCTAAAGTTGCAGGAGCATCGGGACACCCTTGATTGCATTATTGATGGCCGATAGAATGGGTTGGCTAGGCAGCATCGCGCGCAGAGTGTGCCAGCAGAAGCACAGGGGGTGTGAACTGTGGTGAATGCTGGGTGTGAAAGGTCACCTGACACGCGCACGTCGTTCGAGCCGAGCTTGTACTTCGGCAACTTGAGCCCCCTTCGAGCCCTTGGTTGCGCCTTGGGCCGCCTGCGCTGGTTGTCAATAACCGTTCCTGATCGGGTACCCGCCAGCCTGGTTGGTCCCCCACAGAAACGGCAGCGATGGACGCGGGGACACTCGGACGCTGGCACTGAAATGCTAAGTAACCGGTATCTATGCATGTGCGTGCTGCGTGCACGGCATATTGTTATTTCGAATCCGGCTCTCCCGAGGTGCCCAGACGGCGCACCGCCCGAGGCGAGCGAGACTAGCCGCAAAGGCCATTACGGCCTGTCACGAGTCAGCCAGGGGCGGTCGGTCGTGATCAAGATCCGATGTGGAGATAGTGAGCGCTGCTGAGCGTCGTTGCATTGTATCAGACACCCCCACTTTACTCCTCAGCGGGCCCAGCGCGCCCAACGGCAGCTCAGGACCGAGTGCCGCCAGAGCCGCAGGGCCCGCAGAACCGGGCTGCCCACAGGTCGGCAGATCACTCGTTCAGGCTGTTCAGGCGTTCAGGCGCCCAGCCTGCCGCTCAGGCTCGGGCTCTCGCTCTCACGCGCGCAGGTACGCACCCCAGGTCCAAGGCGAGATGTCGGTGTGTCAGCCTCGTACCCTCGTCGCCAGCTACTGGATACCACACCATCGACATATATAAGTGCTCCCCACAACCTCTTCTGCTTTTCCCCACACCCTCTCGAACGAGCCAAAATGTCCAACGCCGTCTTCAAGCACACCTTCAACCACGCCGGTTACAAGGGCGACGTCGAGGTCCCCATCGGCCTCTTCATCAACGGCCAGTGGACCAACTCTGTCGACAAGAACGCCAAGACCATCCCGTGAGTATCGACCTTTCTCTCTCAGCGTCTGCGCTCTCCTCACCGTGAGCGACGAACGGACATGGGCGAGCGGGTCTCCGCTGTCTGTGTGGATGTCTCGGTGCGAGCTGGCCGGGTCTGTCTGTGTGAGCGGCATCGGCCGGTCGCCGGCCGGGCCGGGCTGCGGTTGGGAGCGAGCTCCTCGCACTACGCACACGTACTCCCCCGTCTGTGCTAGTGTGCTCGCTGGCTAGCTCCGCATCTGCGCCCTTCCCACATTCCAATCTGGATCGCTGCTTCTTTGTTTGAGCGCTGGCGAGGGGAACGTCGGGACAGCCGACGGTCACGGGGCTGGGAAGCTTGGGCCAGCATAACCCTAGCATGTGGGCGTGGGGAAATACCCGCCCTTTGCCGGGGGGCTAAATCCCGGCTCTTTCGCGTCACCCCCCGGGGATGATGCGATAAACCGGCCTCGTCCCTATTCCCCCGACCGTCATTGCGGCGTTCGCTGCGATGCACACTGGGCTGCCCACCACCATGCACACATCCACATACGCCAGCGTGATTAAAGTTTGCCCATCGTCGTGTCGGCGCGTCATGTTGACGCGCCGTCCAATGAGCTCGCTACTCCGCTCTCGGAATGTGTGCTTAGTCACCATTCCTTGTGGCTGACGTTGCGGGCGAACGGTGGAGGTGGGCACAACCTAGATCCGCACGTCATCACCACTGCATGCAACCTGATTTGTCGGAACACCGAGCTGACCCTCCAGTGTCGTCAACCCCACCACCGGCGAGAAGATCGTCGACCTCCCCGAGGGTACCGAGGCTGACGTTGATGTCGCCATCGACGCCGCCCGCAAGGCCTACAACACCACCTGGGGCCTCAACACCCCCGGCTTCGAGCGCGGAAAGCTCCTGATCAAGCTCGCCGAGCTCGTCGAGCGTGACGCCGACATCCTCGCCTCGCTTGAGGCCCTCGACAACGGCAAGACCTTCGGTGCCGCTCGCGGCTTCGACGTCCCCGAGTCCGCCGGATGCTTCCGCTACTACGGTGGCTGGGCCGACAAGGTCCACGGCAAGGTCATTGAGCAGTCCGCCGACAAGGTCGTCCTCACCCGCCACGAGCCCGTCGGTGTCTGCGGTCAGATCATCCCCTGGAACTTCCCCCTCCTCATGTTCGCCTGGAAGCTCGGACCCGCCCTCGCCACCGGCTGCTCCATCGTCATCAAGCCCTCTGAGCTTACCCCCCTCACTGCCTGCTACATGACCAAGCTCATCAAGGAGGCTGGCTTCCCCGACGGAGTTGTCAACGTCGTCACCGGTTACGGCCAGACCGTCGGTAACGCCCTCTCCTCGTCGCAGAAGGTTGACAAGGTCGCCTTCACTGGCTCCACCGCCGTCGGCCGCAAGGTTCTCGAGGCTGCCGCCAAGTCCAACCTCAAGAAGGTCACCCTCGAGCTCGGTGGCAAGGGTGCCAACATTATCTTCGACGACTGTGTCCTCGACGACGCCGTCCGCTACGCCGCCCAGGGTATCTTCTTCAACCACGGCCAGACCTGCTGCGCCGGCTCGCGTATCTACGTCCAGGAGGGCATCTACGACGAGTTCGTCAAGAAGTTCGAGGCCGTCTCGAAGAAGATCACTGTCGGTGACCCCTTCGACGCCACCACCTTCCAGGGCCCCCAGGTCTCGCAGACCCAGTACGACCGTATCATGAACTACGTCGAGTGCGGCAAGCAGGAGGGTGCCAACGTCCTCACCGGTGGTGTCCGCCACGGCAAGACCGGCTACTTCATCGAGCCCACCGTCTTCACCGACGTCAAGCCCAACATGAAGATCGTCCAGGAGGAGATCTTCGGCCCCGTCGTCGTCATCGCCAAGTTCAAGACTGAGGAGGAGGTCATCGAGGCCGCCAACGACTCCATCTACGGTCTTGCCTCGGGTATCTTCACCCAGAACCTCGCCCGTGCCAACCGTGTCGGCAACGCCCTCCACGCCGGTACCGTCTGGGTTAACTGCTACAACGAGCTCCACTCGCAGGTTCCCTTCGGTGGCTTCAAGTCCTCGTACGTATTCTTTCTGACACATTTCCCCTTACCCCCTCCATCACACGTTCCCTTTCTACCACGTGATCCCCTTCCACCATCCACCCGTCTTCCACCATCCGCCCAACTTCTTCCACTTCTTCTCCGACGTCTTCCAACTCTTCAGAACTCAAAGCTGACCTCTCCGCAGTGGATTGGGCCGCGAACTTGGGGAATATGCCATTGAGAACGTAAGTAACGCAATCCAGAGCGATTTGGAGCATCCCAGAAGTGAAGAGAAGCATTTTTGTGCAGAAGTTTGGTCGTGGGAGGTGGTGTGGCAGCATAATTCTGGATATCGTCCAAATAATTTGCCTCCGCCCCCACCTCCACCGACCTCCACCGGGGGCCCCATCCACCACTGGAAACCTCTTCTACGACCCTTCCAACTCTTCTCGTCGATGCTCCTCTCGTTTCTCTTCTTTTCTTTCACGTTTTTGCGCAGAGCTGACGAAAGTACACGGAGATCAAGGCTGTGCACCAGCGCCTTACTGGCTACGTCGGCCCCGTCCCTCCTCTTTAAAGAGAACGCGCAGTTTCGGGTGTTTTGGGAGTCTCTCTCTGACGGTTATCTGAAGTTTTACGTGACGAGTGTGATGAATGAGTCTCAGCAGTTACCACCGTAGCGTGTGCGCACACATTGCCAAGCTCGCGACCCAATCCACTGCGGAGAGGTCAGCTTTGAGTTCTGAAGAGTTGGAAGATGTCGGAGAAGAAGTGGAAGAAGTTGGGCGGATGGTGCGCAGGATGTGATCCTAGCGGATCACATCCTGCAATACTGACACAAACTGACCTCTGCTAATCGATCGTCGACTGAGAAAGAGCGCAGGCTCATATATTCTTTCTTTGGTCCTGAAGGTGGAGCAGTGTGGGCTGGTTACTGCCGAGCGAGCGTTTTTTCGTACGAGACTTAGCTGCTGGATGTGCCAATAGTGGTAGGGTGTGCATCCTCTCCATGGCTGGAGGACCTCGTACATTGCGCGTCAGCTTGAGACATTGCCTTGGAGGTCGGCAGATCACTGGATGGGAGGGAGGATCGACAGAAGGAAGACACAAGGAAGACAAATGCCGCACTCGCCACCGCCATGCCACACATGCCACATCGCCTTGCCACCTGTAGCCACACCACGCCGCACCACGCAACGACGGAGCACTTTCACTGGCCATGTCTTCAATTCTCAGCGTATGCATGCAGGCAAGTCGCAACCGTGCATTCCGATCCCCGGGTCCGTGCACCCTCGCGTTCGCGGTGTCCTCCGTCATGCACCCGGTCCGAGCGCAGCACTGATCGCCCCTGCGCCTTCCACCCGTCACACCTCAGACCTCACCCAACACCGCATCACACTGCCCACCACGATGCCCGCCTTCACCCACGACCCCTCTCCGCCCGTGTACACGCCCTCCACGCCGTTGCCGAAGAAGGGCGCGATTGCCATGCCGGCTAACCCGAATGCGTCGCTTGCCTCCCTCGAGTCGCTCGATGGGCTCGAGAGGCGGCAGGCTGAGATCGACCGCGAGGACGAGCTCGATGAGATCAGACGTGAGATCCTGCACCTCAACACAAGGCTGGACACTTTGCTCAGCACCCAGTTTCTTGTGAGTAGCGGTCTGGCAGCAGCGCGCTCATGACAGCTCGTCACCTCCGTGTTCTGCCTGGCGGCTGTGACTGTGTCGACGGTGTGGTCGCGCGGGCGCCAGTAGGCGCCAGGGGCTTCGGCGGGAACTAGCTTCCCACAAGCTCACACGACTAGAGTGAATGTATGACGTGGCTACTGACAGATGGCGACGACCGCCAATGCCTCATCGGCCGTTGCCGTCTAGCACTTGCCAGCCATAGAGCTGGGGTGAGCTTGCTGTCCATCAGTCTGCTTCTGCTGTTGCATCACACCTACGCCGTGGCTTGTCACAATACATGCTGACTCTCGACAAGTCGGCTGAGCGGGACGGTAGTCACCGCCGGCCAAGCGCTAGGTAGACCACTCAATGGCTTCTCGGCAACAAGCGTGGCACTATCTCCACTAGCTCACGAGCGGAATCAAGTCTTCCTCACACGACACTGACACATATAATCACTCACCGCTATCGATACCCCTGTCTCCATCTCACCATCACCGCAAGCTTCTACAAATTTGTTTGCTCACTTCCCGTCTCTTGAAACTCTCTCCACTTGTCAAAAGCGGGCTCTCGACAGAATGGCGTCAGCGAGAACCTACAACGCACATGCCAGCTCATCGACCACGCCCATGGGTACATCCCCGCCACAGCAGGCTGCCTCGCCCCCACCCTCCTCGTCAACGCCCCCAAACAACACCAACCCCGCCCGAACATCAGTGCCGCCAGGGCGCCCTGATCGCCTACTGATCCACTTCGAGCAACTTCAGATGATGCGCGAAGAACGCTTGGCAATGGAGAAGAAGCGCGAGGCGGCTTTCCGCCGCAAGGAACAAAAGAGACGTCAGGAAGACGACCGTACTCGGCGTTGGGCAGAAAGCGGTGGCTCAGACACCGACCATCGCCCCTTCGACTACGACTCTCACCATGTCTCGGGCAAGACAGACGAGGGAACTTACTCCGACCCCAATGCGACAATGGATCTGCGCGCGCGGGAATCCAGAGAGCGCATCATTGCAGCTTGGGAAGGGATGCGGAAGATCAGGGAGGGGCCAAGTTCTTACCGAGGAGGAACTGGCGGGGCCAGTGCGCTTAGTGCCCCCAGACCACCTGTCATCGGCCCAGTTCCTACCGCCGTGAAGGTGAGGTCATCAAGCGGTTCGGCACGACCGCCTGCAAGTGCACGTGAGAGGCGTGGTCCCCTCTACGGAAGAACATGTTGATACCATCTGTTATGCATCGAATCATGCTGCTTACTATGCCGCGGCTATCTGGCCGGCGTACAACCGATGGCCGTTCCCGCCTTCACCGCTTCACCCACGCCTCGGCACTGGTATGCTCCACACCGGATGTTTGCCTGGCGGTGACGTTTGTCTGGCGGGTACACAGTATCCCCGCGTGTCCATCGTCAACATGCGATTGCTCCTCGTTGCGCAACCGCTATATAAGGCCCAGCTCCAAAGCGGTCGATAAACCCAAGAAAGCGGGTCACAATGAAGCTACGCTGAAACCCGTAGTTGTATGGTAGTGGTTTGTGTCGTATGGCTGGGCCGCCGGTGCTGTGGAGAGTTGCCACGGCTATCTCGCCGTTCAGGTTGTCATCTCTCAAGACCTGAATGACCTTCCCATTCCTTTCTGCCCCGCTTGACTCCCTCGTCGTGATGGCGAAGGGCTTTGACTGCCTCCGAGAAAGCCAAACAGCTGCGATGCCCGGGTAGCCCAACATCATTGATTCACAGCTGTAGCTCACAGCATCAGCTCGCTCTCCACAAGCGGAAGTCTCTCGCGCGTCATACCAGATTCGCAGCATCTAAACGACTTGGAGGAATGTTGAACTGGGAGAAAAGCGCCTATGACCTCCCGCAATGCTCCTCCTGATTTATACTCCCAAGCATATCGACACTGGCTTGAATGACACAGCGTTTCGCCGTTGTAACCGAGGAGTCGCGCTCTTCAGGATAGAGCTGCGGTGCATGCATACAGCACTGCACGAGGGATAAACCAGTCAGATGGTTGAGATCGTCCGACGCTAGCACTTGCTCTGCACGGGGTGACTTCTCGTGCTGAAGTGATGGGTGGACCACCTCCACCACCGTCAACATTCCGTCTTTCGGTCATCTCCCCGCCATCGGGGATCGACGGCTTCTTCTCAATCTGCATCTTTGAGCCCCGCCTGCGTCACCGACACACTAAGCACGCTTTAGCATTCTCGACCCACAGCGTGACATTGCTAGACTGAGCAGCGTTCTGCAGGTGTAACGACCCAGAGGGGGATGTCACATTCCTCGCCCAATGAAGGCCCAGCCGTGCCTGTCGTCATCGCTCACCATCGTCCCTCATCATCCCTTGTTGTCCCTTGGCGGCGTCGGGCCTCCACACCAAACTCCACACTCCGAGCTCCATCGATCGATTCCAGATATCAACCCAGCAGGTTGACCTCCAAACGAGATGCTTCACTTGTTGAGCTCTTCTTGCCTCTTGATACTCACAACACTCTTCAAAGTAGTTGACGAAACGTGAAACAACACAGACGACATTCCCGACTTCTTCGGGTTACGCACTTCCGCTCCGACACTCACGATCTTCGCTTCTCAAGCATGGCTGACCGCGTCCACGCCCTCCGCACAGGGAGGAGTCCAGGCAGAAGTCTGCGCCCGCCACCAGTCTCCGGCCCCTCGTCCCAGTCAAAAGGGAAGCAGCCCATCCGCCCCAATCCCCAGTTCGAAGCGTACCACAATCCGTGGCGACTGCCAGAGTCTGACCCCGACGACGGATTCTGGAGCTGGCTTTTCACACCTCCCTCAAAGCCTTCCTCGCTCCCGTCTTCTTCTCCATCAGTTGTCTCTGCGGCGCAGGGAAAGGGAAAGAACAGTATGGGTTACGACGGATATGGAGGATACGCAGCATACGGAGGGTATGACGATGAGGACGACGCAACGGAGGCGAAAGGCGCAGCTCGATGGTTGAAGCCTCTCGCTCTCCTCTTCACCGTTGCACTTCTCATCACGTTTGTAGCACTGGTGCCGCCGCCAAGCTACGAGTCTCGCGGTCCGAGACCCAATTCGACATTGATCGTCCAATCTTCTGACTCCGACGTACCATCAGACTTCGTTCGAGAGCTGGCCGAGGAACATCCCGATGTAGAACAACCAGGGGACGCCGAAGCGCAGCGCGTGTTCCGCATAGTCCACCAGCCCCGCTAACTTAGTGAGTGCCCACCAACCATAGGTGACGATGGACAGGGGGACTAGGCCTGTGTTCGTTTGGCTAACGCTCAGTAACGATTCGTCATGAGCACGCCAGAACGCCACGACGCCACCTGAACCTGAACGTTTGAGACGCACTCTTCTGAGACACGATACCTACGACACGCATGATACGCTTGTTATCCCTTGATTATGATAACGATACCAAACAACCTGTCACACTTTCAACTTGTAGTCTAATGCATACAACTCAGTTTCTTCTCGACTTGCAGTGTCGGGCCGTGGTGCCCGAATCCTCTCAGTCTGCAGTGCAGGGGGCGCCTCGCAAACTCTGAGCTTGCACACTTCTCCCACCTTGCGTGCTTCGCTCCTTGGTGCTCGACTTCTAGTCGTCGATGCGGAGCAGGTCCACGATCTCCGCCGCCTTGGCGTTGATCTCGCCGTGGCCCTGGAGCACATCGCCCAGATCGATGTCCTCTATGCCCTTCTTCTCCACAGGTCCGAGGCCCGCGACCCTAGCCCCATTCTGCCCCGTGAAGCCGCGGGAGACGACCTCGTGCATTCGCACAATCGAAGCCAGCACAAAGTCATGCCCGGAGTAGCCGTTCACGACACGGCGGGTGACTACGCTGCGGATTTTGGCCCATTCGGTGGTGCTAGGAGCAGATGGGAGAGAAACGAGGAATGCCGACTCGACGAGCGGAGGCCCCTCAATCGTCGAGAGATAAAGGAGGGCATGAAGGACAGTCAGCGCGCCGACAGAGGTACCAATCTGACGTCAGTTCAGATTCGAGATTGATTACCTCACCAAGGTGACCGGCCGCTCGCCCTGCACTCGCTGCGCCAGCACTTCGCCCAGCAGCCTGCCGGCCTTGATAGCGCGGTCCTGAGCGTTGCTCCACGAGTTGTCGAGCACGAGTGAGGTCGTCTTCCAGACTGTGACTGGCAGGGCGAGGGCGGCGTAGTAAGCACCGAGTGCTGTGCGCTTCAGGATCTCGGTACCAGCAAGCGTCTGAAGCTTGGACGTTATCCAGGCTTCCAGGTCGCGGCCAGTGGACAGCATCTGCTCCGTCTCGTAACGCAGGAGGAACACGTCGCGGCCGTCCTTCAGCCCGGCAGCTGATTCGGACTTGGACGTGCCAGTGGTGCCTGTCGTGCCGGAATGCGTAGATTGCGTGTCAAGAGAGACCGTGGTGTGAGGGGAGCAAACCGCACGCCACGCACCCAGAGCCTCGCTCCGCCCGACTGTCAGAAGACCTGGAATGATGACAGTTGCTGTCAAGCTCGGAGGAGTTGGCTTCGCGGCAGCAATATCCTGCACGTCTGCGTCCTTCGCTGGCGCCTCCTTCTCTGGCTGCGCCTCCGTCAGACCAGCCTGGAGGCTCATCTCCTTGAGCTTGGCTGCCCGCGCATCCAGAGTCTCCTCCACCTTCTGGTCTCTCGCGCGTCATACCAGATTCGCAGCATCTAAACGACTTGGAGGAATGTTGAACTGGGAGAAAAGCGCCTATGACCTCCCGCAATGCTCCTCCTGATTTGGTGTGAGGGGAGCAAACCGCACGCCACGCACCCAGAGCCTCGCTCCGCCCGACTGTCAGAAGACCTGGAATGATGACAGTTGCTGTCAAGCTCGGAGGAGTTGGCTTCGCGGCAGCAATATCCTGCACGTCTGCGTCCTTCGCTGGCGCCTCCTTCTCTGGCTGCGCCTCCGTCAGACCAGCCTGGAGGCTCATCTCCTTGAGCTTGGCTGCCCGCGCATCCAGAGTCTCCTCCACCTTCTGCTTGGCATCCGCCTCCTTCTTTTCGGCCTCCAGCTCGTCGTCTAACTCGAATAACACCTCGCTCTGGGCAGCCTCGTGTGTTGCTGCTGCTTGCCGCTCGAGCAGGTCCGCAACCTCGCCGGGTGTCGGTTTCGTGCCCGCTCCGACCTCGATGAACTCGAATTCCTCGACGCCGCGCCAGCGCTCGGCTACACGCCAACCAGCCAAGCCTCCTCCTGAGAGTCCGAACAAAGTACCGACCACGATCGGCGCGATTGAAGCTCCGAGGATTGCGCCCATCCCCGTGCCTGCCAGCAAGGCGGCAATAGCTGGTGCGGCGAGGCCGCCGGTGACACCGAGCAGGACACCACCCGCGATCACTCCGCCAGCGGTAGCTGATGTTAGTTCTGGAGAGTGGCAAAAAACTCACCTAGCCCACGGCCCAGAGCACCGCCCCATCCGTGCTTCTGCTTATCGCGCGCCTCCTCGACCTCCCCCTTGTGTTCTTTGTCGAGTGCCGTCATGAGCTTCTCGCTGACGTCCAATTCGGCACGGGGTAGCAAGTCGGCCGCATCGAGTCCCAGCAGCGTAAGCGCGCGGTGCGCCATCGCTCGCTCGCTAGCGGTGTACGCTAGCTTCTTCTCGTCGCTGCCTGTAGCCAGCGAGGCGTGTACTAAGGTCTGTGCGAGCGCTCGCTCCTCCGCGCCGCTCCATTCGTTCAGCTCTCTTGCAGCTGCAGTCACATAGGCCGGTTCAACGTCGGGCGGAACGCAGTCCTTGTCGAGTCCGAGGATCTTGAGCAGTGAGTCGAGCCACGCGGCCCCGCCGTCCCATGTCGCACCCGGTGGAGGTCGAGTGACGGCGCTCACTGCCGAGAGAGCGAGGACGAAGATGAGCTGGCGGGGAAGCTCTGGCGGCGCAGGTGAGCCAGACCCCTTCTTCTCGACGTCCGTTCCGGTCATGGCGAATGGAGTGAAGGCGGCATTGGGCCGAGGAAGACGGGAAGAAGTTTCAGGTTGTCAGGTAGCTCTGACGTCGACTGTGCTAATCGGGCGGCCAGGCACGGCACGTGAGTCGGTGGCGACTTGTGTCAGATTAAGGAAAAAAGTCTAATCGGATTACAGATCAGCTTAGTCAGATATCAATACGTTATACGCGTCTAGACGCAAAAAGCTTACCTCTCATTAGAAGACAGTTTGTAATGAAACGTAATCGCGATAGCATCATCCGAAGTCCGGCTTCCGTCTCGGCGCGCTCGGTCTTCGCCGACTTTCAGATCCGGCTACTACTCACAACCGCCCACACCTCATAAGGGGCGGGCAACACGTCCTCTTGCCCATCTTCTCGTCAATCATCATGCCCGATATCGTCACCTACCCGCCCTTCCACGGGCCGAGCATCGCGCCCTCGCCTTGCGTGCCGCCAAAGGAGCTGCTGCCGCTGTTGCGACCGCCGCCTTCGACTCCCCCTCCCCATCCGCTTCGACCTGAGATTGACCCTCTGCCCGCCAGCTACACCCGTTCTCTGCACGCTGCTCCCGCTGCTTGGCCAAAGCACCTCCGCGAGAGTAAGGGAGAGTACTCTCGAGACTCGACGCCGTTCGGCCCTCCGGCTGCTGCGAATGAAGGCAAGGAGGAGCGCGCCAAGCGCATCGTGGCTGGTAAAGACGAGTGCATCAAGCTGCGCGAGCAGGCGAAGGAGTGGGACATCGAGGAGGCAAAGGCTGGAGGCCACCCCCCGCAGTGGCTTGCTGTGGAGCGCTGGAAGCGCAACGACCCGCACTCCGACGGCATCACGCTCGTCCTGACGCATGCGAACGGACTTCCGAAGGAGCAGTGGCACCCTCTCCTGCGCCGCGCGATCGCCGCGTCTGATTCTGGCGCTCCAGGTGGACTGTTCGGTAACGGCAAGCCTGTTAAGGGATCAACGCCGATTATCAACGACATCTGGCTTCTCGAGGACACGCACCACGGCTGCTCTGCTGACCTGAACGCCGGCAAACTCGCCCGTGTCGTGGCGTGGGCCGATGTGCCGCGCGATGTGCTCAACTTTGTCACGCATGTTCTTCCCTCCGCGGTTAATTCGAACTCCTACGCTCTCGACTGGACCGACAAGGAGGCCCCTGTTAAGAACCTCGTCGGCCTCGGTCACTCCCTAGGCGGCAACGGCCTTGTGCAAGCAGCGGCGCTGCGGCCCGACCTCTTCAGCTCCCTCTTCCTCGTTGAGCCGATGACGCAACCCGGACTCGGCCGGCCAATGATGCGCAAGATGGGCGATCCGATCCCGCTCGGCGCGCTGAAGCGACGCAACATCTGGCCCTCCCCCGCCGACGTCAAGAAGGACGCCATGACCAAGACGTGGGACGAGGACGTGTGGCGTCTCTGGCTGTCCCATGGCATCGTGCCAGTCGACTACAGCAAGCCTGACGGTGAGGTCACGCTCGCGACGGCACCGTGGGCTGAGTGCGCCGTGTTCTCGGACCCGGTCGGACCGCAGCGCGGATGGTACGCCCTGCCCAAGGTTCGTTGCCCTGTGGGATTCATCATGGCTGGTAATCCCACCTGGCTCGGCGGACCGGATGTCACGAAGGAGATTCCCTGGCGCGCACCCCGCGGCCGCAACGAGAGACTCATGGATGCAGGGCACCTTGCGATCCAGGAGAGGCCGGACCTTGTCGCGGACAGTTTCTGGAGGTTCCTCACGACGCTCAGCGCGGGCGAGTGGGACAAGACGGACGCTAAGCTTTAGACAGGTATAAGTCGGTAGACAACTAAAATGAATAGCAGATTGTGAAGCCACTGATCGGACGAGTGACTGATAAACTGATGGCGGATCGACAGTCTTCTGCTTTCACAGGATGGCCATGGGCCGGGGCGGCACCATGTATCCTCGTCAACTCAAGAGCACCTGCTATCTCCCCGCTTCCACCACACACTACAAGCCATCCGTACGTGCGCCTCACCACCTCGAGGCACTCACTTGATAACATGATGCTGTGAGATTGCTTGGTACTCTCGTTGCTCTGTGCCAGAAACCCCAAACTCACTGCAACATTGTTATGGGCACAGTAGGGGCAAATCGATAGGCCTCAGAAGAGTCAACGCAGCTTCCGTCTTCCCTCGTTCAGTGCTCCCGCTCGACGTATTCCTTCTTGAAGTCATGCTCACCCCTCTTGTTCTGACAATGCATAGTTGAGGGACAATGTACATACATAGCACCCCATGTCTTGCTTATTCAAAGCATCGTGTGGACAATCGTCGATCCCCATGGTGCCAAGCGGAGGCAACTACGGCTGGTGCGCCCTCGCCACACATGAGCGTCAACACGTCAACTTGACTCATCTCCCCCCACGATCTTCCTTCCTCACTCTCTTCCATTCACTGCATCCTCCCTTCACCATGCGCAAGCCTCGGTAGGCATCGTTTTCAAGACCATCACTGACATGCCCAGGATTATCAGCAGCCTCTACTACCCGCACATCGTCGACACCATCTTCGACCATGCGCCCCTCGCCTCCCTTCTCGTCATGCGGTGTGCCAACAAGGTATGGCGCGAAAAGGCCGACCGCCGCATCGCCTACCATCTCGTTGTTAAGGGCGATTCCACCCCGTTCGAGGTCCATGCTGGTCTGGTTGGCGAGCGCCTTATGACCGTCACAGAGGAGAACATGGCCCGGGCTAAAGAGATCCAGCCTTCTTGGGCCAAGTTCGTGCGTGTTATCGACATCGGCGCAACATCTTGTCACAAAGAGGTCTGCCGTCTCCTCAGCGCCTGGAAGGTCGACGAAAGCTACGAGACGATTCGCTATGTCGACGGTCCCCCTGTGTTCGACAAGTATTCCAAGCTCAACAAGCAGCCTAAGCGAGTCGTCTTCCTCCGCTCCTACACAGTCACCGGTCACTTTGAGGAAGACAACCACAAGACTATGGACCGCTTGATCTACTCTGAGCGCTTCATCGGCAAGCCCGGTAGGAGCGGGGGCTCTGTCATCCTGCACCAAGATCAGCCCGCCGCTTATGTGCCCGAGAGCCCCTTCGAACATCACTCGCTTATCACTCCCTGCTTTAGATCTTATCCCCTGGTGGTGATCCTGCATGGATGGAGAGAGCCGGTCACCGGCCCCGAAGCGGTGGCAGGCGACATCGAGTTGGCGTTCCAGGGCAACCTTGGACACGTATTCAAGATTATCAAGCAGAACGTCCGAAGCAGAGTGCCTAAGCTGACGATTGGCAGGGATCTTGATGGTGACCCGGTCACAATTGTGGGCATGGAGACTCTTTCGCCGAGCTCAGTGGGACTGAAGGAGGAGGATCTGGACGGAAAGACCTTGCAACAGGTCCTCTGCGACCTGCTCCAGAAGGAGTGGGACGAATTGATGGGTTATGGCGCCTCCGAGGAAGAGGACAGCAACAGGGACAGTGAAAGCGACGGCACCGATGAGGACGAGAACAGTACTGTCAACTCCTACCTCTTGATCCGCAAGGCGATGCGCAAACATCGTCCTCCTCTCCAGATCGCCTTCAAGACGCTTGAAGAGTGGCGAGCCACCCGTAACTTGTCCGACTACGAGATCGAAACGTCCCCCGTCCTCTCGGTCCGCAGGAACTACTGGTCTCTTCGCAAGCCGGTCGTCGATCGGCCCCCTCCTCGTCGCCGTCACTCCATCGATGGCGAGCCCAGCTCCCGCAAGCCGGCACGAAACATGTTCCTCTCTCCCCTGCCTCCTGATGTTAGACGGCGCCTGCTCGAGAACTTCAATCTGTAAAGTAGACGATATGTAGCATATGCAGTGACCATGCCCTTCACGAGCAGATGTGCCGCGCAACTGTGGCCTGGAACTATGAGGTGGAGGTGGTTCGGTAGCGGCCGACTGATCGCCTCGGTTTTCGTCGTGCCGCAGCAGGGGCGCAACTCTGTGGCACTGGTTTATGCTCACATCAGCTGTCCACACTATTCCTCGAGTTTTCTACCCAACGGCTGCATAGAATCGCACGATTCTTGCATCATTGGAACCCTCTTGAGCAGGGGAGTCGCACACAGAGCGTGAAAACACGCGGGGCATCAATGGTGTAGTCGCTATCATACTTCCTTCGGGTTCTTTACGATCCGGATGAAACATCCAATGGAAGTGGTCCTGGGTTCAAATCCCAGTTGGTGCCGGTTTTTGTTGCCGTCCTGTGCATTGGAGGGGTGCGCGATTGGCACAGAAGTCGAGCGCGACTGGTTGGAAGACATGGGATAATCCTGGGGCGAAAGGGAAGATAATCGCGTGTCAGGCACGGAATCGCCCATCTGACGGAACCCTTCGGTTTGGGCCGATATTCGAATCTTGGGGCAGAAGTCGCAAGAATGGTGCACAGTTGCACTGCGTAGGACTGGGTTGCGATGCATCATTCGGCCTCGGGAGCGCTATTGTTGCAGACAATGGCATGCGTGAACCACAATAGCCGATATCACGTGCGCTACTGGTCTGTGTGAGCGCCCAACCCACCCGCTGCGCAGGCTAGGCGATGGACTAGCTTCGCTCCCCTCCCCGCTGTCGACCACTTGCGCCCGAAATCATATTTCCCCCCTTGTCACGATCTTCCATCTTGTCTTCGCCCACCCTTTCACTCAGCATTGACACCACCATTCTCATGTCGCTGCATCCACTCCCTCAGGTCCCGCTCTCCCTTCTCACGTCTACGTCGTTCGTTACCCCTCACTCATCGGCGTCCACCTCCACTCTCACGCCACCGATCACCGCTGCGCAGCCCATCCCGGCCGATGTGTGAGTTCACTTGAAGGGCGCAACTAACAACAGGCTTCTTGATGCCGCTTGCTATCCACACATCATCGATGTCATCTTCGCCCAATCCTCCCTCTCTTCCCTCCTCGTGCTGCGCCGTGTGAGCAAATCCTTCCGCACACTGGCCGATCAGCGCATCGCCTTCCACCTCATTCTGCGTGGCAACAAGCTGCCCATTGAAATCCACTCGGGCTTGCTAGGCCATCGTATTGCAACGATCGATCTGAACAACTTCGGCCTCGCGGTTCGGGACCGTTTCCCGTGGGCCGGCACGGCCAGCGTCCTCGATATCGATGCAACGGGAGACTTGAAGGAGCTTTCACTGTTGCTCCTGGCCTGGGACTTGAAAGAGCTCAAGATCCTGAGGGTGGTCAAAGGTGCCCCGAACTACCTTCATGAAAATCTAGGCTTGCCAAAATCAGAGAGGGCGGTGTACTTCTCGGCCGACTTTAAGATCAGCCCCGACCCACTCACTTTCCTCCGCCACTCGCTCTTCTTTTCCAGCACGGTCGTTATCAACAAGACAGCCCCCACCAGGGTGGCGACAGCACCTCGTCGGTACGAGCTGAGCCCCTTTTGCTGGGCTAGCTACATTGTCGTTATCATCAAGAAGTGGGAGACGCCAATCACGCCTCCGGACAAGGTCAAGGGCAGTCTTCGCGCCGCGCTTGAAGGCAACATGGGCGAGACGTTCCACATTCTGTCCGCGGCCACCAAGAGTTTCATGCCCTCCGTGTTAGTAGTTGGACTCGAGACACTCTCTCCCGGCGCAATGGGATTGCACGCGCACGAGCTTCGCGGGAAGAGCCTGCAGGACGGCCTGCGCTCCATCCTGAAGGAGGAGTGGGAGAAGGAACGCAAAGCCGAGTGGGACGGGCTCAAGCGATTCCGCACGCAGGCAGGGCTGGCGGCTCCTGACAGAAGTCTCCTCGAGTCAAAGAAGTTCCGGTTCAAAACACTCACTGTTGAAGAGTATAGGCGAGCGATTGGGGAGGGCGAGTGGGAGATTGAGACGAGCGAGGAGGTGCGCTTCGTGAATAGAAGCGAGGGGAGGAGGCTGCATGACCGCTTCTTCCCCAATGCCAACACTCTCTTCTGAAGTGGAGGGGTAGGCAAGGAGCCGTCGTTGTGAAGCATAGTTGTATCGTATGATATCCTTCTTATCAGGTTGTAGCGACGTTGTAATGAGTATGAGAACCAATGAGAAGTTGGCCCGACGTTTCGATCATAGCCGATGGCTGGTCGATCTGCTCAATAGACTGGGTGGCGAGTGATTCACAATGCAAGGAAAAGTTGCACTCCGCAGCACGGGGCCGTTTTCCTCCATGTACCTTATGCACTTGAGAGTTCCGAACTGCTTTGCATGCTTGCTGCAGAGCCTGCATGCATCGGCTTGTTGCATAACTAACATCGTTCACGGTCCGAACGGAACTGAACTTGACTGGGGTAGCGTCTTGATAAGCACGTGTCGTTATCGCAATCTGTGGAGTCGGGCCGGTTTTGCCGGTCGAACGATCGAGCTTAAGTTCACGCAGGCCGCGCACATGACGGCGTTACATCCCCCACAACTTGTACTGCTATGCATTTCACACTACTTCTAGTGTCCATATATCACTTTTCCTCGTGCTACAATCTGGCCTACTCGAAAGGGTGCATTTGGCTCTCCTCAGCAGCCTGGAGGACCCACATTTGCTCCGCCTTGCCATCCGCGCACTCGGCGAGCTTGACAGTCTTGCCATCCCCGAGCCCCTCGGGCAGGTCCCAGCAGCTCTTGGAGCCCTTTATGCGCCAAAGCCCGTGGTCCGAGTTGAAGCGCATCATCTCCGAGTCCATGCAGTAGGTCAGCTTGAGCGAGCCGTCCTCGGTGCCCGTGAGACACCAGCGGGAGTTGCCGAACTGGAAGCGCCACGTCGAGTACGCCTGCAGACCGCGCTGGTTGGACATCAGGTGCCAGCCTTGCGACTGGGATTTGTCGCAGTTGTGTCTGGGGTTAGCTATAAGGAGGGGAGCAAAGGGATTTGTAAATGGGGGGACTTACAGAACGACAGAGGAGCCGTCACCGGGCTCGCCGTCGACGGACAGGCAGTAGGCATCGGCGCCCTCTGAGCCGGCCGGGTGGACGGTCCAAGATCCCTCGCCGTGGGAGGGAATGGGTGCAGCAAGAGCAGCGGCGGCAGCAGCGATGAGGGCAAGCGTCTTGATGAACATGTCGTAGTCGTTATCTGGTCGTAGTTGTGGTGTCGGTCGTAGGTCGCGGGGTCGTGAACAATGTTGAAGTGACGAAGAGAAAAAAGTTGCATCGGTCCAGGAGGGAGCGTTATGTACCCCGACGTCTGGATCTGAGCTAGCGGCGAATGTCTCAGAGACTCACACGGCGTACAATGGCGCGCAGGCTGTGCCGGAGGGGCGGCGATCAACCCCCACCAGATGGCTGGTCCACGACGCTGCCGACGTCTTCCCCAGCGATCGCTTCGGTTCCCAGCGATCTCCCTTCGCAACCAGATTCTCTCAACGGCTCGCAGGCAACGCAGCACAGCGAAGCATGCAGCCCGCACCGTATCGCGGGTGATCGCACGATGACCAGCGGCGCACACATGTGCATGTAGGTCAGGTGCTGGTGCGTCACACCGTCACGACGCGAGTGACGACTACGAGGAACATGACGGAGGGCTACGCGGCTTCGCAGGGTGGAGGAACATTGTCGACTCAGGGTGTCGCTTCGATTGATTACCGGAGCACCGAACCTGAAATTCCGGCCTCATGTTCTCCGTCTCTTCCTGCTGCAGAGTGGTGTGAAGGTCCTGCGTTCGGTGGTACCTGCTCACATGCTGGGGGATATGACGGGGCATAAGGAAGGTGACGGCCCTTTGTCATCTGATTACCGGCTTGGATACCCGCATACCTCGGAGATTTGCATCAGGTCGATTGGTATCTTCGGGGACGACCGTATGCCGCAATCAGGTGTCATGCACGTACCAGTGAGATCAGCTTCTCTTACCTCTGGAGCGTGTGCAGGTGCCGCGTGCTCAAATCTCAAAGAATCATTGCATTTATCCAGAGGGAGTCATACAATGTCCTTTCTCTAGTATGGGGCGCAGTTGGTAACGCTGGGGACCCGTGGGAGACCGTGGATCTAGCGAGGTCGACCTCAGACGCCAAAAAGATGGAATCGAGCATGTGAACATCAATCGAAGCTTGGGGCATCGGAGTGTCCGTGGGAGACCTTGAAACTCGCAAGGGCGGTGAAGGCGATGTGCACATGTGCATGGCGGTCAGCGGCCTTGTGGCCGCCATCCCTCCGCACGAGAGCTGACTCAACCAGCGGCATTCTCTCCACAAGCAATGAGTGATCTAAGCGTCCCACATTGCCCTGCTGGAGCACTTTCGGCCCTCGCTATATAGCATGTCAGGAGAGCACAAAATCGCGCAACTGGTACAGGAACAGCAACTGAGATGCACCCTTACGTAACCCGTCCAAACTCTAACTCGACTCCGCCTCCACGCTCATCTGCTGAGGTTGGTACGCGTTTGTCTTCTCCCACTCTTGCCACCCAACCTCGCACAATGGACAGACCTCACGCAGTGTTCGATCGCGGTCTCGATCGAGATCGCCGCCTCTGCAATCGCGGTGATCGACACCCTCTGGCCGTATCTCGGATCCGGACCAATCGTTGACTCGAACCTCACCCAGGACGACTCAGCGTTGCAACTTTGGTGCGCAGGCTGTGCTGGTTGATGCATTCGCCGCTCGACGGAAGACAGTGGACAATGGTATAAACGTTGGAGTGCACTGACGCTGCAACTACTCATCTTCTAACAGACTTCCCTCCCGCCTCTCTGCCCTCCCCATTCACTCATCTGGCCTCCCCTTTCTCCTACCCCTCCAGCAGTCTTTCCACCTCCTCGACTTCTTGCTCACGACCCACTCGATCCGAGACAACGACAATACCATGCGTGTGGCGGTAATCGGTTGTCTACACGGCGACCAGCACCGGATGTTCACTGAACAGTCCAACGTCGACCTGATCCTTTGCTGCGGCGACTTCCAAGCCCTTCGCAATTCTCACGACCTCTCCGCTACGTGCAGCCCGGAACGGCACCGCAAACTCGGCACTTTTCACGAGTATTACAAAGACGACCGTAAGGTGCCCCTCACGATCGTGATCGGTGGTAACCACGAGTCATCAGCGTACATGGCCGAGCTGTTCTATGGCGGCTGGCTCGCGCCCAACATCTACTACCTCGGCGCCGGCGGCAGTGTCATCGTAAACGGGCTGCGCATTGCCGGGGCGAGCGGCATCTACTCTCGCCCCGACCTGTTCAACAAGGGCCACTACGAGCGTGTACCCCTTTCCGAGTCCGATGCCAGATCAATCTATCACCTCAGGTCATATACCGAGGAGCGCCTCAGCTTGCTCCCGCCCGTCGACATCTTCCTTTCGCACGACTGGCCTGTCGACATCACAGAGTTTGGAGACCAGGCCGACCTTCTCCGCATCATGCCCCGCTTCACGCGTGATGTAACTGCAGGCTGTTTTGGCGCTCCCGCTCTCTCCCGGGTCATGGTGGCAACGGCACCGCGGTACTGGTTCGCTGCGCACATGCACGTCAAGTTCCCCGCGGTGCGACAGTATTTACCCACCAAACGCAAGCCCGATCACGACTACGACCCCGCCCCGCAGCACTGGCTAAGGGATCATGCCCTGTCTCCTTCTCGCACGGTTGAGGTGCCGGAGCACAGTGGATGTGCGACACGTTTCCTCGCGCTCTCAAAGCCGCATCCGAAGAAGCACGATTGGTTTGAGGTCCTCGACATCCCCTTCCCCGACGAGACGACACCACTCAAGCTCAGCTTTGACCCCGAGTGGCTCGCGATCTGCAAGGCGACACATCCCCTGCCGCAGGGTCAGCATGCTCCGCCTCTGCCAAAGGACATCCGAGTCAAGATCACTGCCGCGCGAGTCGGTCTCGACGAGAAAGCGAGTGGCCCAGTGTCGAACGTCCAGACGTTCGCGAAGACAGCCCCTGGCGAGGGAGAAGGCACACCTGAGCCGCATTACGCGAACCCGCAGACGACTGCGTTCTGTGCCATGCTTGGCATCGAGGATGTGACGAACCCGAAGGCTGTGGCCAAGGGTGTCGGCAAGGGCAGGGGCAAAGTGCGGAAGAACGGCAGGTAACTTATCGATGGCTATCAGCCTCGGCCGTTCGGTTGTTGTCGCAACTGGTCTAGCACTTCGAGTGAACTTATGGGAACAAGATCTAACCCTTACACCACCCCTCGATGAATCGCTCTGGCTTGGCACACGCGCGATGAGTCAACCACACTAGCAGCAAGATTGGACGTACGCAGCGCCTCTCTAACCCTCTGTATATATCCCACGACATCCCATGCATTGATTACGACGTGATTCCGCATTCACCCATCACGCATCAGAGCACATCAAGATGCCCGTGATTGTAAGTCTCGTCGTCTGAGTTTATACTGACTTCTAGCAAATCCGTGTCGAGACACCACCCGATGCCGAGCTCAATCTCTCGCAAGATGGGTGGAAGATGGTCATCAACTTGCCCCCGGGAGCGGCAGTGAGCGTCACTCGGGACGCCGCTTCTTCTAGTGTCGGCAGCCCAGCCGCAGTCCGCGAGTCCTCCCGCCTCGCCAAGCGCACCTTTGACGAACTCTACGGCAGCTCGGTCCCCACTCAGCAACTCGTTGGCATGCACCACGGCGTTCACTACGGCGTCGCTGCCTTGCAGAAGAACCTGGAAGCGATGTGGCCCACCGAAGGCGATGGTCACCGTGATGACGATGGTGATGTGGACGTCTGCCTCTGCCATTGCGCAAAGGAGGTTGACTTCGCCGCTGTTCTTCCCGGCGAGCGCGAAGAGGCTAGCGACGCGGAGCCAGACGACTATGCCGACGAGTCGGACATGGACGACGACGAAGTCGCCGCCGATCACCCTTACTGTGGACAGAGAACGTGACGCCTAGACCGGCCATGCTCCATCCCTCCACGCTGAGCTGTTTCTACAGTGAGAGGGAGCTGGGCGTGCTTAAGGAGGCGTTTGGGATTCTTAACGGTGATGTGGGTGAACCGGATCTTGTGACCTCCCAAGGTAACAGGTGGGCGATCGAGGCAAGAGAGAAGGAGGAGGGAGAGAGGGAGGCAAAGCGGTGCAGAACTGAAGGAGCCGCGGAGAGGATCAATGTCGAAGCAGCCGATTCCCAAGATGTTGATATGAAGGACGCCAAGACTTCGCAAGAGACGCCTGAGGGTACCAAGCCCCAGTCGACGGTCAGCAAGTGCTCGCAGTATACTCCCTGGTCCTTCGTGAGCGACGAGGAACCGGTCGAAGTTAGGACTCCTCTCCCGCCCAGTCCCCATCCCGATTACGAGGACTGTGTCTTCAACCCCGCCCAGTCGCCCACAGGCGGCAACAGAAGCGAAAACGATAGCGATGGAAGCAGGGGCATCTGGATCCCGATGTAGAGGACACAGGTCGTGGCCAGGGAGGAATCCTACGGCTTGATGAAGAAGGTCCCCAGCAGTGGGGATAGAACGAGTGTTTCCTTTCCTCTGACACCCCGGCTTCAACCACCTTAGCCACAGCCTTCCACCAAAATGCAGCCCCGCTTGCCCGTTTTTGCAACAGTCCAGTGCTCCAGCACTGATTATCTGCGACTTTAAGGACCTCAACAATAGCGTCCTCAGTAGCCTGCAAGTAGCGGCTGCAATTATGCAACTACCTGAGCGCATTCGTGTCGCAAAAGATTAACGCCCAACCTCGTCCATTGATAGAGGCTTCGAACAATGTGCCCACACCTTTGACAGAGCTAGCCTGGGTAAGCGTCTCAAGATTGACTCACCTACTAAAGGATCCTACAGACGCACTCACTGCAGCACATTCCCAGACCGCCTCTCTTCCGCCATGTCCAGGAACAGCCCGACTCTGCCTGCTCCCCCTGGGCTTCTCCCATCAGCGCTATCGATGGTCTTCCCTTCGCTCGAGTTTTCAGGAATTGGGGCCCCGACAGTGGAGGGGTTCATAGCCGCCCTTGAGACCCAGCTCGAAGCCACACGCAGTGCGAAGGTCGAGGGTCAGATCGCCTCTCGTCTCACCGGCCGCGCATTGCTGTGGTACGTGCACTGCACCTCTCCGCCCGAGGCCAACCGCGTCCACAATGAGGAGGCATATCTGACTCTCCGCGAACAGTTGACTCGCATGTTCTCTCGCCAGAACCGCACACCGCAGAGCGTCTTCAATTGCCTCACACAGGGTGTCAACTCGACCAACGAGTACTTCGAGAAGTATTGCCTACTCGCCCTTCGGGCTAACGAGGGCATCGACAACTACTTCCGCCACGTGTGGTGGATCCATGGACTGCAGCCGGAGCTGAGGGACTTTGCACTCGACCGCATGGCCAACTACCGGACCTTCACGGAGCTCGTACAGGCAGTGCACGTTGCTGAGCGCGAGCTTCTGCGGAAGTACGCACCGAGGTTCAAGTTTCAGCTTACTCCCGTCACGGAGGGCACGAGACGTTCCTTGCCCCGCGAGAATGGGAACTAGCAACTGTGATTGTTCAGGAGATTAGCAGTATGCAACGTGTTAGCAGGAGTGAAGTGACGATGCAGGATGTTGTAGCAGTACCGGTTCCGATCGCTTGGTTCCGTCGCGTGCTCGACGAAAATACCGCATTCCGCCACCAATCCACCGGCCAAGCAGAAAACAGCGCACCAGGCTAAATCCTCTCACTGATCAAGCGATGTGCTAGTCGGAACCCATGCATGCATGTGTTGAAGCACATGATGTGCCATATTAGCTCCCCGCTCCGCATAAGCCGATCAGATTCGATTAATCACGCAAGGCGGACAAAAGTACATGCGGGCCTTCTTAAACGGAGAGGATGATGGGACGCTCACCATCATGCATGACTTCGAGCTCTCCCTCACACTCACCCTCTCAATGGTTCCGCCATGCCTTTCCTTTCCTACCCTCACGTTCTCGGGGATCGGCGCGCCGACCGTCGAAGATTTCATTGCCGCTCTCGAAGGCCAGCTCTCCGCGAGCGACGCTCCCCTGCTTCCCGGCCAAATCAGTGGGCGATTGACCAGCCGCGCTCTATTGTGGTACACGGAGACGATCTGCGGCCACCACTTCCGCCTCACCGACGACGGGTACCGAGACCTGCGCTCACGACTGCTGGCCGAGTTCTCGCTGAGGGAGCGCAACCCGCAGCGCATCTTCCGCACGTTGACTCAGGGCTACCTCTCGGTCGAAGAATATGCGACAGAGTGGAGGACGCTGGCCGGCCATCTGGGCGAGGATGTCGAGAGCTACTTGAACCGTACATGGTGGGCTTACGGACTCCGGAGTGAACTGCGCGATATCGCTCTCGCGGCCATGCACATATCGACTTTTGGAGAGCTAGCGGGTGAAGTACATCGCGCTGAACGGCTACTCTGTCCACGAACTTCGCAGCAGTGCAGAGAAGTTCAGCAAGCATGCTCCTGCAGCCAAGGCGAGAGCGACTGGGACGAGGATAGCACCTGGGAGATGGAGACCACTGGATCGACAGAAGAGACGAAAGTAGCCGAGGATATCCAGCGAACGAATGGCGATACCGCAGGGCTTGGAGGGTCAACCGATGCGGAACTGGTGAAACTGTTCGGAGAGCTCCTGAGAGCCCGTCTGCTTAGTCCATAGCGGCATGCAGCAGATCTCCTGGCGTTTCGTTCTGTCCGTTGACACATGCATCTGATTCCACTGGCCCCCATGAAATCAGTCGCGTCACGTTAGCTCAGAGCCGCGCGGTGACCAACCCACGAGTCCACCCGCCGCCCTTCTCATTGCATCAACATCATCACAACCTTCCCCCTCACCATCGCGAACATCACCGCGCCATGACGTTCGCCAATGCGCTGTCGCCAGTGCCAATCCGCCCCTTCTCAGGCGGCACCTCATACACCGTTGAAGAGTTCCTGACCACGGTCGACTATGTCTCGACGGCGCCGCGCACTCCCGGAAGTCTGTTCGCATATCTCGAAGGCCGCGCTCGATTCTGGCTCACGCACTACGCCATGTCGAACACCGTCCCGGGCACTGAGGAGGGGTACGCCATACTCCGCTCTGCACTCCTCGGCGAGTTCTCCCTGGATCCTAACATGAGGGACACGAGGGAGGCGTACCACGCCTTCCGGGCTTTGACGCAGTACACGGCCGGCGTGCAGGAGTATGCGGACGCTTATCGACGGGCGGCAAGAGATGGGCGGTTCAGCATCGAGGACCACTTCAACCGGATGTGGTGGGTCCTGGGATTGAGAGAGGAGATAAGGGAGACGCTGTGCGAGAGGTTACCACTGCTGCTCTCATGGAGGGAGATCGTGGCTGAGGCGGTCTGGATTGAGAGGGAGAAGGGCTTGGATGCGGATGCAGGCAGGAGAGAACCTCGGGAGTCGAGAGACTCGAGGGAGAGGGACAGAGAGCGAGAAAGGGAGAAGGAAAGGGAAAGGGAGAGGAGGGATCACCGGGAGAAGGACGGACGACATCGACACGGCCACGAGAGCGGGGAAACGCTGGACCTCTCGAGACTGAATCGTTCGGTTCAAGATACGCTCATATCGGTTGTCAACAAAGCCAAGGGTGACTAAGCACTCCGTGCTCGAGACTTCCCGCTTCGGTCCGCGGCGTCTGGTCCGCAAAGATAGATCATGTGCTAGTGACAATGTGCATTTGATGTGATAGATGTGAGAACTCACGCTGACACTCATGTCTGACGATGAGAGAATGAGAGCAACATGTTGGATCCCTCCCGGGCAACTCACCCGCCTATCGTTCTCCCTGTGCGTCTGCATCAGCCAGTGACTGTCCTATGCTGTTCAGTCAGCACGGAGAGCTGAAACGCAAGTGCGAGCTCCAGTGACACGATATCCGGCGCAGAGAACCACCGCCGACCTGCGAGACCTGCGACGGCCGGTTCCGCCGGCCCCACAGCCAGTCGCCGTCTACCCCACCTTCCCCGCTTTCCTCGCTGCCCACGGGTACTGGCTAGGGGACTTTAACGCGGCACGGGTCATGCACCTTCAGTTACCAGTTACCAGGTCCGGTTGTCACGTGGATCGGATCATAGAGCGGCGGAGGGGGACGGGTGAGTCATAAAGAGCGGGCGAGTTTGCGAGCAAGTTTTGCAGCCCCTCTCCCTGTCTTTACATAACCTGCGCTCTCGAGAGCGCTGACGACGAGGCAGAAGCATGGAACTATCATAGCTTGGAGGCAGCACAGGTGGAATGATGACAAAGTAAACCACAGATCCGGAGCGAACTAAAGGTAGTCACCGAGGCTGCGCCGGTCTTGGCGCCGTGTGTCCCCAACTCTGCCGAGATAGTCGCCCGGCCTTCATCAGGGGGCGTCACAATCCGATATCGGGCTCTTGTCATTTGGTCTTCGGCGCAGGCCGAGCGGCAGAGGCTTTCTCGGCTACGGCGCTCGTCTGGAGTCCAGGGACGTACCCCGCGCCGAAACTCTGCAGCGTGCGTGGGGCCATGCAGCTGAGCAAGCAGCGCAACTGTTGTCCTGGACACATGCAGAAATGCAGATGTTCGCATTGCTTAAACTCCCTCTCAAAACTGGTCGATATACTCCACATTGACGAACGACCGGTACAGGCGAGCTGTCGATCGACTTGACAGCGCTATTCAGCGACAATTGCGATCTGCAATCTGCAATCCGCAAACCAACCTCACACGACCGACCGGCCGAGGCTAATCGTGTGGCATGTCGGACAACTCGCAGTCGACGGCCGTGTCGCCGCGGCCATCGCTTGACCAGGCCTCGCTGAGCCAAACGGAAAAAGACCTCCCGCTCGGCATGGAGACGATCGAGATCAAGGAGGGTCCTTTCCACGTGCCGGAGCATGGCGAGGGCACCGGCGAGCAGTTCTCCGAGATGCTCAAGGTCATGAACCATGCGACGGGTCATGACGCCGAGGGCATGCATGAGAAGATCATTACTGTCGATCGAGGACGTGGGGACGAGAAGGTAGTCCTCGTTGACTGGGAGGAGAATGACCCGGAGGTACGCATACTTTGCCCGCAAGGAGGAATAGTGGCTGATGTCAGAACCCGCGCAATACGTCTGAGGCGAAGAAGGCGCTCCAGGTCGGCACGCTCGTCGTCTTCATGGGTCTGACCGCCACCAACGCAACGTGCACGGGTGCGATGGCGCCTTTCGCCGTGCCATACTTCCATACCACGAATATTGGCTTCGCCTTGTCCTCGTTTATGCTCCTGTTCCCGATCGCCATTACCCCTTTGGTTCTGGCACCACTATCTGAGCTCTTCGGCCGATTGAGGATCTACCAGGTCACCGCGCTCATCATCGCCCTTACTTTCATCCCGCAGAGCCTGTCGGACAGCTATGCCGGACTACTCGTGGCACGTTGGTTCCAGGGCATGGCGAGCAGCGTGGCCAACTCGATGGTTGGAGGAAGCATTGCGGACCTCTACTCGGCCAAGGAGCGAGGCATGTGGATGAACCTGATGGCATTTGGGATCTTCATCGGTTCTGCACTGGGGACTGTGCCGTTTGGCTTCGTTTCGGAGCACTGGGGCGTGCAATGGGTCTACGGCGTGAGTACTTGAGCTTGTGTCCCATCCGAGGATCGTTGCTGACAGTCAGATTCAGGGCATTGCCGCCGGTCTCAGCGCCATCACCGTCCTCCTCTTCCTAAAGGAAACGCGTGGTGACGTCCTCCTAGCCCGCCGGGCGGCCAAGCTTACGAAAGAGACCGGCCGTCTGCACCTATGTGCGGCTCAGCTATCCCGTCAATCCTTCAAGGCGATGCTGAAGACGTCCGCTGTCCGACCCCTCGCATACCTCTTCACCGAGCCCATCGTGACCGCCATCAGTCTTTGGATCGGCTTCGCGTGGGGCGTCGTCTTCCTCGGTACCTCGAGCACACTCCTCGTGTTCTCCCAGTACGGCTGGTCCTGGGGCATGACGGGCGTGATGCAGGTCACAATGGCGATTGGCGGCCTCATCGGCTTCATCTCAAACTACCACCAGGAGTATCTGTACCGCCGGGCGACGTTGCGAGCGACGGAAAAGCAGAACGCGGACGGTATCCCGGGCCCCGGCAAGGCGGCGCCGGAAGCGAGGCTGTATTGGGCGTGCACGGGCGGACTCCTCTTCCCCCTCGGCATGTTCGTGTATGCTTGGACTGGAAGGCCGCAGGTGCACTGGATCGTGCCCGCGATCTTCCTCACGCTGAGCTTCTGGGGAGTGTACTGCATGTACCTCTCGGTGTTCAATTACTTTGCGGACGCGTACGAGACGTACAGCTCCTCTGCCAACGCTGCGCAGAGCTTCGCTAGAAACATGTTTGCCGCCACTTTCCCGCTGTTCTCGAAACAGTTCTACCACAACCTCGGGTACCCCATCGCCTCGACTGTGGTCGCTAGCATTGCCATGGTGCTCGCTGCTGCGCCTATAATGCTCTTCCTCTTCGGACACAGGCTTAGGGCGAAGAGTAAGGCTGCCTCGGCGCTTGCGGGGTCTAATTAGACGAGCTGTGAGCCGTGAGCTCTTGCTTCGTGAACGACACAAACATCGAAGGAGTAGAGTAATAGAAGGCATAGAGAAGGAGCCGGGTTCATGGGATGTTCGGGCAATAGGTTTTGTAACAACAGACATAGCATTCTATCAAATGTACAATCTAGCATTGAGACATTACAGCATCTGCACGGGCACGTCCCACCTAGCTTCGAGGTCATAGTTCTCCTCCCCAACCTCAACCTTGTATTCGCGGTGGCTGAGGAAGCGTATCCTCTGAGCGAAGCCGTGCAGTCCCTCGGGGTCGGCATGCAGCATTTGGGCAATGTGGACCTGCTTGTGGCTTCGCCTCTCAACATTAGCACGGACCGCCTCCTCGACCTCATGACGGCATGATTGCCGAGGCAGACCGAGCAGACGCGGGTCGATAGCGTCCACACCGACAAACGTGACGGGGTTCCGGGCGACGTTCCAGTCCAGACTTACGAGCACGCAGCTCAGCACACCAAGCTCGTGGTGCACCGTCTCCTTGAGCGCCGCCAGGGTCGGTTCCGCAGGGTCGAAGATGAAGACGTACTCGTACCGCGCCCCCGGGTCAACGTTCCGGACAAGAGCGCAGTTGTCGAACGTCCTCGCGTTACCGTCTGCGTCGCTCAGGAGGCGGATCGTGTTGACGACCTTGAGGATGCCGCCCGGCGGCGCAACGCGGGTCGTGGCCACACGGGTACCCGTCTCGTCCACGGCGGCAGTGTACGGCAGCGCAACGCCCCATTGCGTTCGCCTGCCGATCTCAGAGAAGAGGACGACACGGTCGACGCCAGGGAACCCGGGGAGGTGCGGCCACTCCTGGTGACCAGTCCAGTTCGGGACAACAACGCGGCCGTCCCCGGCCAAAGAGCCACAGTGGGCGCGAAGCGTTCGTGGAGTCTCCGCGAAGGGCGGGGGGAAAGTGACGTTGATCCTCGTGTCACCGTAGGCATGCAGACGGAGAGAAAGAACCTCAGGAGGCTTCAAACCGCCCGCGTCGGTGAGAGCGAAGTGCCGGCTGGTGTACTCTGGTTGCGGCTGCGCCAGTCCATCGTGCAGCGGCACGACATTACCATCGGCGTCGATGTTGACAAGGCGCACGGTAGGGGTCTGCGGAGAACGAAGCCCGCGCTCGACCGCTGACGGAAGGTAGGGGATCGAGAGATCGTGGTAGGTCAGCTTGACCGGCAGCTTGCCGCCAAGCTGCGAGCGGAGTGCCCATTGCACCGGACCAGACTCGGAGCTGAAGTCGGCGACGATGTGGGTGCCCAGACGAGCGTCCGCCTGCGAACGCAATGAGCGACTGACACCTCGCAGCGCCAGCAGCGCAGCTGGCGGTGCCAGTTCCACGATCCGGTCGAGGATGTGCGGGAAGCACAAGGAGTCGAGCCACCTAGCGTGTCAACAACGGATAAACCAAAAATTCACTCACAGTTCGTCCTCAGTTACGGTGTAGGTTGCCATTTTGCCACTGACGGTGGGAAGCCGGGTGAACGTTGCCAGCGAGCTAGTTAAGTATTGTGGGCAAGCGATGAGTGAAAGAGAGAAAGAGAAATGCACTAGGGACCACGGGTGACACAAACAAATGCATGGCTGGAGCCACAGACGCCGCCGGCAGCACGCCAGAGTGGGTGCGCAGTGGGTGAAGACTTAGCGGCTGGGCAGGACTAGCACACAATCCAGGGGAGATAAGGGGTGATAAGAATTTATCGGCCTGTGGTGCAACCTTCTTCGAGCGCGCGCGTCCCGACGTGTACGTGCAGGGCTTACATAACTCCGTCAAGATGCATGCGAGTGCTTTCGGGGTGTGTCCTCATTCCTCCGCGTCCGTCACCGATCACCGCCGCGACACCGCATTCCCCGGGCAACACACGTGAGAGGAGCCAAGGAGCGGCGCAAGATACACGTACACAGTCTACAATCTCATTAACCTATGTTTAACTGTTTATGATTCTAGTCTAAGAAGGGCATGACTACCCGAGGAACGCGCTGTCGTCGATCTCGAGTCCGAACTCGTTCTTCGCCAGCTGCTCCATCTGCTTCTGCAGCCGGCCCTCCCAGTCAGGTCCCTGCGGGCGGAACCAAGACACAACCTTCGACCATATGAAGGCAAGGTCGATGACCCACATTGTCACTTGGAACTTGGCCATCTCCCACCTATCGTGCAGCCAAGGGCGTAGGCCAACGTTACTCAGAGACCGAGAGCCCGATAGCCCGTTCGCGTATCCCCTCGCGGCCCACTGAAAAGTTAGCGTTGCTCACTTGCGTCGATCCGCTGCCACGTACCTGAGCAGTGATGTTTACACGGGAAGAAGGCGAACCTAGAGTCTGATGATCAGCTGGGGAAGATGAGGAGAGCTTACTTGGTTGTTGGCTTGAAGCATGCGCTGGCATCGACCGATGAAGATGAGCTCCTGTCCGTCAGTTTCACGGCGGTCCCGGGCACCGACTCACGCGGGGTATAAGCTGCTCGCTCTCCAGCAGAGCTTTCAGCTGTGCCTTCGCAGCCACCTGAAGCTCGTATGCCGACTTCTCGGTCTGTTCGACCTTGTCCACTTTTTGAATCTGGGCAGGACGCAAGAGAACAGCAGAAGCAAACCTGTCTTGTCAGTCTCCGTGTGCCTCCGTGACTCACATGTTGGGATCCAACCCGATGCCCCACTTCTTCGCGATGGCTTCGACCTTCGGCACGTCCTGAACGAAGAGGGAACGCCAGAGCGTCGAGTAGTCTTCCCGGAACTTCTCTCCTTCAGTGATGTACAGGCCGTGGTCGAGAACGATCTGCCGTTAGCTACGGGAGACACACCTGAAGCTCACCAGCTGCGGCTTTCCCTTCTTCCAGGGGTGCGGCCGGACCAGGATGTTACCAGGATGCGGGTCACAGTGGATGAATCCCCACGAGAATGTCATGGCACCGTTCAGGGCAATGGCGAGGTCCATGACCTCGCGAAGATTAAGACCCCATGCCTCGAGTTGCTTTTTATCCGTGAGCCTAGGGGTTAGCTAACTTTGGCGCACCTCGCAGCTTACCGGCAGCCGTCGACCCATTCCATAACCAAGATGCGGTCACTTTCCGGATATCCCTCCTGCCTACCATACACCTTGGGGACGTAGATATCGTCCTTTAGTTCTGGTGTCCGAGCCAGAAGCTCTGCGCACTTTCGAGCGTTGGCTGCCTCATGAGAGAAAGAGGTCTCCAGTTTCATCTGCGAAGCCACATACTCTGCGACAAAGTACACTGACGTCAGCTGCAAAGCGAACTGGAAAGCTTACTGGGCAGATCGAAAGCTCTCTGAGCTAACCACATCAATGTTCTGAAGTCAGCGGAAGGGCAGGAGGAGCTCAGCTCACTTGTAGCTGAAGAGGTCCCATCCCATCTGTTTCGATATGGCAGGCTTCTGGACCTTCACGGCAACGACCTGGTCTGGATTGCCGTGCTCAGTCTTCAGAGTAGCCTTGTGCACTTGCGCAATACTTGCTGACGCGAGCGCCTCTGGAGAGAAGTGCTCGAACATGTCTGTAGGCAGAAGGCCGAGATCCTCCTTGAACACTTTGCAAACTTCCTCGTAAGGAACCGACGGGGCATTGTCGAAGACATGCGAGAACGCTGCTCGGTAAGGCTTCGGTAGAAGGCCCGCTTGAAGACCTGATGTCAGCTGAGATACTCGCAATGCAGCTTACCGATAGCCTGCCCCAGCTTCAGATACAAGCCCTGATTCGTGTCAACGACCCATCGCAGGCGGTTTGCCACTCGTTCGTGCAGCGACTCGATCTCGTCCGCCTTTGAGGGAGAGAAGTTGAGTTTGTCTGATGGTTAGTGTCTTCGAGACTTTCGTAACCTCACAGTCTAGTGTGCACAACACGCTGATGTTAGCTCGCGTGACCACTTGAGAGCTTACCCAATGTATCCCGTCCTGAGACTCCTCGTCAGCGCTGAGGCATTCAGCTCGCGGTCCGCAATGTACACGACGACGCCGACAGCGAAGAGAACGCCGAGACGTTCGCCCCATTTGTGACGCTTTTGCTTTTTGGCGGACTTCTGATCCGACGAGGAAGACGAGGAAGACGATCCGCCTTTCGTCAGAGGACAGCTCGAAGGTGGAGGTGACCGTGGGTAGCCGATGCGGGCTGTTGTGTGGAGCGGTCGCAGCGAGACGTGGATGCCTGCCCGTGGCCGGGCAAACATCGTGGTGAGCATGTACTTGGAGACGACGAGCGCGGCGTGTGCGGTTGTTGTGGAGAGAGTGAATGAGGGAGAAAAGTTATCGATCGATCGCCGCATGGCCCAGCCCCTGCTCAGCTCCGTTATGACGTTGAGAGATCGGCAAAAGCCAATGTCAGGTACGGCTCCGGCACTGGCCACGGCCTGCCCGGCGGCGATGACCTTTCGGAGTCGGGGCCGATGACGGTATGAAGATTGCAGAAGGCAGCCTTCATCCGAGGCAATCAACAGGCGCATGCAACGTGCACATGTTTTCTAGGCTGCTCCACTAGTGCACTAGGCCCCGAGTAACGCCATATACACGTTTCAGAGTCAACAGTTGAGGTTATACATATTCTGCTACAGATCGCTCGGTCTAGTGACACGCGAGAGTGGGGGCACTGGGAACGACAGTGCTGAGGTCAGCTCAATTGCCGGGAGAGTTAGACTCACGTCAGGTCCAGCTCGCCCTCATAGATGTAGTGGCCGAGGAAGGCGCCGACGACGATGGCGGAGCACAGGTAGACGTTGTAGGTCATGGCCACGAGCATGAGCTGTCGTTAGTACTGGAGGAACGAGAGAACTCACGAAGTACGAAATGGCCACTGTGATGGCGCAGTATCCCGCGCGGATGATGCGGACAGAGGAGGGAAGACGGATGCTGCTGTCAGATTGGCTTCCAACTGAGAATGTCTAAGCCACTCACACTTCCTCCTTGACGGGCGCGCCGCCCGCCGTCTCCTGGATAGACGAGTACGCCGCAGGATGCGGGTTGGCCGCAAGGGTCTTGATCAGGCGACGCTCGTAGTTCTTCATACGGGCGAGAAGGCTGGCATAACCGATCGTGATGCCGACGATGGCAACGCTGGACGTCAGATACAAAGCTCGGGGGCATCTCTACACACCATGAAATAAGCATTCCAACCCAGGTATAGATGTGCCAGCTGCGGAAGACGACGCAGGTGTTCGCGACCTGCGAGTTCCAAAGCATGTTCATCTGCCGTCAGACATTGCGCAGCGGCTGATGGCGGAACATCGCCACCGAGGAAGACCTACTGAGCACATGGGCATGTCACCCCCGCTGTGACCGCCGTGTCCACCGTGGCCGCCTCCGTGATCCATGATGTCGTATGTTGATGAGTTGTGAGGTGAGAGGAAGAGAAGAGTGCAAGAGGGATGAGCGGCGGTTCCTGCTTACGGCGTTCGAGGACGAGTAGCTGTCCTTCCCGCACCACCCCGTCGCAGAGCTTATCGGAATGGCGCGACGGACGTTCCTGAACGGCGTGCATTTCGGATCATCGTACGAAGCTAATTGAGGGATTATCGATTATGGCGGACTGATGAGGCATTACCTCGGATTCTAATGTGACAAGGGAGCCATTTTCTGTTTGCGGAGTCTCCACATGGCCACGTGACCAAGCTCGAGCGGCGGACGATGGGATGTTGAGCGGCAAAAGTCGAGGAAGACAGACCGAGCGCCTTTCTTCGATCGCCCAACGCTCATCGACATCGACGAAGTGAAACGATGCTGGTGGCCACGGTGCTTCCACGACGAATATCCGTCGGACGATGTGCGCGGGCACAGTGCCGGGCTTTCTCCGCCTCACCTCCTCACAGGCGGAAGGCGTCCGAACTCGAGACGGTACTTCGCGCGCAGGATCCCTTTGATCGGATACAGTTCTTCCCCGACCTGCAGTTTCCAAAGGAGGCGAACAACTACAAAAGCCGAATGGCTTGGCTGTCAGGTGGCCTGGTGAGTTGCAGCATCGGGGTTTGCTGACTCGCAGTTCTCGAGCAAGGTTGAGGCAGAACCGCATCTCGTGCCGTTCTGGACTCTCATCGTGCACATCAACCGGACATGGTTCGTGAAGAATGTTGAGGACGGGACCCGCAAGTTGAGGTTCAAGCAAACCCAGTGGCCGACGGCGCAGATGTTCACGATAGCCGCTGTACCGGAGACACACTGGGCACAGTGAGTTTAGACTCGCTGCTCTCTCCGAAACTAACAATCAGCGGCCTCGTCCTGACGCCGGACTCGTTTGACATGGCTGTGTGCTCGGAGGACCCTTCACTGGAGCGCATTGTGCGAGGCGACAATGCGCATCTCTTTCCGCATTACGATCCACTGTTTGCGGCGAAGTTCGCGTACGGCCCGCCGAAGATGAGCCGAGAGCTGCTCCAGGCGATCGCGGACAGGCAGCCCCTGCTATACTCTGCGTCGCAGGGGAAGACGATGCTTGCGGACAAATTGCGGGAAGTGAACATACTAGGAGACACGGTGAGCTTAAGCATCGTCTGCGTCCCAGCTAATATCGCAGTCTTCGTTCATCTTCCCGCACTACAAACTCATCTATCGACAGACGAACGACCCCGACAAGGAGGCGTACTTCGACACGGGAGAGGTGCAGAACGGCGGCCTGCGGCCTCTGGTTCGCATACCTGGGGGCTTTGGACGCAGGTCCGAGGACGATCTTGCTGGCCCGAATCGTCCTGTGCATATGCAGTGGATCCCTGCTCAGAACACAATCGCCATCGGTCACTGCCCACCCTCCCACTCGGCAGAGCTGCACGAGTTTCTCATCTCCTCGATGCGGAGCAATCCCATCCAGAAGAGTGTTTGGGAGGATGCGACTATTCTGCCCTGGTCGCCGACGAGTCAGGCCGGTGGAAATCGGCTCAGCTTTGAGTAAGTTGCTCGCTTCCTGCCGGAACTGACAAACAGCACCTACACACCCGCATTCCTGCAGGGCAAGCCGATAGCCGATCCGCTGTTCCCTGGTATTCAAAGGAGAGGACCGAGCGTCTCGGAGCACCTGCGGAGGAGAGCTGCGTCCGTCTCTTCCACCGCTTCCGCCGCCGGCCCGTCAAATGTGGCCGGTTCTGCTGGTACCCGGCCAACGGCCAAAGCGGGACCAACAGTAACCGATAGTCGCGAGCAGGTCGAGACGCGGAACCGTCTTCTTCGCCAAAGACTGCGCGAACAGGTCCAGCGTCAGCGAGCATGGGCTGCTGTTGGGTCCGATGACGGCAGAGTGACGCCCGGTACGCCGGGCGCGCCGTCGCAGGTGGTGGCTGCGTACGAGGAGAAGCAGTACGCCGCCGGCCGCCCTCAGCCGGCAGTGCACAAGATCATCTCCGATCCGCGGTCATACTACAAACGTCTCGGAATGGTGCCGGAGCCGAGACATCTGCAGTACTTCCACGAGAAGGAGGTCGACGCCGAGATCAAGGAGGTGTACCGTGAACTCACGCTTCAGAATCACCCCGACCGCGCCGCGAGCCCAGAGGAAGAAGCACGCCTGCACCACATCATGGCCAACATCAACGTCGCCAAGGATCACCTTGAGACTGCAGAGAAGCGCATCGTGTACCACAACCGCTTCTCCCCGACCAAGCTGTACCGCTGAAGACATATAGAAACGTAGACATCCTCAACTCCATTGTACATAGTGATACACATATGCATACTCTAGATCAGTCTATTGGGCCGCCTACGCAGTGCCCCAGTTCATCTGCAGGAAGGTGACGAAGCCAGAGGCGACACCAGCCTCAGTCCAGATCCCCGCGCCCTTGGATCCAGTCTTCTGCGCAGCCATCTGGTTGCTCTCGTACGTGCGCTTCAAGCGCTGCAGCTCTGAGAGTGTCGGCTTCCTCGCCGGCGGGAGGTTCAGCACGAGTCCTGCCGCAGCTGGCGGAGAAGGAATGGGCAGCGTCGTACCACCTCCAGCCTGCAGGTGCGAGATGATAAGCTGGACGATTGTGCTCGTCGTGCCCGTCAAGATCTGCATCGTGTTCGGGGGAGGTTTCGTCCTCTGCGAATGGTTAGCTTTGGGGCACATATAACCAAAGGGTTGCCCAAAGGAGGGGACAAAGGTGACTCGGGTGACTCACGTGCTGCGCTGAATTTGTCGGCGGCTTCTTCTCGCCCTTCGTGACTGCGAGCCAGATATCCTCGAGTGGGACTTCCTCGTCCCAAGGAAGGACGAAGAGGGGACTGTCCCACCGCGCCATGGAGCTCGGCTCCTCGTAGCGCATCATCATGTTCTCAAATCTGACGTCAGCTTCACTGAACAATGCGCTAGCTTGGCTTCAAAAATGCTGAACGGTCGAGGAGACGGACCTTCCCGCAGCCTGCCAAGAAGGGCCAAAGTAGACACTCACGTCTCGGGCTTGTAGAGCTTGCCCCGCTCCCCCTCCCACCCCTTGCACTTATCCGGCGGAGCAACGGGATGCACGGTGGCGACACGCACACCCGCCTCCCGCGCTGCACAGTAGAGCTGGTATCGGAACCCTTTGATGTAGTTGGCGGAATCGAGGATGGTGATCGTCGACGGGTTCAGACTTCGCGTGGCCGCCGTGAAGAGCGCTGCCCGTGCTGGCTTTTCGCTAGGAGAGTCTGATGTAAGCTTGATCCGTAACTACATAGCTGTTCGCCACAAGCGCGGCGTAGGGCACTTCGCTCTGCGCTTGCTGCTCGACATGGCACCCCGCCGATACTCACCATCGTAGCTCGCTCGAGTCACGTGCACGCTCTCATCGTCCACGATCGTGACAGCGGTGATAGGACCGCCCTCGCCAGCCTTGAGCTTGTCCTCGAAGTAGGCCTTGAGCTCCTGGGACCGCTTCGTCTTGCCGACGCACGGGAAGCCGGAGACGGTGACGAGCGCCATGCCGGTGGTGGTGACTGGAGGTGGATGGGGGTGGAGGTGCAGAAAGCAAAATAGAGGCGGCGGCGTGTTTCGTCATTGGCCGCTGATGCGGGGCAGATTGAAACCACATGGCTGGGTCTGTCGGACATCCGACTTTCGCTGCGTCGCCTATCCACTTCTCGGCCTCTGCATCTCCTTTTCCACTGCGACGCTCCCCTTCTTGTTTACATAGACCTTGCACTGTACACTCTAAGCATCGACCTCGACTGCACCGGTACCGGCACTCGGCACACACGACTCCACATACGATCCGGCCCCACTTTGCGCCTTGAGAGGAGAGCAGCGCCATGTCTCGCGACGCGTCAGGGTCGACGCTGTCGTCGCTGACGAACGCGGCGTCGGACACATACACGATCGCGCGCGAGGCTGTGCTGACGCCGTTTTCGACCGACCACCGGCGCGGGGAGAGTATCAAGATTCTGTCCGACTGTAAGTTCTCTCGTTGTCTCGGCTATATGGAGATGACCGACTCCATCGTTTGGGTGCGGGGTGTGCGGATGTTTCTGCTATGGTCGCCGTGCGCTCGCTCTGGACCTCCACTGCGTACTGCCGTGCATGCCGTGCCGGGGTGCATGACATGTAGGACCGGCACTGCACTCTTGACCATTATCGCCACCACCGTATTCACCATGATCTTCACGCTGACGTACATAGTTGCGCCATCGCTGATGCAGCCGCGATACTCGAAGGGTCTGGCTGGCCGTTCTTCCTCGCCCATGCCCCAGCGGCCGGGATTGCTGCGGCTCCCGACCAACATCCCGGGACTGAACATGGGTCCCGTTCAGCCGACGTCGTCAACAGGCATTCAGATCCTTGAGCGGGCAGACGCACTCACCCGACTGTCACTCGACGACGAGGCGCCAACCGTCTCACTCATTCGCGGCTTCAAGGCGACTATCCCGACAAGCGAGCTGTCGAAGCAGCGCCGGCGACTGATTCGTGGCGGACTCGTCGACGAGGATCTCGGCGGCAAACTGGGTCTGAAGGCCCTGGGAGACCGCGCGCGAGGTCTGCTGACAGACGGGAGCGACGAGATCGAGGCGCAGCACGAGGCAAAGCGAAAGGACAAGCGCAGCCGGCGGAAAAAGCTGAGAGAACGGAGGTCCACCATGGCCCATCTCGAGGGAAAACTGCATCTCGAAGATTTGCTTCAGCAGGCCGACGAGATTGCGCAGGACAAGGACAACCTGGCCGTTAGGCAGGTGAGTACCGCTGAGCTTCAGGGGCTATGCAGAAAGCTGACAAAGGCAGAGCTTGATCAACGCCGAGATCAACGAAGTCTCAAGCAAGATCGAGCAGCTCGCCGAGATCCGGAAGCGGCTGGAAGCCTCCCTGCTCAAGCTGCAGGAGGAGGGACTGGAGCTCGACGACGAGTTGGAGGGTATCCAGGAGCTCATGGCTTCTCCATCCGTCACGTCGGCCGCGGGCGTGAAGGCTCTTCCGCCCAGTGCGCAGCAGACCGTCTCCTCCAGCAGCCGGCGACGAAAGGGTCCCGCCTTCCTGCCCTCGGAGCACGACGAGCTGCCGTCCGGCGTCGCCTTCCTGACGCTCGAGGGCCACACTGCGCCCCTGACGGCACTGGACTACGACGAGCCGTACGGCACCTTGGTGACTGCGGGGCAGGACGACGCGGTGAAGGTCTGGGACCTGTGCGACGGCGAGGTACTCGGCGAGCTGCGCGGGCACAAGGGAGCCGTGAAGGCGGTTCAGGTCGAGGACACGCTGTGCGTAACGGGCGGCGAGGACGGGGATGTGCGTCTGTGGGACCTGCGTCTGGTGGAGGACTACGAGGAGAAGCTGGCCAAGGCGGCCGAGAGCCGGAACCCGCTCGACCGGATTGCGGAGGAGAAGGAGGGCAGTATCCGGCAAGGCGGCGAGGAGGAGGAGGAGCGCAACCCCTGCGTGCGCACGCTCGAGGGCCACTCCAAGTCCATCACGGCGCTTTATTACGAGGACAGCACGCTCGTCACCGGCAGTGCGGACAAGACAATCAGGCAGTGGGACGTCACGACCGGCCAATGCGTGCAGACCATGGACATCCTGTGGGCCATCTCCAACCCGCCCGTCATCCCGCTCTCGCCGCGCAAGAGCCGGCGCAAGTACTCCAGCTCCTCGTACGCTTCGGCTGGATACGATGACCTCCTCCCCTCTCTTGACAGTCCCGGAGCTGTCGAGGAGCCGATCAGCCTCAGCGGGCCGTTCAGCGTCCCGACCCCGCCGTTCAGCGACGGCTCGTGGGACATGTACACCGACTTTGTGGGCGGACTGCAGTTCTGGGGCTACGCGCTCGCGTCGGGCTCGGGCGACGGTGCTGTGCGCATGTGGGACATGCGCACCGGCCAGGCCCACCGCACGCTCAACGGACATACCGCGCCCGTCACGTCGCTCCAGTTCGACGAGCACAACATCATCTCAGGATCGCTCGACAAGACGATCCGCATCTGGGACATGCGCATGGGCCAGACCGCCGAGCTGCACAAGTACGAGTACCCCGTCACGTGTGTGCAGTTTGACAGCCGCAAGGTCGTCGCGTGCACGGGCGAGAACGGCATTGAGGTGTACAACCGCACGACGCACGAGCACTCGCGCCTCATTGTCAACGGACACACCAAGCCGGCAGAGAGGATGAGGTTCATCGACAAGTACCTCGTCTCGGGCGGCAAGGACGGCACGGCAAAGGTCTGGGCCATGTAGGCAGCCGTGTAGTACAGAATATATGCATTACACTATACAATGCTTAGCGGCGCGACTGGTACTGGTACTGGTAGTACTCGTGCTGGTACTGATGCTGATGTGGTTCGCTTTGGAGCGAGGAGTGGGATTGTTGCTGGTTGTGATGGGAGTTTGATTGCTGGCTATAGTTGTGACTCGAAGACTGCTGGTGCTGCGAGTGAGAGGTCTGACTCTGGTAAGGCTGCGAGTCATGGTTGTCGAATTCGTACGCAGTATAGGAGGGTTGTTGCTGGGACGAATGGTGGCTGTGCGACGTCTGGCTGTACGGCGAGCGCTCGCGACGCTCATATTCGTACACCACTGTCTGACGAGAGGAGTACTCGGAAAAAGCAGGGTGCGGCTGGTACATTGACGACGAGGCCAACGACGACGACGAAGGATGCAGTTGCGACCGGATTGAGCTGTCGGGGTGGGTGAGGGAATGACTCTGCCCGTGGCTCTGGGAGCTCGAGTGGCTGAGGCTGCTGCTGAGGTTCTGTGAGCCGTTGTGATGGTGGCTGCTGCTGTGGCTGTGGACGAAGCTACTGTTCTTGTGGCTCCGCGTTGGTGAGTCGTTGTGCGACGACTGATAAGAGTCCATCTGGAACGGGCTGAACGTCGAAGCACGATGGTAGTCTGACTGGCCGAAGATGGACATGCGGTCGAACGAGAGCGACTTGGATGGCGGGGTAGGCTGCTGCTTTGTCCGCTCGCCCCACTTCTGCGTCGGCGTGCTTGTTGACATTGACGACGGACGCTCACCCCAGCCCGCGCGGGCGAGTGGGGATGTCTGCTGGCTTCCGAGCGCCGCCGCCTGAGCGCCGAGAGGTGATGTCAGCGTCTGCGACAAACCCGAATAGTTGGACGAGGATGGTCGGAGAGATGGCTGCGAGAGTGGTTCCTGCAAGCGCTCGATCACTGTCTCGCGGGCGGACGCTGCACGGAAGCCGGTAGAAGCCGTTCTCGAGCTCGAGAAGTAGCGCTCCACAGTTTCTGGCAGCGGCTCCGGAAGTCGTTCAGGAAGCCGCTGTGACGGCCGCTCTTGAGGACGCTCCTCGTGTCGCTCAATTGCGCTCTCCCGCGACGCCGTGGACCGGAAAGCAGCAGCTGGCGCATCCGAGAAGTACCTCTCAACCGACTCCGGCAGCGGCTCCGGCAGTCGGTCAATCGCCGGCTCCCGTGGTTCCGTTTGGTGTGATTGCAGGGTCGAGGTATCCTGGAGGTAGGTTGCGACAGGAATGACCGCAACTCTTTCGGGCTCAGAAGGTTCCATGGGCAGCTGCTCGGGTGTGACCGATGCCATCATTTGAGAGCTTGAAGGCTCCATGGGAGTGATTCCGCCAACTGCCGGGCCCTGGTCGGGCGTGAGAGCCGACACAACCTGGCCCGCTGTATGGTCCATGGGCGAGAGGCCACTGACCGCTGGCGATATGCCTCCAACGCTCGAGTCGAAGACTTCGATCGAGCCCATGACGGGGGTGGCTTCAGCGGTTGAGGAGGGCTGTGGTTGGATCTGGGCCAGGTAGTCATTGATCGAGACGGGCTGGGCTCCGGACCCGTTCACGGAGCCCTCGGAGTGGGGCGACACAGACTGACTGCGTGGAGGCGTCATGCTAGACCACCGAGGAGCGCCCGGGCCCGAGTAAGGAGAGATGTCAGAGTACCCGTTGTCGATTGTCTCGCCATCAGAGTCAACGACTTTCTCTCCAGTCTGAGCCACGGCGCACTCCATGGCGAGCTTCTGCAGGTCCTCGACCGTGAAGCCGCCGGCAAGAACCGCCAGCGACGGATCCTCAGCTGGTTCCTCCGGCTTGTTCTTCCTCGGCCGGCCTCTTGGTCGCCCGGTTTTCGTCGGCCCCGCTGGCTTCGGTTTGGGAGCGATCGCCTTTGGAGCCTTTGGTGCTTTGGGAACCTTTGGAGCCTTCGGCGCCTTCGTTGTTGTCGTCTTGGGTTTCGGCGGGCGCTTGATCTTCAGCTTGATCTTTTTAGCTGGGTGGGAAGAGGACTGACCCTCCGTGGCAGGCGCCTCCGCCGGAGTATCGCCTGCGGCTGCCATAGCTGTCGCTTCGGCAGCACCTTCCGTGATCCCCTTTGTAGGACGCTCAGCCGACGCCTCGGCAGTCCCCTCAGCAGAGCCCTTCTGCGAAGTCACGTCCTTCGCAGACTCCGATCGACGCTTCCGACCAGGTCTCTTGGGTCGAAGATCAACGAAATGCGGGTTGGTCTGCTTGGCGATGTAAACCTGCCACTCTTCCGGAAGAGGCGGGGACTGAATATCGTCTGCTTTCGTAACCAACCGAACTCGGTCAAAGGGGGCTGGAGCCTTCTGCTGAATCATGCGGTCGATGTACGCCTGGACTGTCTCTCCGGGAAGACGATCCGGGTTCCCTTTGCCGAACCTGTCCCCGATCAGGTGTGTCAGCTTTCGCTTCTTGAGGCAGACGGCGCAGTTGCACATGCCCATGCAGACGGGACAGATGAATGATCGGTCTTCCTCGTCGAACACGAAATAGCTGTATCTGCAGGTCAGTTCAGGAGAAGACCTGGGCGAACTCACCGCTTACAGCACGGCTCGCAGAAAGAGTTGGTGCATTTTGGGTTCACGTTTCGGCACTCCATTTTTGCACGATGTGTCTTGCGCTTGCACTGGTGACAAGCAACACCCGGCAGTTGCTGACTATTAGCTAGCTGTATGATAGATGCCGAGCTTACCGAATAGGGAATCTTGGGAGCTGGGGGTGGCTTCTCGACGGCGGGCTCCGGTTCCGTGTCCTCGACGAGATCAAAGCCTTCAGCCGCCTCAATGGCGGGGTCCAGGGTCTTCCACCGGAAGTCCGCTCCTACACCGCCGACCTCGGGAGCTTCTCCCTCGGCGAGTTCCCCGCCTTCTCCGTCACCGAATCGCCAGCGCCTCTCCTCCCCTTCAGTCAGACTGGTAGAGTCGTAGTACTCTCCGGAATCGATCGCTCGATTGACTTTTCTGTCAGGGCGGATCTCGACGCATGCCATCCTCTGTTTGCGCCCGGGAGCGGGGAGGCCGATCATATGGCCCCATCGATCTCGATGCTCCTTCCTTGGACCTTTTTTCTTTTTGGACTTTGAGGAAGACGCTTGCGTGGAAGATGTTGGGACTGTTGGTATCGACGTCGTCAGACCGAGCTCAACAAGAAGCGAGGCGTTCTTGGACATGTTCTCGCGTCTTAGGCGCTCATCTGCTGTTAGTCCTTCCTCGAAGGGAATCAACCTACACTCGTCGTCTTCCTCCCCCTCAGCATCCAGTGAGGGAGAATCGGCTCGCAGCGTTCCAGACGACATAACTCCCTGCGCGTGCAGCGATGGGGGAGGGTGGTCAAGAGCGGGAAGCTGTGTCAAAGCAGCCCCGTGCAATGAGGGAGCTGGAGTGGCCAACGGTGGCATTGTAGTCTGACCTGGAGCATGAAGAGAGGGCGCATGACTTTCCAAGGGCGGGATCGTCGGTGCCGCCTGCGTGTGCAAAGACGGGGCGTGGGTTTGCAACGGAGGAATCGAGGCATGCAAGGAAGGGCCGTGAGAACCGAGCGGGGGTATCGAAGGTCGTTGTTGAGTGTGCAGAGAAGGACCATGTAATCGTAGTGGAGGAATACTAGGTGGCCGCTGAATGTGCAATGATGGGGGAGGGACAGAAAGCGGTGGGATAATCGATGGTGCGTGAAGAGATGGCGGAGGATTACTCAACGTCGGTATTGTCGACCGTTCCCCCTCTATAGGTTCACTTGCACCGGGAGGAGAGGGCCGAGCAGATGAAGTCCCCGGCTGAGTGTGGGAGGGGGGCGCTGCTGGGTCCATGTTGGATCTCGTTGTTGTTTTCTGGGAGGGAATCGATTGATTTTGAGGGTCTACGTCGGATTCGGCCACCATCTCATGCAATTTCAAGCGGGGTGGAGGCCGAGACCGATAAGCAGGACGCTCCTCGCTCGGCACACTCAAGCGCGGGCGGGAGACTATCTCTGCAGAGGCCCCTATAAGATTGGGTTAAGATCCCTGCTAGATTTGCGCGCGGTGGATGATGTCGACGCCGGTGTCGCTAGGTGTGATGATGGTGCAGTGTGTGAGTGACGGCAGCCGTCGAAGCCAACAACAACCGTAAACCGTCACCGACGTCAGGCGTTGGTGCCGACAGGTCTGATACTAAGACGCGGGAGCAGATGGACATGTGGTGGCCACGCAGAAGCCATGAGGTATGCATCACGTGATGTGCCCCAACGAGGAGGTTGATGATGAATTGGAAGACTCCACCCACCGCCGAATGCGGATTGATGTAACCGAGCATAACGGTTTAGGTGGGCTGGGCGCGTGTGCGGCGGCCGGCGGCAGAGGACTGCGCGCGCGCCGTGCCTGTGATCGTGAGGTACAGGGAGGTGCGCCTGCGACGCGTCAGTCATACCGTCCAGGATCGCAGGATCGCAGCGGCGTGTGGTGGTGTCGATTTAGGTCCGTCTTCCCCAAAAGTTGTGCGGTGTGGGGTCTCCGCTCATGCATGCCTCAGCCTGGCCTCAGCCACTGTGCCTCGCCTGCTGCCTCCCTTCTTTATCTCCTTCGACATCATCATCTCCCCTCTCTCCATCGATACATACCTGACAAGCTTGGACCCCTCTCAGTCGCCACCATCCCCAACGAGTCGTGACCGTTGACCACCAGCCCCTCTCAACAGCACAAGACCTCCTACCACTCCTTCGCCTCCACTTCCCCTGTGTCCCTATTTTAGCGAGCGACTAGAGTTGGCCTGTATCAACGAGCGATTGTTGTCACATCTCAGATACAGGTCACACTTGCCTTCCCCCACCCCTCTCCACTTGCCTCGACTCCGCCACAGGCGTTCGTTTCCGGGCCCTCGATCTATCCCCACTCTCGCCTCTCGCACCGTAATAAACTTGCGCAATGTCGATGGGTGAGTCGCGTGCTGACTGGACACTTTGCAGTTGTTGGAAACTGACCTTCACAGACGTAGCGCCCGCACAGAATGTGCTGTCTCTCATCCAGAGCTTGCGCTCTACCCCTCCCCGACTGATCCTTTCTCCTCCCTCCCAACCTCGCCGTGCCAGTGTTGCTCTGATCCTGCGGATGCGGCCCGCGCCGGACCTCGTGTTCGAGGGTAACGAACCTGCCGGTTACACGGGACCGGTTGTGCCGGCTGACGAGTTTGGAATCGGTCTTCCGTTCGATGACTTCCTTCGTCTCGGTGAGTTCCAAGAGTTGCCGTTTCTGAACCTGCGACATGCATGGAACCTGTGGGGCAGCTTGTTCTAGGCGGCAACGTGACACCCAGGTGACTCAGACACCGGCGTCACTGTATTATCTATCTGTTTCCGTACTAATTCCTCGCAGACTGGGTCAATCACCCGGACACGGTCCCCGAGCTGCTCTTTATCCGTCGAGCCCCTGCGGGCGGTGCGTCCGGCAGCGCTGCCTCTCGTTGGTCGAGCCACATTGCATTCCCAGGTGGTCGTCAGGAGCCCTCGGACGAGTCCTCCGTCTATACGGCCCTGCGTGAGACCTGGGAGGAGGTCGGCATCGACCTCGCTGAGTCGGACTTTGTGCAGGTCGGACGTCTGGATGAGCGTGAGATCACGACGAGTCTGGGCAAGCGCCTGCTGATGATTCTGAGTCCTTTCGGTAGGTTTTGCTGAGTGACCAGAGAAGTCCAGCTAACATTGCAGTTTTCCTCCAAACCTCACCGTTTAGCCCGACGCCGGAGCTTCAGCCGTCCGAGGTCTCGACGGTTCACTGGATTCCTCTGTCTTCCCTCGCCCCGCCCTTCGAGCAGAGCCAGTGGGCGCACATCGACATCGACATTAGCACTCGACTGAGCCCGCGCAACCAGCTGATCCGTTGGGCGCTCCGCGGATTAGTCGGCAAGATGCAGTTCGGCTGTATCCTTCTGCCCGACGAGCCAGACTACGTTGCCGAAGGCTTCGACATGAACATGGACTTTGAGCAGCCGGTCGACGGCGGCAGCGGAACGTGGTACGACGCGAAGAGCGGCCGACGGCTGTTGCGCCTGTGGGGTTTGTCTCTCGGCATGACGCTCGATCTTGTCGCGCACTGCCAGCAGGACACGATTCTGATCAACGGCAATGTACCGCGCAGCCGATCGACGTCGACCGGATCGTCGCCGGAGCGGTCAATCTTCGGCCCCAAGACGCCGGTCACTGTGCAGTCGTCGTTTGACGCGCACTGGTTCCCCGAGGAGTCTGGTGGTGCCCGTGTCACGACAATGACGCAGGGCAGCGGCACTCGCCGCAAGCCGAGCGTCACGATCGTCGACAAGCGCCGCCGCGGCGTCGGTCCCGGAGTCACCGCCGTCTTCCCCCGCTTCTCGTACCCCGACGTCAACTTCTGGATCTGGGTCTTCGGCCGCAGGTACCGCCAGGTCGTGCGTGCGTGGGAGGAGAGCGTTCACGGCCCTGACCGTGCGAGCGACAGGCGTGTGAACTGGTCGGGCGCTGCTCTATCGACGTTCTACGCCGCGGTGCGGAATGCGTTAGTCGTCGCGATTCTGCTCCGCGGCCTGGCCACGCTCGGCGGTGTCGCCGGTCTGACCTGGTGGCTCTTCCGCCACCTGGGCGCGAGCAGCGCCGAACTGTAAGCGGAGCAAGCAGTGAGCGTTAGCGAGCTTGGATGCTTGGAGAGGGTTTTAGTGAGCGGCGCGCGAGAAATGTGCACAGAGCTGTAGCAGAGGAGGAGACAGTGATGAGCTGTAGAGAGCAGGTATTCTGCCAGTCTTAGACACTTGATACAGAGAAGACAGAGGAGTTGGCCCCGTTGTTATTACTAGGATTTCATAGTTTCACCCGCCATAGGCGTTCATGATGTATCTCGCATTACACTAGGACACGGAAGACTCGAGCGAAGCGAGAGTCTGACTCCTGCCTCGATAAGCCGGCTACTTGCTTGCTTTCGCGATGTACGATCGGGTGTTGTGTATCCGAGTGTGCCCAGCCATGTGTCCGCACTGACTGTGTCGCTTCTAATCATGCCTCCGTCGTCGCCCAGTGCGCCCCTCCATTGTTTTCTGCGCCCCTCGTCCCCAGTCCCCCTCGGCCCCCTCCTCATCCCATACGCGCTTCAGCAAGAGCGCACAACCGCTCTCGTTTGGTGGGAGGGTTAAAAGCAGAGGGGATTACACACCTGTAAAGCTGTCTAGATGCTGAAGCAACCGTGCTGAGCAAATACTGAGTAACACGCTTGTATGATCTGCTTATCCAAGTCCATGCATTTGGGGGGTCGCCGATGGCGCAATAGAGGCAAACTCGATCTTTTAGTCCTCTCATTGCGTGTATGGGAAGTTCTGGAGCAGTCATGCATGCATCGAGACAATGCATGGGTGGTAAGGAGAGGGCAAGGAGGGACGGTCATTGAGGAGGAGGCAGGAGATGCGGCGAGGATCGGTGAATGAGTGAGTGCAAGACACCGATCGACCCAGTCCACCCAGTCCACCCTTCGCCCGTCTCTACGGTCCGACAAAAGGCCATGTGGCCAAACGCCGCTCACAACGTTCGTCTCATCACCGCATGGCCTCCCCGCATCTCCGAATGCTCGAAGGAAGATGCATGCATCGGAGCTTGCGGCATCCACTGCCAAAGTCTTGGCAGGGACGCCCCGTGCGGAGCCTTGCGGAGCATGCGGTGACTGCGGGGTTTCACCCGAGCGGCACACGACGAGTGTGTCCGTGCCGAGGCACAGGCAGGGCTCTGGGCTTGTGCGTTGTCTAGAGGACGGGAGTTCGATTCCTCTCTCTAGAGCTCTGGATCTCTGCAGGACGTTCTGACGCCTGCAGCTGGATGTAGAAGGGGTTGGGTGGAAAGTAGAGCGCCGTGGGTTCGTCATGAGGGTGTGGTGTTGCCGCTGTGGAGCACCGCACCCCTCATCTCCAAGCGATCACTTTCCTGCCTCTCGGACAGCTGTGAGACATATCTGGTGCAGACAGAGAGCACATGCATGCTGAATAGGTACCATTCCGCGCACAGAGAAGTGTGGGAAGAGATGATCTGGCCGATAATGCAATGGAAACGAGAGCGCTTTGGAAATGAGTGTGGCAGACCCAGGACACATTCACTCGCATCTCTTCCCTCGACGCACCCTTCTCTGATCTGTGAAACCTCCCCTCTAAGGTCAGCTCCAGCTATGCTGCTACTTCCTAGGCTTTGAGATCCAGGCTGCAGAGTGAGCAGAGCAGCATAACGGCCAGCGTTCTGGCACCGCACAGATCATCAAGCTTCGTGACTATTGCACCTGCACTCCACTTCCTTCCACTAATCCAAACCCGATTCCTGTATAGCCCGCTCTCCATGCCGACGAACTCTCTGTACTCGGAGTTGCATTACCGTCCGAGCTTATTCGACAGCTTACCTCGAAACGAGCCCCCTATCGTAAGCTCCGAGCGGCACGCGGCCACGGCGGGCATCCACCTCGTTGGTCCCTTACGACGAGTTAATCACCGCAGCTCCCGCCGCCCCGTCACTCTCTCCCATTCCCCGCCGCGCCCGCCGCAAAGCTCAAAGAGCACCCAAACCCATGCCAAGAACAAAGACTTTGCATAGCTGAACGGGCAGTAGCCTCGTCTATGCATGCGTGCGTGCTCGTTACGCTGCTATCCTCGTGATTGCCGCGGTGAAACAGCGCTGCGGTCTCCGCAGAGTCCACCGTGGGCTGGAGTTACTGGACCTAGCAGGTCCAGATGCCCAGCTTGAGAGAGGCTGTCCCGACCTGATTATATCGTACTATACACTCTTGGCTGAAGAATACTGATGCCTCAAATATTTCTCAAGGTACATGATCCGGACACCTCTCCTATCTTTTGTCATTACACGACCTTGCGAAGGTTGATAGTTGAGAGGCGGTCGAGAGCGCACAGCTACGCATGGAGTCCGGCTGTCTCAGTCACCTGCGGCTCAAAGCCGCAAGCATGTCCGACTGCCATTGCACTGGTGCGTGACTGCTCGATCGCTCGACCGTCTGAGCGTTGCAGCTGCGGAGCCATGCGCCCTCCCCTCCCTTCCCATTCATAGCAGCACAAGCCGGCTGTGCGGAACGAAATGGGCTGGCTGTGTGGTCAACGGGTCTCTGCGCAGTGCATGCAGCGCTGCCTTACAGCTGCTCCCAGTGTCTCAGTCCACGAGTCACATCGCCATCCCCGGCATCAGTCACTGGGCATGGCCTGGCCGTCCGGTGTCGAAAACGAGACTGCAGAAATGATATCCACATGGATTTAAATTAATGAACTGTCTGCATGCAAGTGCGGGCTTGATTAAACTATGCTCTAGAGATGATCTGCGGTCTGCTTTTGCTAGTCTACAATGCTGATGGTGATGGAGGCGCTCCTGGCGCCGCTGCTGACGGTGATGAATAGGAGGAAACGGTACTCGCTCACTCCACCGTCTCGAGCAGATACTCCTCCTCTCCAACTTCGTCCCGATACTGATCCCGAGTGAGGAACCGCACGTGCTCCTCCACCTGCTTCTCAGCCGTCTCATCGTCGACCTGGTTCCACTTCTTCAGGCCCTGCTTCACCTGCCGCCTGATCTCGGCGACAAGCACCTCCTCGCGTGCCGGAATGACTCCAAAGTTGTCGAGCCAAGCCTCCTCGAGCGCCTGCATGTCCTCGGGCGCAAACCCGAGCCACGCTGGCCGCAGCTGCTCGGCATCCACGATAGTGTATCGCAACCGGGGAATGTTGAGAGTCATGTTGAGCACGAAGGAGTTGAGCATGCCCATCACCTTTGTCCGGGAAGAGTCGACAAAGTTGCCAACCCAGTGGTCATTCTCGTCCTCCTTGTGTGTCGCTATTGGCGTCAAGATCAGCGTGACGCTCTTCAGCTGGGCAGGCGTCTGGAACGGCTGCACGCTCGCTGTGCTGAGCCAGGAACGGCCGGGGTCGAACTTGACGTTCAGGACGAAGCGCTCACACGCTTCTGGCAGAGGACCAACCGCCGCGGCACCAGTGAAGGTCCCGCCTTCGTATTTCTCCGTCACTGTTGTGAACGTCACAAGCGTCCGCGCGCCAACGAGGGCGTTGTTCGGTAGTCGGCCGGCGGGGTGGTGTCGATGTCGGACGACCGAGACGTCATTCAGCTGGCTCCGGAGCGCTTTGACGCGATCTGGCGAGAGACTTTGCGGTCCGAGCAGATCAACCACTCGGGTTCCGGAGAGGACACGAGCGTAGTTCCGCCTGTTCTTCAAGCCTGGGATCCGTACTCCGCCCCGACCGGAGATCTCGACGGGAGAGTAGACGGCAAGCACGATGTGACCGGCCATCAGGAGATCGACGCGGTCTCTCCAGGCCTTGCAGACTCCTCGGAGGGCGAGTAGTGTCGATCTCGGAGCGTAACCGAAGATCTCGTCGATGATGTGCGGATACCCATCCGCTGATATTGAGGTTGAGTCGTCTTCCTCGACCGTTATTGTTGTCGTAGCCATCGCTGAAGGTGCAGGCGAAATGGTGGGGGTCGGTAGGAGGGACAAGCACTCAGGAGCAAGAAAAAGATTGACCATCAAAGTTGAGTGAGGGGCAACTGCGAGGAAGCAATGGTGTTGTGATCAGTTGATGAGTTGATAAGGTTGGGCGGAAGGCTGGTGAACAAGCGGCGCAAGGGAGAGGAGATGATAATCGGTGCAATGGGTGGGCGATGCAGGATAGGCAATGGGAGATTGAAGGCGAGGTTATAAGTGTGATCGAAAAGTGTTGAGAAGCCGCGTCGAGAAGATGAACGATGACACGCGACAAGAGATGACCGAGGGTGGACAAAGAAGCTGAGCAAGAAAGCGATGGAGATCTGGCGCGCGATGACGAAGGACAGGGCCAGAAGGCCAAGCGCAAGCGGGACCCCGCATTCCAGTCAGCACGCCGCAGCCTTGGCCGCAAAGCGATCTGCGGCCCGCGAATATCGTTATCAAGGCCCCGCTCGCCGCTCTGTGCATGCATGTGCCCTTTTCGATTGTCATCTGTTGAAGTACTTACCTGACTGGAGACAGCGCATGCATTGGTGTGGGTGGTTGAGCGAGGAGGCATTGTGTCCGGTGCACCACATTACTGGGCCTTGGCGCAGCCGCCGGCTTCGGCGGCCTCGGCTGGGAACCAACCAGCCTGTAAGCTTCTCAATGAAACGCTTCGCGGCAAGAAGCGCTCCCCGTATTTCGTGCTTTGAGCCATGCATGAAGATCACGCAAGCTCAGACCTCACTCCGCGGTTTATCCTATGCTCACACGACAACGAAACTAGTGATGAAGCTCTGGAAACAATGCTCCGACATGTCTTGCTATCCAAAACATCATAGTATGTACAACAAAGAGCCTGGAACTGATCGACGGGCTCTAACGAACTATGCTACAAAGTGCGGTGCCGGTCTCAAACGTTCAATGCTGACTCAGAGGCACAATCTACTTCTTAACCTGCACTTGCTGCTCCGAGGCTGGAGGTGGAGGAGGGCTGGCGTCCATCTCAGCCTTGAACTGGGTCTCGCCGATCTCGGCCCTGTACTCTTCCAGAGTCAGGTAACGAATCTTGTTCAACGTCGCATCGACATTCTCAGGTTTGAGCGGGTACCATGTCTGGCGGGTCGCTTTGGCGCGCACGCCAAGTGCGAGGTGCTCCTTGACCGTGTCGAACGGCGTACCTGGACGGAAATCAAAGTCGCCCGGTGGGATGGACTCGAGCCCAACAAAGGTCAGCTTTGTATCGGGGTGCTGGTCCAAAGCAAGGCCGCAGATCATTGTGAACAGGCTGTTCCGGTTCTGCATCACGTGTCCGTCCCAGTTGATCGGCTGGCTGTTAACGTCGGGATCGGGAAGGGAGAAGAGCACCACGATTTCCTTCAGTGCCTGCCTTTTGGACGACACGACGTAGTACTGCCGTTGGTGGTTGAGGCTCTGATACCGCCTGAAGTGGTGCTGGATGACGAGGCGTTGCATTGGACCTTCAGGGACATCCAAGCGCGTAAACGCAGGCGAGTGCTGCCCCGCGTCGTTGTGCTTAAGCCGCATACCGGGGTACAGGACGACGGTCGGTGCCTGAACCTTGGTGAAGAAGTCGCTGCGCTCTAGCTCGCTGTTGGGCGCGTGGTAGCGCCTGACATATCGCACGAGCCGGGGCGCTGAAGCGAGGGAGCCGAGCACAGTGCGCACAGGTAGGGGGACGTTCATGACGATGTCAAGGACCTCGACGTGCTGGAATATAGCCCTAAGCCAGCGATCCTTATTCCGCCGGGACGTCGCAATGTCGAGCAGCTGCTGTTCCTTCATGGCTTGGAAGCCCCTAATGGGGCCCTCAGGGCTGTGGAAGGAGATGATGCGCCGGTTAGGCGAGGTCGAGTATGCAAAGCGCTCGTCCGCACGCACAACGATGTGCTTCGCCACCTGCGAGTCGACCCGATAGCGGAAGGCTTTGCACGTTGCCCGAAACTTGATCTGTACCGCCCAGCCGCCATACTCGAGAATGGAGTCGATGATGTGGGGAAAGGATAGGTGGTCAATGTGTAGCGGGTTCTGCTTCTTGTATAGACGAGTGCGAGGGCGCTTGACTAGAGCGGGGGCTAGCTCCGGAGCAGATCGTGAGCGGGAGGAAGACGTCGTCGACTTGCGTTTCCTGGGAGGCATCGTTGAAGGTGGTGAACGTGGCTGCGTCAGGTAGTGCGGCGGTGGATGTCGGGATGCAATGGGGAGAAATGAAGTGGAAAGGCGATTGACATGGAGGCGCAAAGGAGTGTGTCAATGAGAAACTGACGTGGATCGTGTGGGTGCAGTAGTCCCGTTAGTGCATGTGTCGTTGGGCGTTGCCTGGGAGGTGTAACCACTCCTGATCTTCCAATGTTACACACATGTCACCCGTCACCGTGACTCAACTTTTGCCACCCAGCCAGCTGCAACTCTCTTCCGTCCTTCCCTCATTCCTTTCTTCCAAACGTCAAAGCAGTCACTCTTGAATCCTGCTGCATGCCTGCCCCACGGGCCACCATGCGGGCATCGATACGCTCACCACAGTCCGTTACGCGCTTTAGTATCCCTCAGTCTGGACGGGGCCGAAGACACCCCGGACTCCACACGCCGAACTCCACGGTTCCAGGCTGACGGCTGCGATGCAAGCGAGGGTGGGTAGCTCCATCGAGACGAGAGCCTGGCACTGCAGGTTGAGACCATAGTTGAGGTGGGCCAGTGGGGTGAGTATCTGACTGCCGCGGATGTTCGATAATCAGCAGAACAGCAGACAACAATCCGGCGGCCGCACTCATGCTCTCCCAGCGGATCCTCTCCAGATCCAAGGCACGAAACGAGACACAGCTGGACAGCAGACCAATACGACGGGCATCAGCCTACATACCGCATTGCCAGCGGTGCACGGCCAGTAAGCCACAAGGCACTCACCTGGGCTTTTGGGTGCTCTGGCCATGATCTAGTCGTGATAGCACAATTGACTACTCACCCATTAAATGGGCGTGAATTCACTCCACCCTCCCGGAAAGCACCGGGAGCTTCAATTTGTCGATTGATGGGACACCTGCCGGCGACGGATACGCGCACGCGTAGTTCGGACGCAAAGCGCAAACTGACAACACATGCCCTGCCAGGTGTGGCATACTGGCCTGCAAACTTCCATTACCACTGTCCGTATGGAATGACATCGGCGGGCCGCTCAAGGCCTCACGCGTACACTGAAGATACAATTATAAGTCTATGGTGGGTCTGCTGTCTGCTTATGTGCCTCTGGGGCTTTTCGATGGTTGCATTAGGGTGCTCAGAGCTTAGGCGGTGGGCTCGCAGACGCCGTTGCTGAGGGCGAAGCCGCGGCGGCAGCGGGAGACCTGGCACTGTCCGAGCTTGCACGAAACGCTAGTGCGGTCGACACCAGGCAGAGCAGTGCAGTCAACACCGGTGGAGTTGGTGTTCTCAGCGCCGTAGACGCCGAAGACGCAGCCACCGCAAGACTCGAGCTCAGTCTCGGTGCGGAGGCACTCGTAGCCGTCGTCGGCGTTGGGCGAGACCTGGCAGGGCTTGAAGCCGACGGGGCAGAACGGGTTGGCATCGAGGAGGGCCTGGGCGGCAGCAGCGCGCTCGTGAACAGCACGGCGGGCGAGACCAGAAGCAGCCTCTCCGGGGGTGTGCGACTGGATGTAGTAGTTGTTGCGGCCACACGTGGTACCGCCAGAGGTGACGGGAGGGTAGTTGGCGCACATGCACTCGTAGTCGATGCCGAGGAAACCAGCACCACGGGGGCGGAAGATGGCGTACTTGGCCTTCCTGCAGGCCTGGTAGCACGAGTTGAGGTACAGATCAGCGCCCTTGTACAGACCGCTGTCGCGCGCGTCACGGGCGAGGTTGTCAGAGCAGGTGACATCGTCAAAAGTCGTCTTGAGGGCATAGGCACGGAAATCGCTGCACTGGTCCTTGTTGCCGGGGCCGACAACAGCGCGGGACGCCGACGAGTCGACCGAACAGAAACACCAGTTGGTCGACGCCTGGTAGAAGCCGTAGGATTCACCCCTGTTCTTGCAGGTGTCGAGACACTCTTTCTCCGTCGCCTTGGGGAAGGTCGGGACGGAGATGCCGAGGCCGAACAGGTTGTTACAGCCGATGTAGGAGGCAGCGTGGGCCGAGCTGGCCGCGAGGGCAGCAACGACGAGGTTGGTGAACATGATGGGGTGGCTACAAGTAAAGAGAGTGAGGGCGAAGACTGTGCCGGAGTCTAGTGCCGAGGGAAAGGAATGAAGAAAAACGAGAGACTTGCTTGCTGGGGGAGAGGAAAAGGTGTGTCTCCCCTTTAGCTATATACTGATTCCCACAGACGACGGCGAAGAAAACAGAGGGGTCAGAGAGCCCACATGTTGATCAGACCGGTGAGCACGCTTGAGACCCATGCCGTCAGACCCTCTCTGCTCGCGGCCCTCACACCTTGGCAAGCCAGACGACTACGACGTAACCGAGGAGAAAATCCCCGGACATAAGCCACCTGATCACCTGAGTCGAACACCGCCCAAGGCAGAACCCTTGCAGAAGTTTGGAGGATCGGATGCAGAAGCGGCAGTCGAAGGACAGGTGTCAGCAAGGGGGGGCAGATGCCGCCGCGGTCTCGTAAAGGGAAGTCCTTCTGAACAAGTCCTGGCACGGGAAGTCTGAGGATAGGAGCAAAGCAGTCAGTCACCACCACTCTTCGTTGCCGCAACGGCTGTAAGCGGTTCCCCGGCTTGCAAGCTACATCGACTCTGGACTCAGTGAGCCACTAAGTGCACCCTTGGATCATTGATTACGTTCGGGAAGCCTTCAGGCCTTCGACGACCCTGAGTGAAATAACCATGTCCTCATTATCCTTATCGTCCGGAACATCCTGACCCACTTCCTGAGGATGGCCGTGGCCCAGGCACGGCAAGCCCGAGTCTTTTGTTTGCTCGACTGAGCGCGCAAGGTCAGACCGGGCCGGCCCAGGTTGGATCAGGCATGTCTGGGGCCGCTTTGCGCAGCAATTAGGGACTGCTCGCGGAAGCTCGAGATCTCACCAGCTCTCTTGAGCCGGAAGTCACCAGGAGAGGCTGCCTGCCATATGCCGGAATGGGCCGCGCGAAACCGATGCCGGCGGAACTGAGCACGCTGCACGCATGCGGGCATGCTGTCTTGTCAAAATCCCCGGACCCTCAGCCTGACTCTCCTTAGGCTTTCCGCATAAAATGACGATGCTGTAAAACACTTTCACGCGCACCCAGGCTGCCTAGACGGGACAAACATCTTTCAGGTCCCTCAGGTTCTGCCAGGTCCAACCGTCGATCTTGGACACATTGACGCCTCCAAGCCACCCGGCATGCCACCCTCATGCTTGTGCCCAGGTCATGTCCAGGTCAGGTCCAGGTTATGTCTACATCCTGGGACGGATCCTGACAGGCATACCTTACAGATCCATCCCCCACCTCAGTTCTCTGCACCGCATGAGCAGCCAGTTGCACACTGCAAAAGTCGGCTGTACGTGATGCATGCGTTACCGGTTGCCCGCGTCGGACTGCCGCCGTGAGTCCGGCGAGTCCCCCGTCACCCCTGAGTCTCCGAAACTGGCAGGTCAACTATGAGCGCAAGACTGAATGGAAACCTCAAACACGCTAGCATCACCGAAATGCATCAAGCCCCTCCATCCCCATCAGTCCCCAGTCTCCTTCAGACATTGCCCTACACGCCGAACGGAATGCTTCAATATATCCATAGATCCAGAGCGGACCGCCCCGCTTGATCCGCTCTTCACACATTCGCAGGATGTAATCTGACGGACACTACGCAAATTTAGCTCGAGATAGCGCAAGTTTTGCTCCGTAGACGTCCAGGTCTGTGGAGACTCAACAGACTAAACTTGATCACTCTCCGGTATCAGCCTGTGAAGACCAATACGCTCTTGGGTTCGTCTGCCTCGGCAAACAATACAATGCACCTGCACTACCCGCGGTCCAGCTGGCGTTGTGCCCTTGACCTAGTACCCTCTACAGAGCACATGTCGACGCAGACATGTGCTCCCGACATCGTGAGACGCCGCCGCCGCCACAGCGATCGGCGGGCTGACCACAGCCAAGCCTGCCCGTGCAGCGGAGAACGATGACGTCTCTAGCAAAGCAAGGATGTCAATTGTTTTGGGGTGGGCGGAACGTCAGCCAGTGTGGGCTGTGCATTTCAGCAGTTTCGGAGCTTCGCGATGGCGTTCGGTGAGGAGCAAGGTGACGGGATGCTCGCCGCCCTTGCTTTCTTCTGTGTCAAGCTCTGGAAGACCTCTGTCCGACCTGGTGCCCCCGCAGCCTGATGTTCGCCAAGGTGGTGATGCCGACATTCCGGAGCCCAAGCAACAACGTGCTGACGCGTCAACGGGGAGCAAGCTCGCATGACGGTAACACACCGCGCGCGCCGTGCATGCGGTCATCGGTACGTAAAGCATCCAGACGACCCTTTGCCTTCGGTCAAGCCCTCAAAGGAGGGAGGGCGTGTGAGGCAGAGCCGAGCAGATGGTTAGACCCCTGAGGGCCGTACTAGCGTGTGTGTGCATCTGAGGCTGGCTCGAGAGCGCGTCCCAGACTCGTCTTGAACGTGCCCTCGGTGGCCCAAGATTCGCCGGAAGGGCCGTGTCAGGTCGGAGTCAGGTAGACCCACATCTCCATCCCGGCCTCAGGCATCTTCAGGTGTCCCCCCAGGGTGATCAAGGGCTCTCCACTTCCTTGCGAGGATTGCAGAACCCGCCTTCCTGAACCTGTCATGCATCACATCGAGCGCATATAGTAGAAGTACGGTCCGCTGGTGTGTCTCGCAGCTGCGGCAACCAACCCGCCCAGCTCCAGCTGGTTCGGCCGCCGCCTGGTTCCCGTGTTCGCGCGCTTCGGAGTGCTGTACACCCACCCACTTGCATTCCACACCTTCTCGTTGTCCTTGCTTCCGACCTCTCACATGCAGTGAGGTGTTCGCGGCATTTACAGGCGATGGAGGCCGTTAGTACCGGTATCTCCCGCTCCAAGATGCACAATGACAGCACACGTAGACAGACCACGAGCACTCAATCTGAAACACACCCAGCACTTGTCACCAGCCAGCAGCCGTAGCGCGACCCCACTTCGTGTAGCCTGCGAGTAGCCCGAACGTGGTTGTCACTCCGGCCGCCGTGAGCGGATTGTCTGGGAAAGCAAGCCGTGCCGAGGCAGGTCCTAGCTAGGCCAGCTGACTGCATCTGAGCACGCTAGGTCTCCTCCAGCCACAGAACGCGGCACATCTCGCTGCAATTGACATTGCCGCACAGCAATCTGTGCGCTAGGAATGTTCTTCGGAAGCCACTTCGCGTCCGACTGCTCTCTTATTCTCTTGTCGATCAGTTGCAGGGTCGAGTAAGCTTGATTGATGCTCGTCGTACTCCCGCACAGTGGAACATTGCACACTCCATCGATGTGGGCAGTACGAGATGCACGGGTTGCTCGCAGAAGCCTGAGCAGGATCTGGATCGCTCCGCCGGCCATAGGTCTATATCCTGTGGGCCAGCTGGGATTGGCCAGTTGAACAAGCCTTTGATGCCCACATACCGCTGCCCGCAGAAGGGCGATCTGGGCGTCAGTCACCTTTGGCCGAGTTACATTGTATGCCCGGGGAGTGCTCGGTGAACATGGCAGGCAGAATGAATTCTGCCGCGGCTGGCTTGAAGCCACCCACCTCAGCTTGTGCCGGACCGGGCCTTAATATCGGGCCCAGAGTCTATCGCGTGCGGTCTGCAGACTGAATGGACTGAATAGCAAAGGCTTTCTGCTTCCGCAGGGTAAATTCACAAGTCGGCAGAAGTCCGGTGGAGGGCGACACTGCACCACGAAAAAGTTCGACCTCACGCGACCCCGCGAATCACTGTCGCTGTTCTGCAACCTCTGCACGTATCCTAGGAGCTCAGAATGCGAAAAAGGAAGCCTCGTATGGGGCTCGAACCCATGACTGTGTGATCAATCGGCTTGTTGCGTAAGAGTCACACTATCTACCGACTGATATAACGAGGCAATGCTCGAAAGCTGATGAGAGCGCTGTGGCCTCCGCGGTCTTACTCGTTGCTCAATCTTCTCGAGAGCACGAAGCCGAGCGCACAGCTCTTCTCTGTTCGCAAACGAAGGACTCAATGGAACCAGCAGGAGCGCGCTGCCTTCAGAAGAAGTTGTTGTGGACAAATCTGATAGAGGAAGCGGGTTGACGGACTTGGAAGTCCGCACCGCCATCAACCCAAGACGGCGGCGAATGCTGCCCGCACCTAGGGCAAAGGACCACATTGCCATCCCTGCCGGGCAAAGAGCTTAAGGGTAGTCACCATCGCCTTCCCGCTCACCTTCATGTCTGCGGATATTCAAGACCTCGCCGGCCCTGCCGAGAGTCGGCGAGAATGTGCCGACTGCACTTGAAGAACTTGCCGAAAACTCGCTCTCAATTCACGTGTCCCGAGGGTGCTCCATGAACGCTGCCATTACGAGAACACAGACACCGCGGCAAACTGGCCCCTTCTACTCCCTGCTGAATGCTGCCCCTGCTCTAGCCATGTGTTCCTCTTTGACCCTTGAGGGCGAGGCAGCGCCTCACGGATGAGTTCACTTCGAACTCAGCCGGGCAAATGGCCACATCGAGAGTACGTCACCTGGAGCAGTTAGCGAACGGTGAAGCTAAAGGGCTGAGTCGCCTTCCTTCTGCGAACCCGAAGTCCGAAGGAACCGTCGCGCAAGCCACTGACAGTAGCGCTACTTCCAGCATACCGAGCCGATCGAAACTGCGTTCATGACGTCGGGCACTTTGCCAGCGAGTCTATACTGTCCGCTCGCTGGCGGAAGACGCCCTTGAGGAAAGTGGAAGGCCGCTGAAGGTCTCATGTGCGGAAGGAGGTGGAGTGTATGGCTCATCGTCCGCGGACGGGACTTCAAGAGCCGCACCTTGATCTCGTCGACCGCCCAGCAGTAACGACAGACCTCCGGACTCCGTGTTCCGCCTACCCGCCCAAACTACGCAGCCACAAGGGATACTTCGGCCGCCAACACCAACACCCAAAAACATATGTCAGACCTTGCGTCCGATGCATAGGAAGGGTCCAAAAGAGAAGAGCTTCCTGTCGGAGAATCGAACTCCGATCTCCCGCGGTCTGTCATGACAAGCGAGCATACTAGCCGTTATACGAACAGGAAGAGACGATGTTTGCTTCTTCGTGGGGAGAATCTGCGTGGTTCGCCGCAGTCACGTGATCCTGTGGTACTAGTGCTGATAACCTCGTGTCTGAGCTGAGCTAAGAGGGGCATCTACCGCTGGATACTGCGACCACCACCGTCTACCATCTCAACGCCGGGTGTGAGTGGAATATTCGAAGCTCTCAAGCTGGCCAAGCATCAGCATTTCCCGCAAGAGACGAAGGGACGCCTCGGGTGGGCAGTCCTGAATGATAAGGGGATCGTGAGCCATCCTCGGCCCAAAACTACACCCACAATGTTGGAGATGCCGCACTGGCGAGTGCATGCTCACACTCCTCCTCGCTGTGCTGCTGCTCCGCACCCTTTCGAGAAGCTGTTCCCTGCCCACCAGACAGCTTTCCGTGGCAGCTGACCAGATAACAGCTCATCGAGGGTTCCTCTGACCACTACGCTCTACCGCCGCCGCCACAATGCTTTCCATTCCTCCCACCAAGCTGCCCAACCCTTGCCAGCATCCTCCGACGTTCAGTAGCCAAAAGAATTCTCCGCCAGGGAGTCGAACCCTGCTCTATCGCGCACTGCCGAAGCAATCTCTCGGACTTGAGAGGCGATTATACTAACCGATATACTAGCGAAGAGGTGCCGTAGGAGCTGTTGATGGTGAGCGGGCGGCTTCGGTGTTGTACCGTTGAGCAAATTCTCAGTCGTGAGAGGATAGGCCTCCGAAACGCATAAAGCAGGCGTTGCAGATGACCAAGGTAGATTTGGAGACATGCAAGGCAATATGAAGTCTATGATGGACGTGAACAGGCCCCTAGGAAGCGCGACGTTGCAGGTGGCGGCTGCTGTGACATGATGAACTAGACTCGCAAACGCCATAATCCGCCACACTTCCGGCAGGTTACGGGAGGCGGCAATGCGTTCGGATGCATGAAAGGGCAGTAAGATGTCTGCTTCCTCTGTACAGTTCAGCTTCGTGTTCGTAATGCAACCTTAAGCAGCGCAGTACAGGTAGGTGTGACGATCAAGAGGACACCGGTCGTCGTGTGTGGCGCACACATCTGGAGTGTTGGACAACCACTGCTTTGCAACGTCGCACATGTGCGCCAGTGTGCTGCACTCTCGCCCCGTTTGCACCGTACAAACACGAGCGTCCATTCCGAAGGTACATAAACCGTTGTCCTAGTTGTCGTATCATGTCCCTTTCTACAGCAACGCTCAACATCGTTCGAACCACCTGAAGCGCCAAACATCGCTTCGACTGCCCATTACACCTAAACATGAGCCCCAACAACCTCCCGCCCTACCTCATCAACCCCGAGCGTCTGCGCGAGCTCACCCGCGCCGAACCCCCTCCTCAGCCTCGACGCACGCCCTCGCCCCCAACAACCAAGGAAGTCCTGCACGTCGGACCCTCCCGCAGCTTCTCGGCCAGCGAGGCATCTGGCTGGGCCGCAATCGGCTCGACGGAGGACTACGGGTACGAGGAGCGCTGCGCGCTCTATGCCCAGCAAACGGCGCAGATTGGCGCCCGAGCCCCCGTTGACGAGTACTACGCCGCCCCCTTTGGAGATAGCTATGGTGGAGGCCAGGATGGAAGGTGGGATGGCGAGGGTGGACAGAAGTCTCGCTGGAACGTGAAGGCGAAGCTCAAACGCAAAAATGAGGTCAGGAAGGCTGAGAAGGCTATGGAGGGGAAAAACCTCGACAAGTGGCGTAAGCAGCAGGCTAGGGAGAGTGGAGAGGGAAGCTCGTCCAAGTGGAAGTCGCTGCCTTTTGGCAAGAAGTGAAGCAGCCCCTCAGTCAGTTTGGTCTCAGCAAGTCATTGAGGTGGATACCAAGCACCACAATACCACAATGGATGCCGGAACTCAGAACAACGAGTAGCGAAGACAACAGCATAGGATTAAGATATGCATTAGCGTTAATCAGAAGAAGTTGTCCATGTTGAACTCCATCGCGCCCTGCTGCACATCGTTCCGGAGCTCCTTCATGAGGTTTCCGACCTTCTTCTTCGGGCTCTGAGCAGGTGGCAGTCCGTCCTCGGCCTTCGTCTCGTCCTTCTTCTTGTCCTCTCCCTTGCCCCCGTCCGTGTCCTTCTTCTCGCCCTTGCCATCGGGCGTATCGGGAGCCTTGGGACTGATCGTGCCGGGGCTCGCGACCTCCTTGCTGAGCGGCGACGGGCCGTTTCCGTTCGCCTTCTTGGGCGGGTCGCCGAGCGAGAAGTTGGAGAAGAAGTCGTTCATGGCCGGAGGCGTGGGTGATGGGACGCGCGTGGGCGCCTCTGTTGGCGGCTCGGTACCGCTCTCCTCGAGCGGGTCCATGTCCATGAGCATCGTCTTCTCGGGCCGTTTGGATGTGAGAAGGAACGACTCGCGCCGCTGGCTCGTCGGGTGCATGCTCCTTGTTGGAGACGTGGAGGGACGGCGGCGCTTGGGGAACGTCGGGCGCGCGAACGACCACGAGCGCAGCAGGTCGAGGCCTAGCGGGTGGCAGCCTGATGTTAGCTTGCAGGAGGACTGCGGAGCTTACCCATGCGACAGAAGACGCGAGCATTGTGCAGTACAAAGTCGAACTCGAGCTTAGCCGGGACCTCGGACGTGCCCTTCGCGGTTTGCAGTGTCTTCGCCTTCAAGTGCTGGAACAGCAAAAGCAGTGACGGGTCGTCGTTGTCTGGGTTACCGACCTCCATCTTCGGGCTGTCCGGGTTAGACTTGGCCCAAGCATTCGCGACTTCGTCGATTGGGGACTGACAGTTAGCACACAACTCAATTGACCAACTTACGATTAGCACGCGAACTGCCAGGTCACGGCGCTTCAACATCCATAGCGTCCAGCTGCCGAGCCAGCGGTGACCTCCACCGAAGGCGAGGGGGAGCACAGTGTCCTCCAGCACCCAGCGGTAAAGTGGTCCATCCGTCCCGTTCTCAGTAACACGCGCAAGGAGCAGAGCGAGTTGCCAGTCGTTCAGCTGGCGGAGGCACACCGACATGGCATCCTTGGTAGCGCCTGCCAGCATGAAGAACGCTGCGGCGTACACTGTTGTCAGCTACTAAGCGACTTGTTTCAGCTGGAAGAAGATCACTTACGGAAACGCTTCTTGCTGAGGAGAGCATAGGCGTTCTTCATGGCCGCCGTCTTCCAGCGCGGAAGGTTGAAGTCGTTCGCGAGGAACTTGAGCATCATCGCCTGTTCCGGGTGACCTGGAGCTTGGCGCCAGAGACCATGGACGACCTGCTTCTTGCCAAGCGCGAAGAAGAAGAGCGAGCACCCGATGGGATCCCGGTCCTCAGAGGACATGAACTCGTTGCGCGCGACGACCTCGAGTTGTGATTTCTGTCTGTCAGCTCGGCGGAAGGACAGCTTGCAGCTGATGTGACTTACGACAGCCTCGGGCGAGCGGAGCCAGAGGAAAACGCCGAGTCGTTTTGCGTCCTGCCACAGCATCTTGCCGTTCTCGCAGCTTTCGGTCGCGGCCTGAAGCAGCACCTCGTTCGACTCGGAGTGCGTTGCCCAAACGATGTTGCGGAAGCTGATTTTGGGCCGGGGACGGAGCTGGTTCGGGAGTTCGACACCACCACGTTGCGGTGCGGGCGTCGTCGTACCCGAGGGACCAGACAGGCGGTCGTGGTTCACGAACATGCGGATCGAGATGAGGTAGCGCAATCCGCAAATGTCGAGCGATCTTCTTGAGCGCTCCACCTCCAGTGTCGCCTGGGCCAGGGCCGCCAGCGAAGACTTCTCGTTGACAGTCAGCGGCATAATGACCGGTCCGTCGAGACGGTCAACGAGGTCAGTGACGAGAGCTGGACTGAACTCCTCATCGTACTCCTCCCTGAGAGTTAGCAGTTCCACCTTGGAGCAACTCACTGTACCATCGCAGGCGTGACCGAGAAGAGGTCCGAGTAGTCCGGACGCGACGCCTTCGAGATGACCTGAGGCGGGGCGTTCGTGCTGTGGAACTCGAGCGGATCGAGGCGCTGATACACGAGGCGACGCTTGCCCTCCTCCTCGCAGTACTTCAGATCCTTATCCAGCTGTATGAGGATACGCTTGACCAGATCGATCTTGTCCCACAGCAGGCACTGCATGAGCTGCGTCGGCTGGTAGTCCCACAGCGGGCCGTTCTCGTGCGCTATAAGCTGGAAGATGTCCTCGGGCGTGTCCTCGTGATCGTCGTCCTTCGCCTCCAGGAAGCGGCTGAAGACGTAGATCTGGTTACCGGTTGCAACGGCGAGGGAGCCGCCGGCAATCCAGATCGAGTCCGCTATCGGAACACTCGTGTACCTGGTGTCAGTTGCAAGCGCACTCAGGAAACTCACTTGGTCAGATCAATGGTGAGGAAGGCCGCCCATCCGGGCATGACAGTATCGTAGTTCATGCGCTGCTCGCAAACGAGGATGACGTGATGCTTGAACCCGACGGCGAGGACGGACTGCAGATCGGACGTTGTCGTCCAATCCAAATCTTGGATTACATTGTCGTGTCTGACGTCAGCTAGAGCTCAACGGCCAGCTCACCCCACGTCCCACTCGAACTCGAGTCCAGTGGAGAACTCGGACACATCCGAGTCCCAAATAGTCATCTCTTGCTGGCCGTCACTCTGCTCACAGACTGTCGTCAGCTCGGCAAGGGGCGAAAAGCTTACCCAGTACAGTCTTCTTCCTACTGCTACACCGCGCGTTGATGACATTCTTCCGCTCGGTGCGCACAACGCTACTGCGCGTCCAAGCGGCGTTGGGGTCGTTTCCATCGACCTTGGACCGGCGGTGGCCAACGAGGTGCTGGCCGAGCTTCGGGGTCCAGAACTCAATCACACCCTCATCCGTCACCGTCACGACCATGTCTTGCAATGGCGTGTCGGTCTCCCAATCGACGGTGGACTGGTGCCATCCCATCGGGTCGACAGGCAGCACGAAGCGCGGCTTGCCCCCGCCCTCGATGGGCAGCGTCGAGTTTGAAATCAACGTCACGATCGGCTTCTCGCTGCGGTAGATGTACGAGTCCGAGTTTCTGAGGTCAGTTGTACGAACGAATGTTGTCAACTTACAGTGTGGACGTTCCCTGTACCGGCGATGCGTCGGGGGAGTGATCGAAGCGACGACTTGAGCGGGAGGGAGTGGCGAGGGGAGACTGTGACAGCTCCGTATGTGGCGATGTTGGGGCGGGGTCAATGCGCCACACCCACGTCTCGCCGCTCTCGGCGACAGCCAGGATGACGGCTCTTCTCGTCCTTCGTCTTCGATGGCTGTATCCGTCATCGATGTCCGACACAGCAAGGAGGAACTTGATCTCGTCGCCCTCCTTAGGGTCGAAGTTCGGCATTGGCACCGGTTCCGTCGGTGTCCCGTCTCCCGGGTCGAGGTGCTGTAACACCACAACGGGACCCCTCTCGGGATCCTTGTAGTACGAAGCGACGCCGCGACCTTTAGCGTAGATAGCATACACAATGGGCGACGCCGGCGCCATCCACTGTCCCTTTCCGACAAGTGCCGGCGTCGTGATCGAGTTATGCGGCACATTGCCAAGCTTGCGCTTCTCCCACGTGCCGACCTCGCCATCCTTACCGATGGCGAGCAGGCCGCGGCCGTTCGGCGTGCGCACAAACTCCGCAATGTCCTGGGACATGAGCACATTGATGGCCTCGGCATCCCTTTCCTTTGTCGGTTGCAGGGACAGGTCGTCCGACATCATGACGTTGACGAGCGACAGGCGCAGCGTGCTGATGTCCTTGAAGCCATCGACCGGAGGGAAGCCGAGGAAGATCGTATCCGTCGCGGCGTCTGAAACCAGACAGCCCTGCGCCGACCAGCCGGCCGAGAAGCCAACGTTGATGCTTGCCAGCGCCTCAGATCGGATCAGTGTCGGCGGCTTGCGGTCCAGGTTCTGATATTAGTTTGGTAAGGCACCGGAGCAACTTACGAGGATTGCGCGCAAAGACACCGTCCCGTCCGGCCCGAACCAGACCGCGACGTCCATCTCGTTACACTCGAGGAGCTCGAGCGCCTTGGCTGGCTCGGCATCCAGGATGACTCGCTTTGCGCGCGCGTGCTGCAGTGCTGCCGTCGCCGCCACCTTCAACGTTGCCGCGTCCGGAACCCAGATCGTGCCCACGCGCGAGCACTTGCCCTTGCTTCCCTCGTGCGCGAACGCTCTGTGGTCCATAGCGTGCAGGAGCTGGAACCACGACGGGTCGTCGAGCACGGGGGCATAGATGCGCAGCACGGCATTCACGGTCGTGATATACAGCTGCGCGTCGCCGCTGATGTCAGCTCATCCGCGCTTGCAACAGCTCACCTAGCGACGGAGCGGAAGCCGAGCCACTCGATCTCGCGCGGCTGCCTCAGCTCCTGGGCGTCGCCGACTGTGCCCTTCCGGTTCAGCGCCTGGATGTATGCGCTGCGTCCGCCGGCGAAGCGCCACGCGACATGGGACTTGGAGACGTGCACGGCGACGAGGGGGTCGGCGGCGGTCGGCCAGCGAGCGAGGCGGTCCCACACGACAATGTCCGCCTTCGGGTCCATTTGCCACACTTCGACGCCCTTCTGTGTTCCGAGGACTGCCATTCCTGCCACCATTAGTTGTGGTAAGGAAGGTACACGAACCGTTGGCGTAATCCAGACTTGCGATCGGCGCTGATGCGACGACGTGGGAATGCTGCACCCACTTGTCTGTGTAGTTCCACAGCACGACGTGGATGCCGGACCAGGCCACGATCTGATGTCAGCTGGAAAATAGAGGAAGAAGCTGCGAGAGTACTCACCATGTCATCTCGCGCGACCACCCCCTTTACGTCTCGGCTCCCACTCGGCCCAGCACGGTGGGGCAGCGCATCCCACAGCGACAGCGTGTGCTTCAGCTGGCCTTCCTGGTCAACGAGGACCACATTAGTGGAGCTGGGGTACACCTGCTGTTAGCTTACTCAATTTGCATAGCTTGAGAGCGCCTGCTGCGCCGCAGCCTGCGCCGGATCGTCCCAGCCAAGACCTTCCTCGGGACGACCCGGACATCAGCAGACTCACAAAGGCAACGCCGTCCGCATTGACGCCAGCAATGGGGCAGGTCGAGTCCCCCCGCGGGCGGCCGGGGATGGCCTGCCGGAGCTTGAGATTCATGCGTTGCGAGCTGGCGGCCGAAATTAACTGGCGGTTGTGTCGGGAATCGAGCGTAGCGAGCGTGAGGCGACGAGGAAGGAGGTGGACGTCATGCCTCCACCTGGGGCGGATGAGGCTGGCACGGGAGCAGAAGTGAGCCTGACAAGCTGACGTTGCGGCATTCCTCGGACCCGGCTACCCTTGCTTATCGCTATCGATCTGATCTCCCCCCCCTCTTCGAGACTTACGGATGCGAGATATGGAATGCTGCTGTTGCTCTCTTCGCATCGTTGTGTGCTAACTGAGTCCGCGGACTGACGAGCTGACGGTCCACACCGGCAAACCAAGGTCAGTGTAACTGTGTGTCACAGTATGACGTAGCCATAGCCTCCAGATCCAGACGCTGGAGAGCAAGTGCTTAAGCGCTTCGACCAGTCTATATACACGACGCGACGCGAGTCGTTCATCGCGCTGTGGGGCAGCTGACGCCGACGGTGACGGTGAGTCCGCAAGCGCCAGAGCAGCGGCGATGGGAAGCCGCGATTCCGAAGGGCGACCCCCCGCAGGGCCCACCAGACCCGTCAGGACTGGCGCGTCAGGCGCTTGGCCGGGCATGGCCGACGGTCACTGTACGGGCCAGCTGGCGGGCCGCGGGCCGTAGCCATGACCGTGGCGTTAGCTTCATGGATTCATGGGTTCCTACCTCTCGAAATATAAAGCCGGTACCCGGCGGTCAACAACTCCCTCCTAGCTCTCCTTCTGCTATCCACCTGCACACCGGCACCTGCATCCAAAACAGACCATCATGACCACTGTCGGCCACGCCTTCGTCCTCCCTGCCAACTACCCCCTCGTCGGTGCTGGTGTCTCGGCCGTCCTGCTGCTGAACGTGAGTAGACTATGACGTCGGTGGGCCCGATCGTCTTCGGTCAACTCGCACTACCCAGCCGGAGTGTCATGCATCCTCCAGAGCCATGCTGACGATCAGCTCTACCAGTTCATCAATGTCGTGAGGCACCGCATCGCCGCCAAGGTCAAGTACCCTGCCGTTTACGCTTCCGAGGCTGAGGCGGCCACGGACCCCAAGAAGATGGTGAGTGCGGGTGGGCGAGCGAGCGAAGCGAGCGACGCCAGCTCTGTGTGCTCAGGCGGCCCAATGCGGAGCGCGAAGCGCGGGGTGTGGTGTCCAGAGCTGGACGCTCTCTCTGGTGTCAAGACTCCTGCGCTGCGGCTTGACGATGGTTTGACGGATCGCTGACACCTCCCACAGCAGTTCAACTGTGCCCAGCGCGCGCACCAGAACACGCTCGAGAGCGTCCCCTTCGTGCTCGCCGCGACGGCGTACCTGGGTCTCTTCCACCCCAAGGCCGCCACGGCCGGTGCGCTCTCCTGGGTCTTTGGTCGTATCTTCTACACCGTGAGTGATGATAGCGAGCATGCCACGCAGTGGTATGTGAGCGTGTTCCCTTCACTCCTCTTCAACCCCCGTACTTGCTTGAGCCGGCTGTCACCCATCAGCCGGGCTGGTATCGGCAGGATGGATACAGGATGAAAGACAGAGCAATCAGGCTAACGCCCAGATCAACTACTCGACCGGCAAGGCTGAGAAGCGTAACGCGGGCCCGGCCGTGCTCGGCTCCATCTCCATGCTCGGCCTCATCGGCGGTGTCGTCTACACCTCGGTCGTCGAGTGCCGCAAGCTCTACGCTGCTGGTCTCTAAGAAGTAATAGTTGGGATGCCATGATCTGAAGAAGTTTTCCACTCTACTCTCCACAACCGAACCACCGTCGACTGACCGACGAAGCACTGACCAAGTATGCCAAGTATGGTGCAAACTGACGAGAAGAGAGGACGCAGCAAGCAGAAATATACATTACAACAAGAATTTAGTCCACAACGCCCACGTCCAGCTCGTCGTCCCAGAAATCCTCGGGCAGGTCGCCCAGCTCATACTCGCCCGCCTGCGTGCCTTCCGGCGTGCCCTGCGTTTCTTCTGGCGTACCTCCCTCTATGGGCGGGGCATTGCGCGCTGCACGCCGCCTCAGCGCCGGTCCCAGGTCGACCACCCTGTAGCTGCCGGAGAGGACGTGCACTCCGCTCTTCGCTAGGATGAAGTCGGCACTCCCCGGCGGCCCATAGGCCGAGAAAACCTGGTGGATCCGCCGGATCAGGCTCGGTTCCTCGCCCAGTTGCACTCCGACACCCTCCGCTTCGTGCTGCCTCTCCCGACCCTGTTGCTGAGGCTCGGCAGGTGTATCGACTCGTTTCCGTTTCCTCGAGTCTTGAGCATCGGGAAACAGATCAGATAACGTGATGACCTTCCTGCGCCCCGTTCGCGCCAGCATGATCCGTGTGTTCACACAGTTGGCCCATACGATGCCCAGTGCTGCCTCCTTCCTCCCCCCCGCGGACTGGCCATTGAAGTGCCTCGCCTGCGCGGCGTAGAGCATCTCCGGGCCCGCCTTGGGTTGCTCTCCGATGAAAACGTCTGAGACCTGGTTCACGACCACGATGGCGAGGTGATACTCGAGCGCGAGGGCTTTGAGCCGGTCAGAGAGGGAGCAGAGCCGGCGCGAGCGCTGGACTAGCCCACCACCCGACAGCGATGTCTCGGAACGAAGGAGGGCCGCGAGACTGTCAAGAATCAGGAGACGGACCGGGGGCTTGGCCTTCTTCCGCGTACTGGCGCCGTTGACTCCGTCGATGGCGCTGGCCTCTGGGATGTCTTCCTTCGGCTTGATGTCCTCACCCAGCAGCGCTGAGCCTTCTGTCGTTCGCCTTGACGCCAGGAGCGGGGGCAGGAAAAAGCTGAGACAGTGCTCCAGACTGTCTGCGTCCGCGACGGGAGAGGTCTCCACGTTGTCCAGCATCTCGTCCAGGGTGGGGTTCGCCGGATCAGGATGCCGAGCGAGCATCGCCTCGCCCATCTCCATCAAACGTGTGGTCGCCAGTGGCCGCTCAGACGTCAAGACGAGCACGCTCCCAGGCGACGTAGATAGAGCTGGGAGCTGCGCCGAGAGGGCCAGAGAGAGAGTCAGGTGCGACTTGCCCGCCGCGCTGGGGTCAGCTCCTGTGGCACATCAACGCAGCTTGTGCATGGAGCACAGGCGTGAGGAGAGCACTCACCTCTCGCCTACAATCTCCGTAATCCCGCCTACCCGGCAGGAGAACGGTGTGCCCTCTATCCGCACCTCGTCTGGCTTAGGCATCTCGCTCGCCTTCCTCGCTTTCGGCATCAACGCCTTGTTCGCCGCATCGATCAACCCCTGTGCCGTCTTCTCCGCATCGATGCCACGGCCAAACTTGCGTGCGAGATCAGACTTGGACACGAGCAGGATATCGGACGCTGTCGAGATGCGAGCTGAGGTCAGCTACATCGCTGTGCGTGCTCTGTGGAGCTGATTGCGTATCGTTCGGACGGTCGGAGGGAGGAAGATGGTGCGAGCAAACTCGTTAGCGTACACTCACCACGGGAACATTGCCGTTCCTGTTCTGCTGTCAATCCCAGTTGCTCGGCTGGGAAAGAGGCAAAGGACATGTCGACATGGCAAAGTGAGTGGTTGAAGAAGTTGACGCGACTTTCGTCATTTCGACGCGTTTGGGTGGCCTTCCTCCACCTCCACCTCAGTCCAGTCAACCGGAATGTCAACCATTCCTGTATCCCGTCTCTTGGCGAAGTTGGTCTTCCTCACGCTTGCCTTCCTCGTGCTTCTCGCTGCTCTTGTTAGTTCATAGGGATTTCTCGCTGCTCTGTTCAGAACCTCTGCGCTTGCGTCGGTGCTGTCAATGATCGTGCCGGTTGAACAGGCTTTCATATTTTAAATACTGCTACTACTACTATTTAAGTTTTCGCCTTTCTTGACGCTTAACGACACAACGCGGCATAATGACACACAAGGATGATTGGATGGAGAGTGAGGGGGTATCACATGATGGAATGAGGGGGGGTTGAAACCCTATGCAATAGATGAAACTTATGGTGTCCTGCACTTGTCGTTTGGCAGTCACTTTTTAGGCGGCACCGCTTACTGGGCCTTGATGTTCTCGCGGGCCCACTTGGCGGCCGCAACGAGGTTGGTGAGCGACTCCTCAGTCTCCTTCCAGGCACGGGTCTTAAGACCACAGTCGGGGTTGACAACGAGGAGGTCGGGGTTGATGACCTTGGCGAACTCGACGAGGCGGTCCTGGATCTCCTGCTGCGAGGGGACACGGGGCGAGTGGATGTCGTAGACACCGGGGCCGATCTCGTTCGAGTAGCCGTGCTCAGCGAAGGTCTGGAGGAGCTTAAGGTCGGCCTTGGAAGCCTCAATCGAGATGACGTCGGCGTCGAGGCGCTGGATGTGGGGGAAGATGTCTCCGAAGTCGGAGTAGCAGAAGTGCGAGTGGATCTGGGTCTCGTCCTCAACACCCGAGGTGGAGAGACGGAACGAGTCAACAGCCCACTTGAGGTAGTTGTCCCAGTCCTCCTTGCGGAGGGGAAGACCCTCACGGATAGCGGGCTCGTCGACCTGGATGGCCGAGATGCCGGCGTTGGCGAGGTCGACGACCTCGTCGCGGAGGGCAAGAGCGAGCTGCTTGGCCTGGACCTCCTTGGAGATGTCGGCACGGGGGAACGACCAGTTGAGGATGGTAACGGGGCCGGTAAGCATGCCCTTCATGGGCTTCTTGGAGACCGACTGGGCGTACGACGACCAGCGGACGGTCATGGGCTCGGGGCGCGAGACGTCCGAGACAACGATGGGGGGACGGACGTAACGCGAGCCGTAAGACTGAACCCAACCGAGCTGGGTGAAGATGAAGCCGTTGAGCTGCTCGCCGAAGTACTGGACCATGTCGTTACGCTCGGGCTCACCGTGGACGAGGAGGTCGAGGTCGAGGCGCTCCTGGATGTCGACGACGTTCTTGATCTCGTTCTCCATGGCAGTCTCGTACTGCTCCTTGGTGAGGTCACCCTTGCCGAACTTGGCACGAGCGACACGGATCTCCTTGGTCTGGGGGAAGGAGCCGATGGTGGTGGTGGGGAACTTGGGGAGGTTGAGCTTCTTCTGCTGGGCCTCGCGACGGACGGGGAAGGGGTTCTTGCGCTTCAGGTCCTCCTCCTTGATGGCAGCGACACGGTCACGGACAGCGGGGTCGGACTTGCGCTCGAACTCGCGACGAGACTCAATGTCCTTGCCGTTCTGCTTGTAGATCTCGGTCTCCTCACCGTTGAGAGCGGCAGCGAGGGCAGCGACCTCGGCGCACTTCTCGTCGGCGAACGAGAGCCACGAAACCTGCTCGGGGGTGAGCTTGGTCTCGACCTTGAGGGTGAGGGGGGTGTGGAGGAGCGACGACGAGGTCGAGATGCGGACGCGGTCGGCGCCGAGCTCAGAGACGGCCTTGTCGGCAATCTCCTTGGAGGCCTTGAGGTCGTTCTTCCAGATGTTACGGCCAGAGATGAGACCAAGCTCGAGGATGATCTTGGAGTCCTTGATCTTGGAGATGACCTCGTCGACCTGTCCGGGCTCACGGTTGACGTCGATGTGGAAGGCAGAGATGGGGAGGTCGTTGATGAAGTCAATGGACTTGCCAACGCGGCCGTAGGCGGTGGTGAGGGTGATGGGGAGGCCGACCTCGGCGAGGGCAGAGTAGGCCTTCTTGTAGAGGTCACCCCACTGCTCAGCGGCGTCGGTGACGAGGATGGGCTCGTCAAGCTGGACCTCCTTGGCGCCAGCCTCCTTCAGCGACTTGAGGAGCTCAACGTAGACGGGGATGAGCTTGTCGAGGAGGTCGAGGGGCTTGAAGTCGGCGGGGGCGTCACGGGACTTGCGGACAAGGGCAAGGTAGGTGATGGGGCCGAAGGCGACAGGGCGGGTCTCGATGCCGAGGTCCTTGGCCTCCTTGTACTCGTCGAGCCACTGGTTGCGGGCGAGCTTGAACTCGGTGTTGGGCGAGTGGTCGACCTTGACGATGTGGTAGTTGGAGTCGAAGAACTTGCCCATCTCGTTGGCGGCAACGTCGATGCCCTTCTCGCGGTCCTGGCGACCACGGCCCATGGCGAAGTAGGTGTCAAGAGGGGAGAGACCCTGCTTGACGAAACGCTCGGGAACAACGTTGAAGTTGAACGAGTGGTCGAGCAGCGAGTCATAAAGAGTCCAGTCTCCGCTCGGGATGTAGTCAACACCAGCGTTCTTGATGGACTCCCAACGCTCCTTGCGGATGGCCTTGGCGGCGTCCTGGAGCTCCTGCTCGGAGATCTTGCCGGCCCAGTAGCCCTCAATGGCCTTCTTGGCGGCACGGTTGGTGCCCACGCTGCATTGGAGTCAGCAGAAGCTCTTGCGAGTCGCGAGAGAGCGCTGGAGGAAGAGAAAGGAGGGAGTAGAGGAAGTCGTGGGGAGGTGGATGAGTGGAGGTGGGTGTGGGTGTGGCAGCCGGCGAGCTCGCTAGGGTCGGTAGCCGGTGCCACGCTGCGCAAGCTGTGCCTCGCCACTCCTTCCTTCTGCGCTAGTCGCTGCACTATGCTTGTACTCACCGGGGGTAACCGAGAATGGCAGACTTGATCGCACCAGCCATTTTGTGTGAGTTGGTGGTAAAAGGATGGATGGGGAAAAAGTCGAGACGTGGAGGGTGCCGGGTTTTTGTATACTCGGTAGACTCGGTACGATGGAGAGCGGGCAGCATTCTAGCCGCGAGAGCCGTTCCCCGCCTGCCGCCGCAATCAGTGAGCGGATGCACCGTACGGTGGGAGGGGAAGGACCCAGAGGGTGGACAAATTCAGGGCGCAGCGAGGTATCGACTAGCAATGGCATTGGCAATCACGCCATGGAGGCAGCACGCCCTGTACGAATCCGGCATACACCTTGCATGACGAGCTCACTACAGCCTGGGCAGACTGGGACTGGGTCGACTGCGACTCATACCATGGACCAATGGGCCAATGGCAGGGAAGGCAAACAGAGGTACCACCACCGCGCGGAGCCACGTCCAGTTATCGCACGACGTTCAAGCGAGGTACTGCCGCGCTGCACTCGTGCGTCGTCTCCAGGTCCCAGGTCCCACCCAAGTATGCATCTGGCCCCCCAGGCGGACGAGCAGAGCCACACTTCCAGATTAAGCTCAGTACTGGTGCCTTGCAATCAAAGAGATCGTGGCCCTTTTTTTTTGGTCGCGACTGGATGGACGTCTTCTGCGCCCCGTGCGCGCGTCCTTCGGTGTGTGGATGCTGACGCGCGTGTCTGTGTGCTCTGCTTCCCACGCACTGCGGGCGCATGCATCGGACGGCCTTGCCCGCCCATCGACTTTGCTCAACGCGTCAGTACCTTGCCCTCTTCCATCCGTTCCGTCCGCCGATCGCAACTCCGATTCCAGCGTCGCCCAGAACACATCCAGCACACCATGGCATGCTCGATCACGCCTGCCATCGTCAGATAACAAACGCCCTCTCGCTGCTCCCTGAACTGCCCCGCGGTGTCTGCCCCCCATGGCAGAAACGGTATGCGGGCGTACGCCTCGAAGCGGGGGTCCAACAGCAATCAAGCGGGCCGCCGACCCTAGTCGGGCACGTGTTCTGCGCTGCTCATGATTGGGCAACGAACCGGCGTTCGAGCCCTCCGAGCCTTTTGTCGTCGGTCCATTCGGTCAAATTGGCCAGCGATTCATTCCTGGCAAAGCAATCCAAAACCCTGGGTTGAGGATGAAGGATTCGGATGAACGTGCGGTCCTTAAGTGGTAGCGTGCTCACTCCAGCTCGCCATGGTTGGCGAGTCTGGTGGAGAGTCGGAATACCCACCGCTCACGCCTTCGCTGACGCCTTCAGAGGGGCGAGGCATATATTGACCAAACGTCTAGATCCGGCGGCGAGCGTCCCCCGTGTCACGACTCGATATACAACGGAACTCCAGCGCCGCACCCAGCATGCCCGGCATGCCCAGCACGAGCACGACGCACGCACGAAAGTACGGTGCACCGGCATACCGGCGACGAAAGGTAGATGCCGGTCGGAGCGTCGGATAAACGTTCGCACCCGCCTGTATGCCGAGTACGCTCGGTACCCTACAGCTATGTGCCCTAACTGCCCCGCCGCACCCCGCCGTCACTCCAGCCTGCTCCAGCCAACCCCGGAGCCTCGCACCGCTCTCCACGCCAGCGCCCAGGCAGCGTCCAGGCAGCGTCCAGGCAGCGTCCAGGACACCCACCCAGCCCTGTGACCAGCCGCCAGACCCGCCGGGAAGCTGGCTGGTTCGCCGGCCACCAAACCGGCCAGCCAGCCAGCCAGCGGGTCAGCGACCGGCGAGCGAGTGAGCATGGGGTATCGTGGACCAGTGAGCGTGTCAGCGAGCCATGCAGGACAGGCGTTCATCGAACGAGTCAACGAGCCGGTCAACGGGCCGGTTGGCCTCGAGCCAGCCAGCCAGCGGCGAGCGGCAAGTGGCCAAGTGGACCACGCCTTACCATCCAGGGGGGCGGTGTGCAATGTTGGGCGTGGCGCAGAGATTGGGTCCGGAAATCCGATTCGGTCTGCAGATAACTGACGATTGAACTGACGAGTCGATCAACCGGTGTAAGCGGAAGGAGCGGCTTATGTACGCCGTTGAGGCCGGTGAGGTACTCGAAGCCTAGCACCGGGGGGTCCTCCCGCGCTCTGCTTGCATGCACGCATGCACGTACAGATTGACAAGTATTGAGACCAGCTTATGCCAGTCGACTAATGCACGAGAGATGCAGATGGGATCCTTGCGATGAGCATGTTGACAACTGTGCGGGATCTCTGTGCGGACGTTTCAGCAGCGTTCGAACAACGCCATGTCATCTACCCCGCTCATTCTTCCAGCCGAGCCCTTTGCAGTAAGGGATCACGACGGTCTGGGATTGTCGGTTCTGCATGCATGCATATCCTCCGAACGCTCCTAGCTGCTGCGCGCTGTGTACGAACAGTAATCGTCTCCGAACGTCCCATCTCATCGCCCTGCGCAGCCGATGTTGCGCTCCGTGTCTCTCCTCGCTCTCCACTCACTTCGGACAATACAATCGGCAGAGCTGCTGAGCTGCTGATCTCTTTACGCCGGTACACGGCGCACGAAGAACGAGACACCGAGTACTATACAAGGCCGAGGAAGACCGGATAGTCGCCATCTGCTCAGTCGGCGCAGGAGAGATGCTTCTCGATCGCCGGATGACGTCGAGGATGTTTCGGGCGCTGGGTACAGTCACCTGGTGGATGCTTCCTTTACGCCCTCCAAGAGCCTGCTTCCACGCAGTCCATGATCCTTGACCTCCGCCGCCCGCTCGTCTTCCTCGTCTTCCCTGCTCCCACCTTCTGACATTGACATTGCGTACTCACCCATCCTGCTCGACCTCACGACAACCACCGCGAACGGTGAAGTGGCCTCCTCTTTACCCCTCATGTCCTCCAGCTCCGCAATTCGATTCTGACACACCTGGCTAGCTGGCTCCACGGTATGCTAAGGCTCGCGTAGGCATTCAGCTGACACCAGTCTCCGCGTCGACCATGCTGAATGTCGAGCGCCTCAGTTCGCCAATCACGAGTCGTGCCAGGCAGCGACATGGCAGCATACCAGCGACGCCCTGGAGCAGTAAGCTTCCCATACGTATGCGTTGAAGCTGACTGTAAGCCTCAGACCCTCATTGTCTCCCGATCTAGACGGTCGCCGGAGTGATCAAGTCCACGGCACGGTCATATCGAGTTCTGACGGGCAGGTAGCTATACCAGACTAGAAGCTGAGCTGACTCCAGGCCTCGCCTGTCCTCAGCCCCGCAGCGCCATTGTCGCCCGGAGGATATGGGGGCTAACGCGCCTTGCCATCTCGCAGCCGTTAGCTGTTCTAACACAGCGGCTAGCTGACAACAGTCGTCTGAGGGGCATGAACTCTCCTTTAGCGGTTTGCCAGAGTGTCCGGACAACCGAGTCTCGTCCCTAGAAGGTAGCTGTTCGCCGCTGCTTGGAGCTGACCTCAGGTCTTCGTTTTGACCGCACCTCTCGCATATCGGCGGTGGGCAGTCATGGGCAGGTGTGTCTCGAAGAAGCTAGCGGTATTCCACCCCATAGCTGACGGCAGTATACCTGCCTTTACGCACGAACGCACATGAGTACGATATCTGTCGGCTCGCGCATCGGGCTCGTTGCCTGTCCTCCGCTCTTGGTGGAGTAGGTGCGTCTCGAAGCTGTGCTTTCCCGTACTTCTAGCTGACGGCAGGACGCACGCCTTTCCACAGTGTCCCCCAGCTCGCGCATCTGACTCGACGCGTTACCGCTGCTCTAGGTGAGTTGATGGAGGTAGACCAGCTATGCGCTCATCTACCAGCTACCGGCCAGCACTGGACTTTAGGAGCTCGAAAAGGCGACCTTCATCAACACCGAGTGCGGCCCGGCCATCGGAAAGAGCGACGACCACATGCTCACATGCTAAAAAGTGTGTGTGCCGCGCGGGCTCGCTTGATAGATGTGAGCTACCCAAGACCGCGGGATGAGCTGACCACAGCGCGGGCTAGAGTCAGCTCAGTCTGACAGTGTCGACGTGACCAGCATGACGATTCACGATTGCCGACGCACAGCTGTGACAGTTTGAGGTGAGTTCTACCACGGGCTACAGCCAAGAGCTACTTGGTGGTTGTTTTTCCTCAGCTGACATACAGGTCTGCCCTTAACATTGTGGCTGCCAGGACGAGGCGAGCGGGTCGTTACGCGTGATAGAAAGAGATGAAGATCAAAGTGGAACCAACGTCCGTGAAGGTTGCCTCCAGTTAGTCGGCTGAATCATGCTCAGTCGACAGCTGCTTGCTTCGTTCTGCACGAGTCCTGGCTGCGCTCGCCTTCATCCAGAGAACTGATGTGGCAGCCGAGTCATCTGTATCGGGCAGGGAGGAGTTGGCGCCAAATGAAATGGCAGCGCGGCAGCGCAGTACTCACTGAGACACGTTGAGGCACGTCCCTAGCGCCGATGCGATATTGACAGCTGATTCACGTTCCAGTTACCCGGGAGCGCAGATGCTGTCTGAGCGTGACGGGCACGACTGATCTCGACGCTGATGGGGCACTGACACCTCTCACCCTTGATGGCAAACTCTCAAACATGTTGTGGCGACAGAGTCATCCATGAAAGACTAAGAACCATTCCAGATGAAGCAGACGCGATGAAGCACGCCATAATCCGAGGGCTGAGCAACTAGATCGCAGCGCCCCCTGTCCTTGACCTCCTAGTCGTGCACGGAAGACGTTGATCCGAACAGCCCTGGCATTGCTATGGGACATACCAACTCGGCTGTTAAGACATCTTAGCTTCGGATTGTGGAATGCCAAGGCTGTCCTTCGAGCATGAGATCGCGCTTGCAGAAGACATTCCTAGTTTGAGTAGCGAACGTTCGAGGAACGATGAAGACGACCACCAGAAGTTCCGAACAGAGATAATATCAGAAAACTTTAGCTTTCGGCGCGTCTTCCGATCATGCCGATCCGAAACTGATACGGTCTAAAGGAGTGGCGTGGCGCATTGAGTCGGCTTCATGTGGCTAGTAACCAGACACCCACCGCAGTTGTAACGCAAAGTGAACGACGAGACATGAAGCGGTACGCTATTCGTGCCTGGACGACGCCTTCTCGTTCTCCCGAGTTATCCTCGTGGTCGTCGACATCGTCCGACGAGACGAGGAGACAAGTATTTGACACACTGATCTTTTACGCTTCTGGAAATGGACATGAACGGGAGCGACAGGCATAGACAGCTTAACCAGCTTACCTCTTTCGAGCAGCTGAGTGTCTCAACTAACGACGCCCCATCTTCATGGCTGACTGCGGAGTGTGCACGGAGGGCGAAGATCCGAACGCCCTCGGTCGTGACTGTCGGACGAGTCAAGCTGGCTGGTCTGGACGCTCTGGATCAGGTTGCGTGGATAGACAAGTCAGTGCGGTTCGGCCAGGCGTATGCGACTGCGCATTCTCCCTGACCTAACAGATTGTGCTTTCCTAGTGACCGATGCTCTCCAAGACTGCCACTGCAGTTGCTCACGTGGAAAGAACGACTTCGGCGTGTCCTCCGTTCTCGAGGAAAGCTACACGCGATGTCACCCACGAACGTTCTTTTCATAGAGTGACGAGGAACAGCTAGTCGAAGCAAGAATAGAGATAGACGGCGAAACAAGTTGAGGTACGTCCTCAACGTCCTCAATGTCTCACACCAGACGCCTTCATTTCTCTCCAGTCGCCAATGAAACTGCAGCGTTCTGTCGGACATGACGGCCCCGCGTCTAGACATGCTTTAGGCCAGGCTGTGCCAAATAGCCTCAATGCCTCTTTGAATGAGGGCTGTATATCCGCCAACGCTGAAGATCTCATTCCCGCTAGTGCACACGCACACGGACTAGCGCAGACAAAAGGTGCACTTGAGTAGTATGTCGCGGAACATGAAGCCACACATTGCAGAGCCAGGAAGCCATCGAGGACCGTGACCACCCCGCAGTCGGTGACGGCCGAGTGTGGCTTGTGGCTTGGGGGGGCCAGCGTGCAGCATGGAGGTCGAGCACGACTTGCGCAGTGCGAAAGGCGCGTGCAAAGCATGGGTAAAGCGCCGCAACACAGCCGCACGCATGCGTCTATCTGCGCATGTCAGAATGGGCCAGAGCAGAGGTTCCTGTGACGCTTGACGCCCTCGCTCCGAAGAGTGCCTCGCGCGGCCGCGCGTAGTTTCGTTTCGGCCGGCTCGTATGGACCCCAGAAATCAGTCGCGCAACACCTCTCTGTGGGAGTGTTTGAACGCGGCGTGAGAAGCTCCACCGCTCAGCAGGGGAGAGTTTGCTGCGCCGAAGAGGTTTGTGGAGCGCTCCGCGTTGGAGTGAGAACGCCGGTCGGCGCCGACGTTGACCTCAACAGGTGCGAACGGAGTAGAGCGGTGGAGGATCGCCGGGGGTGCGAACGATGAGGGCCGCAAGATACAGGCCGTGATGACGGCCTCCATGCCGCAGCAGTCTCAGGGGCCCCCGCTCGTGACCACGATGCCGCTCGGAGCTGACCTCACATGATCCATCGAGAACCACTAGAAAGCAAGCTTTACGCGTCTACCTTTGGCGTCCTCGTGAGGTACCGGCATTGCTGACCCTTGTGGAAGCCTCGCGCCCACCTCGTCCAATGGTCCTGCCTTCTTCGCAGGAACCGCTCGTAAGAAACCGTAAGAAAACCGTACAGGTTGCGTTTGAGATATGGACGGGTGGTCCTATGACCTTTGCACCAGCGAGAACCCTGGAACGCCATGCCGGGTGAGTTCGTAGTTGCCGTATTCCACCAGATGGAGGGACTGTGCATTGGGCGCTTCATTCAGGTGGCGGCCACGCGGACGACAGCGGAGTCGGGCCGGCCGACCTGCAGCCTATGAGCAGCGCGGGTGATGAACAATACGGGCCTGAAGCTGAGGAGAGCATGGCGAATTGCGCTCCGCGAACTGGGACCAGGTTCGGGGGTGGGGATCGATGGGAAACTGGCGGCGCCGCCGCTATGCGGCGCAGGGCCTTTGGCAGCGACGCCATTTCATGAGTGCACTAAGGCCAGTGATTCGCCCAACTTCCCCAGCGTTGGTGCGCTGATGCCATTCAGTGGGCATGCAAGGCACAGACGCCAGACGCGTCAGGCATCAGGCGCCTGTCTTTGTTCCTTTGCCTGGTCTGCATGAATTGGGAACGCAACGAAAGCGGTAAACCTCCGGGCTACCTCCGGGAGTGCCATGCACGCTCACTTGTGCGCAGAACAATGCAATGACAGTCGCGCGCCTCGGGGGGTCTGGGGAGTACGTAAACCCCGCGAGGCAGCCCTGCGACGCGTCGGCTGATGGTAACGTAAAGATATACTTTGGCCCCAGCCTCCATCTCCACATCTCATCTTCCCCCCTCCATCCCTTCCCTTCTCATCTCCACTGCATTCCATCCATCATGTCCGTGACCGCGACGCCTCCCCGCTCCAGCCGCCCGCGGACCTCCGCCCCTCCGTCCCCCTACGCCGACCGCGACGTTGGGCCCAGCGACTCCCCCCTCCGGCGCTCGCGCGGGTTTGCGACCAACCTCTCCGCCTGTGCCGGCGATGAGGGCGAGCCGGCGACCGACTCGCCGACATTCCACCTGCGCAAGAGTGAGCGCATCTCCCAATGGCGCTCAACCGTCTCCCCCTCCTACACGCCAAAGACGCACAACGCGCTCGCGCGCGCGACCGGCGGTCCGTCATCCATCCACTCCGGCTCCCCTTCGTCACGCCGCGGACACACAGCGCGCTCGCGCGAGTGATCGACAGCGACAGCGACAGTGACGCCGAGCCAGCACGTCAGGCGCGCGAGTCGCGCCGCTCGACGCAGACGCGCACACCGCCAGCATCGAGCCGCAAGCTCGGCTCGGCGTTCAACATGAGCATGTCGCCCCTGTCGCAGGCGAGCCCGGCGCCAGCGGCAAAGGTGCGCTTCCTCGCCGAGCCGATGCGGAGATACAACTCGCTCCCGACGCCGCCGGCCGCCTGGTCCCCCTCCCGCGTCCCGAGGAGTATAGGCCTGTATGACCTGAACCTGCACGCGACACCGCCGAAATCAAAGTACCAGCCCAAGAAGCTGGATCTCGGGGGGCCACTCGGCGGCCCGATCGAGGCGGCGCCGCTCACGCCGTCGCCCGAGATGAAGGAGGAGCGATGATCATCAAGCACCGACCACCACCCCGAATCACCGTGGCTAGACAATGGAATCCATCACACTGTATTATCATGTAAAATGCTACTGTATCAACATCCCCCCGCGGCGAACGGATGCCGCCACTCGCCCCTGATGTCCGGCATCAGCAGCGCGCCGAGCTCGAGCACGTCCTCTTCCTCGGGCGGCACGTCGACTAACGCCTCCCAGTCGCGCTTCAAACTGATGCCCAGCCTAGGCCCAAACTCGAGCGCCGGGAGCTCATACCGTCCCACCGTCTCCTCGGAGATCTCAGCCGGCGAGAGGAGATACTCAAAGTTGAGGTGTTCGGAGGGCTCGCCGCTGCTCTCCGCCCCATGCCCGGCGTGCCCTAGTATCGAGGTGATGGGCGAGGCGTAGGGATGATACTCGAGCGACTTGGCGCGGCGCAGGTCTGTCTCGAGAACTAGTCTGGGCGCATGCGCGACGGGGGCCGACACGGGCCCGGCCTGCAACCCAGGTGGGGGGCGGCGCTCGCGCTCGAGGTCCGAATCCGTGTCCTCCAGCATGCGCTCGAGGATCGCGAGCCGCTCCAAGCTGGCATGGAACAGACGTCGGCGCTCCCGCTTGCTCTCCCTGCTGTTCTTGCGTCGGATCACAATGTCGGGCCGCTCCTCGTCGGGTATCATGCCGAACTCATGTGCCTCCGATAACCGCTCTTCGTGATCCTCATGAGCTTTGGGAGTCTCGTCCCCCCGCTCCGGCTCCCACTCGTCTATGCCTTCCAACACCTCGACTGTCTCCGGTATGCTCCGCCCAATACGGTCCTTTTCCCCCCGCCGCTCCAAACCCGAGAACGTCTCCTCAGTCGGACTCGGCCTCACGACCGTCACAATGAGTTTTGGCCGCGGCACACTGGCGCTCCGCGCATACTCGATGTCAATGTCGAGAAAGTAGTTATGCAAGCTGAGCCGCTTCCGCCGCTCCGGGACGGAGAGGAGGGAGCCGAGCGAGCGCACGCTGGCGGCGCAGCTTGCTGTGGGCGCGCGGCGCGGGACGGGGAGCGGAGGGAGGGACTTGGACGAGAGCGAGAGCGAGGGCGTGGGTGAGGGGGTGCGCCGCCTTAGCTGGTCGGGGGTCGGTGGGCGGGGCAGGCCTTGCGAGAAGGGGTGCGCCGGCGGAAGGGGGAGGACGTCGTTCATATTGAGTCGAGTCGGAGCGCAACGAGCGTGAAGGAGTGGGTCTGTCGTATCTTGTCGGAGCGTCGAAGATGCGAAACAATGAGTGTCCTGTTTGGTGCAATGAGAGTGGTGGCGAGAGAGTCGAGTCACGCGTCGTCACCTGCTTCTGTGTCGTCGACTTCTGCCGTCGTTGTCTTCTGCCGACAGCGCTTGTCGTTCACCGATCTTCTGTCGTCTGTTGTTCACCGGAATGTAGCCTGTGCTCCGGAATCGTCGCAGGGAGCTGGACCTTGTAAGCCAGCACTCGTCCACGACGTAGGAAGAGTAAAGTGAAAGGGGGCGCAAGCCTCCCAGAAAAGCGTAAAGGCTACATGTATACTTTGGGTCCAGAGCTTCTGGTGTGTTGATAGCGGGCAGGAGTCGTACCGTTTGTGCCGTGGTGTGCCTCGGCGCGCGCGGCGCCGCCCCCGCGCCGTGTCGGCGTTGGGGCGCGAAGACAATAACGGTAAGCTTTGGGCGCCGGCCTCGTTTTGGCCTTAGTCCGTTGTTTGTCGGACTGTCGGATGCGTAGCTGGCAGCAGCGCGGCTACCGGACCGCAGACCCGTGAGCCGTAAGCTGTCAGCAGCTTTGGTTGAGAGGCTCTGATCGAGGGGTGATCGGGCATGCCGAGCGCTGCGAGATGCCTGCTGTGCAGGGATCTCTCTCGTGGGTAATCTGTGAGAAGGAGTGAGCGAGGTCAGCTGTCAGTTCTGTCTGTGAAGACGAGGTGACCGGGGTCGGGAGGAGCGAAGTGTGAGTAAGCTCCACTTCGCAGCGTCCGGCATGCTTCTGAAGGTCAGTCACGCGGCGACCTCTGTCTGACCAGTCTGCCGTGGCAGACGATGCAATCGAAGTGAACCAGTCCAGTGGAGCATGGAGCAGACCGACACGAAACAGATGACATTGTGTCTGAGCGCAGGAGGCACGCGCCTCTGCTTGTCATCCGGAGGCGTCCACGCCATGATGGGCGTGCACGGCGCGGATGCTGGCGGAGTCTGATCCGATCTGACTGTCTCTGACTGTGTGAGTTTCAGCGACGCTCCTTCGTGAGAAAGGCTCAAGGCGGTGGAGTCGTGGGATCAGAACAATAACGAGCCATGTGGGAGTCGTGCCTCGTTCCGTTTCACCGCGTTTCAGAACGACTTCGAGCAGAGATCCCGTACCTCGCCTTCTTGCAAACCTTCTGTCTCCTGTCACCTGCTCTCCCCGTGCCTTCTCTTCTAGTCAGCTGTCACCGTCACCTGCTGGGGGGTGGTGCTATTCAGTCCAACGCGTCGTGGCACGTCGTACGTCGTGAACTCACTCAATGCGAAGCAAAATGCCCCAAGAGTCAATGGAAAGTCTAAATGTTCGGGGAGACCAACGATCAATGCAAAAAGTGTGTGTGTCTGTCTACAACAATAAAATCCCGAGGAGTGCGTGTATGGTTCCTCTATTGGTTCAATGGTTCAATGGCGGACCAGCGGGGAGAGAGAGATAAGGGCCTCGCCTGCCTCGCACCCGCGCGGAGCCGGAGCCGATGGGAGCGGAGGTGACTATCAAAGATGATGCCCCTGATGTTTCGGCCAGTTTCGCGGTCCAGATCTCGGTCCAGTCGTGAGGGGGCTGGCTAGCAGTGCGAATGAGATGGTATCGTGAATGTCGTGTATGCGTGTATGTAACTATTGATGCTAAACTTGCTAAACTTGCTATGATGTGTATACTAGATTTAATGCTTTTGATTGCTTGCGCCGGAGGGCGCTTGCGGTGGGGCTCGGACCATTTGTGTGAGTGCGAGCGGCTTCGATCGTTTCGGGCTGCGACCTGCCGAAGATGACGACGCTCCGAGAGTGGGACTTCTCGCCGAAGCTCACGCTGGGCTTCTGGACGACGAGGGCCGTCACAGAAGGCGAAACTGATCGAAAGGCAGATCGTGCCCGAAGTCATGCCGAAGTGGGGCGGCTTAGAGAACCTCGCCGAGGTTCTGGAGATGCAGCCTCAGCGCCTCTCCGCCGTCCTGTAGCTCGGCAGCGGCGAGGAGGAGCTCCATGATGTCCTCGGGCACGTCCTCGAGTTCGAGTCCGAGCTCCTCGAGCTGCGCCTCGATCTCCTTGATCTTGCTCTCGGCGCTGGTATATCCCTCGCTATTCTGGGCCTTCGGGTGCGCTATAGGGGTGGAGGCGACGAGGGTGGCCATCGGTGTGCGGAGGCCCGAGGAGCCAGACGAGGACGGGCGCGAGCCGAGCGTGAAGGCAAAGTAGCTGTCGCCCTCGACTGAGGAAGGGGAGAGGGCGGGCGTCTCGAGCGTCTCGAAGGCGACGGGGGCGGGGTGGAATTTCGTCGTCGGCATAGCGATCGATGTCGGGCGGCTGGGGCCGGCGGCAGTGGTTGATGAGGGGTGGCACATTGTCGTTTGCAAGCGCAGAGGGCTTCGAGGTGACGAAGGAGTAGTCGTGGAGAGTGTGGTGTTGAGAGTGTCGATTTGTGCAGACGTGTGTCTGAGGCCGGAGCAGGCTAGAGGCTGGTCGGGCTGGTCGTGAAGCGGCTGGACGGGGAGGTTGGTGGTGAATGCTAAGGTTGACTGAATCTCAACGTGAGACGTGTGGGGTTACGTCTTCCGTTGTGTCATGTTTAAGTACGTGGTCCGACTTTCTAAATTCCCGCAATCCGCACCTTCCTCAGTGCAACACAACGAGTAAGCGACTGACTACGAGCAAGTGTCGCGACGCGATCCTCTCGACGCCGCATCGGACGCTCCGATGCGGACTGCTGTCCACTTGGTGAGCCACCACAGGCACACTCAATTGACGAGTAGCCCACTGGGCGATCCGTCGCTGCATTGTTCATTCCGCTGAGCCTTGCGAGCCGCTGCGTGGTAGCGAGCGACAGTGAGCTGTCCTTGCTGGCCTCTCTGGCCGCAAGCACAAAGTTGAGGAAAGAAGCAAGAGGAAAGTGCCAGAGCACGCTCGAGCGTAGCGTCCGTCTTATTGTTCTCGCAGGGTTGACGCTCGAGGCGGCGCCACGAGGGACTTTCGTCAGGCCACTGGCTGCATTGGGTGAACGCTAGGCGGACACTGGGCAACGTTGGCTGGCATGCACGAGTACATTGTGGAATGTGGCGCTGGCCAGTCTTCCGGCCGATACCATCTCCGAACGCTGGCCCCTCAGCTTACCGAGAGCGATACGCCCGAAGTCGCTTCCGATGCTTACATTCTGGCGGCCATCGCCTCTCCGTTGCTCTCCCTTGCCCATCTCTTGTCCCTGGGTATCATCATGCGATTCTGGTATCCTTGAGGGTAAGAGTGTACAGAGGAGACAGCGTTTGGCCTACCCAAGCGAGCACATTCCTCGCCTGTGAGCGAGGATAAGACCCCCTGCCTCAATTGGACACGGTGCAGATCCGCACCGGCGCCCACAAACGCGCCCTGCGCGCGCGCATGCCGGGACAACCTTACTCACAAAGTTGGAGTGCGGAATGCCCACTGCCTCGAACTGATCTGAACTGAATACGTGTGGTGGTACAGCGTCGCAAAGTCCCTGGTGATGGACCCTCGACCTTGTCGGAGTCTCGTTTGTATTCGGACTTGAAAGGAGTATGGCTGACTCAATGCTGCGCATTTCAAGGAACTCTCCTTCAAGGATTGAGAGTTATTGTTGTATACCTCTGTCATCCCTTGTCGGGGGAATGCAGCAGAGATAGTCCAACGCCCCGCCAACGCCAACGCAGATCACCGCGTGTGGCTTGGAGCTTCATCAATGCTGAATCGATGGCGACTGACCCACTGCATCTGCTCTTGCACGGGTCGCAACTTGTCCTCGGGGTATCCTCGGGTCATCGCCCAACCGATGCATACTGTTCAGGAGTGGGGTTGCTGACGCTCACACTGGCGGAGCTGGCGGTGGGTGTAGGCTGACACAATGTCGCGCATGTCGCGAATGCTCTTCAGACACCCAAGGGACGAGTTGGAATGCTTGGAGTGTTTCGGGGATCGTCGCGGACTCGGGCTCGATAGACTCCCAGCGTGTGCGAGTGCTTCGGGTCAAGAGAGACCGGGCTTGGCATGACTGTCGACCCACTGTTGTCGCGGAGTGCTCGGCGCCGATGACTCCGGGGGATACATGTCTCCTCCGAATGCCTCGAGCGAATGCCTCGAGCTGCACGCTCGGAACTGTGGAAGGAAGTCAGTCGCCGTAACTTGGTCTGTGCTGCACAGGCAGACACCGACTGGAGTCCCGTGACCAGCATTCTGGCCGTCACTCTGGCACTCTGGCTGCCACTTGGCCACTTGGCTGCATTGAAGGTACCGACTATGTTGAAGACGAGGGGCTGAATACATGGAAAGCGTTGATTCAGACTCCACTCTGGTCGTCACTCCAGTGCTCGCAGGTGACCGCCGCCTCACTCAGCCCTCATCACTCATGGGCGGCCCTCGATTCCGCACTCTGACACGGGCGCTGCTTGGCACTAAGTGTCGGGGCCGACGGTGCCGGACTGCCAGACCGTGTCCATCAGATTGAGGATCTACCGTGTCCACTGCATCTTCACCATCTCAAGATCCTCGTTCATGCTCCTTGCCACTTGGGATGGGTAGTGGAGAGGGTGCCCTCGCTACGCTTCTCGCTGGTCCTTACCCGTCGGTCCCTCTATCGCCAGATTATCGCCAGATCTACCCTCGAGCCGAATGTCGGCGCCACGCGACCCAGTGCTCAGATATAGATACGGCTCAACCCCAATCAACCCAGCGGGAGAGTGCAGATCTCGTCAGACGCCGTATACCCTTCCTCATATCGTTGAAGTCTCGATTCGCAGAGCCAGCGATCGCGTCACGCGTCAGCTGATAGGAGATTCGGCACCCCCCGACAGAGAACTCTGCAGGGCCGTGCGGATCTGAATGGTGGTTCCGCACCTCGTTTACCTCCCCCAACTCTCAGCTGAACAGACCCGGGCATGCCGGGCACCTATGGGGCACCTATGGCAGCCGAAATCGGCACGCCACGAGCCATTCCTCAAGCTGCCCTCAAGCTGCAAGATCTGACAAACGAGCTGCCTAGGACGCCATTGGCGGCGTATTCCTCGCCAGGCCCTCGCCACTCTGTGCAGCCGATATGCTTAGCCAGCCGATTCGGCAGTCCCCCAACCAGTCTGTAGTGATCGCGCATAGACCTCCCGATTGAGCAGCCTCGGCACACCACCCCTCCCCAGCACCAAGCTACAGTGAGCAGAAGATAAACCCATTTGCATAAATCTAGACAAAAGAGATCAAGACAAGATAATTAAGATGTAATCGTCGCTGGGCCAGTTGAGAGCTACAATAGCGGTTTTGACAAGATGTATGACAAAGATATAGATAATGATTTTTCGTTAATACTGGGACCAGAGGTGGTTGAAGACCTGCCCAGCCTGATGATGGGGGCGCACTCGCTCCATGAATGCGACTTGCTGCGCCCCCTACTTTGCTGTCGAAGAGAAGAAACACACTCGCTCCCTGAATGCGACTTGCTGCGTTTCTTTCTCTCGCGACCTCATGCACCTCCGCCAGCACCCAGACACGCACTCGCTCTACCCAACTGCGACTTGCTGCGTGGACTGGATGCCTCAAAACAACCTGAAGAATGATGGAAAAGTGGAAGACGCACTCGCTCCCTGAATGCGACTTGCTGCGCTTCCACTCTCATTGCGCTCGGTGGGGCGGCTTAAAAGTCCTTCTTGGCCGTGCCCGCGGCGAGCGCCTCGGTGTGCGGCAGCTCGGGGCCGAGCGACTCGGACAGGTCCTCCTTGGGCGGGCCCTGGTAGTTCTTCCTGCCCCAGACCCAGTACCAGATGGCGCTCATGAGGGTGAAGGCGACGAAGACGACGGGGGCGTAGTTGACCGTCTGCGCCGTGACGGGGATGTAGGCGGGCATGCAGAAGAGGGGCACGGCGAGACACGACCAAGCGAGCGCGACACAGTTGGTGAACCAGCCAAACTTGCCGAGGTAGAACTTGGCGTGCTGCTTGACCTGCCTGCGGCCCTCCCACACGGAGACAGCGATGGGGGACGCGTACGAGATGGTCAGCGAGATGACACCGACACCCGAAAAGGCGTTGAAGGCGGTCGAGGAACCAAAGTAGATCAGGCCGAGGAGGATCTGGACAATGAGCACGAGGTACATCGCGTTCAGGGGGACGTCGAGCTTGTGGTTGACCTGCTTCCACCACTTGGAGCCGGGGATGGCGCCGTCACGAGCGAATGCCCAGGTGCAGCGCGACGAGGCGGTCGTGCACGCGGTACCGCAAAGGATGGCGAGGACCATGAGGGGAAGAAGAAGAAGAATAGCGCCGACAGACGAGCCGACGGCAGACTTGATGATCGTGGGCGTGGGCTGGCCAGAGGCGAGGCCGACGAGCATCTGAATGTCGGGAAGAACGAACATGAGGGGGACGAGGAAGAGGAGACCGCCGACGAGGTTCAGGCAAATGGTCGCAACCATGGCCTTAGGCACCTGCGTCGCGGGCGACTGGACCTCCTCGCACATTGAAATAACCATGCCGGTCGACGAAGTGGCGTACGCGGCGTGCAGGAGACCGACCATGAAGGACCAGCCGGCGGGCCAGCCCGAGCCGGTGACCTCGGGCTCGAATCCGCCAAAGACGTAGGCGCCCGAGCGGCGGCCGAGCTTGGCGACGGCGAGAACAGTGATGAGAATGGCGAGCAGACCGACAAAGGTCCAGATAATGGCGAACGTGTCAAGAATAGGCAGCCAGCGGTTACCGAGGGTCGAGATCAGACCGCAGAGGAGCGTGATGGCGACGAAGAGGAGGTAGATCTGGTACGTCTTGGCGTCCCAGATGCCAACTCCGGGCTCGACCTCAAAGACGTTGACGCAGGCGACGAAGAAGAGGGTCGTTCCGAACTGCACCGCAAGCGTGATGGTGATGTTGCCGACGACATACGCCCAGCCACAGAGGTAGGCGGCGATGCGGCGGAACTTTTGCGGGGCGAGCATGAAGGTCTGGTAGTACACGCCGCCGGCGGTCGGGTACACCGAGGTGATCTCGCCGAGGGACGCGGCGACGCAGAGAATGATGAGGGAGACAAGGACCCAGCCCCAGATGACGACGGCGGGGCCACCGCCCTGGAGCGGGTAGTAGAGCGTCGTGGCGAGACCGTAAGGGATCGAGGCGAGGACGAACGACATGAAGGCGACGTGCAGCGTCGAGCGCGAGCGCACCAGCTCGGGCTGGTAGCCCATCTTGTGGAGCAGGTCGTCGGCACTGTCGAGCGAGCCGGTGTGCACCGAGCCGTTGCGCTCGTAGACGCTTCCGTTCGAGCCGGGGCCATCGCGGCGGCTCCAGACGCGCTGGACGGGGCCGTCCGCGGTCGGTGCGGTCGTCGTAGCGGTGATCTTCTCGCTGACGGCGGCCATGGTGGTAAGATAGAGAGAGAGTGAACGAAGTTGAGTGGATTCAGGTGTCGCTGAAAAA